AGATTAAGGCCTACACCTACTCTAGAACATCTCTCAAATAATGTCTGCGAAAAACATGCTCACTACACTAATCTGCCATCTTAGGGATATCAGCAACTGGGGCGCCTGTGACATACGCATGAGATGTGACAGCCCCTCTTACACTGTGTGCCTTAAATTTCGAAGTGTCAATCCCTGCGGACTATAATACTGACATGATCCACCTAGCTATTGTCCTAAGGGACACTGGGTTGTATGGCCTAATGAAGGACAAAAACAATTTAGAAACAAAATGTCCATTACGAACCCTAAGTGCTTCAGAACGAGAAATATACTCCTTTAATGCAGCAAGCGGGCAAACTGAGACACAACCTGTAGACGAAAAGGTGATCTCAATAGACCTCCCTTGCCTGTAAGTCTTTGACCGATCAGTTACATCACAGGTCATTGAATTTTGAGATTTCTTTTTGAAATTTAGGTCTAAAGCCGTTAATATCTGCTGTCTCTGTGCAGAGGCTAATGAACACAGCATGACAGCCTTAAAGTTACCAACTTTAAACTTAGCTCGTGTAGAGGAGCTAAAGCCTTTAAATAGTCAGTCAGTTAAGAAATTGTTAAGGAAGCGATGGAATACAAACTTGAACGCTTGAACACAACTTTAATCCGCTCGATCTACAATACACCGATTTACAACAGGTTGATGTACTGCCCGGGAACCCGACTTACAACAAATCTACGAGCGACTAGCAAGGAAGTCACGTGACGTGTTATCTACATAATTTATTCTACTCTCACAGGTCCAGTCTCACGGGGCTTTTAATGACCCGAGTACGAGTACGACGATGGGCCGTTACATTCTCCCCACCTTGTCCTCCTTCGGGGAGGACAACTCTCTTCTTAGGCTTACGAATAGGTACACTTTTAACATTAACAGAGTTCGCTCGAGGCTTCTCCCCACCGTCAACAGGAACATCAGCTTCACGGGTAACTTGTGGGGCCGCTGCATCAATTTCCAATCTGTGTAACCGTTGAACAGGCCTGTTGAATACACCTTTCTGTGCTTTCACGGTAGCCGTTCGCACGAGTCCGTCCTTACCAGGATGAACCTCTTCCACCCTGGCCATTGGCCACTTGGTACGCGATACATTATCATCAGAGACCAACACGATATCACCTTCTCGAATGGAGGGGTTTTCCTCTTGCCATTTACTTCTCACGGACAGCAGGTGCAGATATTCTCGTTGCCAGCGTTTCCAATAGTGGTTAAGTAGTCTCTGTAGGTAAAGATACCTTTCAACAGTTCTTTTACTAGACTCCTCCAAGCTTTCTTCTTTACTCTCAGGTAACTGGTTAATTGGTCTACCAATTGCAAGATGAGCAGGTGTAACCGGCAAAGGGTCTCTGCAATCGTCGCTCACTGCCGTTAATGGTCGCGAGTTGATGATGCCTTCAATTCGAATTAATAATGTGTTCAACTCAGAAAAGGTGAGAAGCGCCTTTCCAAGCACTTTACGCAATGATTCTTTGATTACTCTGAAAAATCGTTCCCACCATCCGCCTCGCCATGGTGAACGCTCGGTGATGAATTTCCACGTAATCCCTTTCGACGAGAGCTCAGAATTAATTCGATTTCGATCCAATGTATCCCACACCGTTCGACTTTGAGTACTAGGATCATACAATTTCTGGATTTCCTTGCTTGCAGCCTTAAAGGTTTTTGCGTTGTCGGACCACACTGTATGGCAAAGACCTCTGCGGCTTGTCATGCGACTAAAGGCTTGTAGGAACTCATCAGTGGTAAGGCTGTGTGTTAGTTCCAAGTGAATCATACGAGATGATGCGCATGTAAATAGACAAACGTACACTTTCTGTACGGTTGAACCTTCTTTTACATAGAGAGGTCCTGCGAAGTCAGTTCCAACATGCGCAAAAGCTGGTGAACATGAAACTCTCTCCTCCGGCAATGGGCCCATTTTCTGCGCGCAAGGTCCAACTCGCTGTTTTTGGCAAGCCACGCATCTTCTGATAACACGTTTGACTTCTCGTCTCCCTTGGGTCAGCCAAATTTTCTGTCTTAAGGTTGACAGTATGCTTTCTGGGCCCGCATGTAACATGATCTTGTGTAGGTCTAGTACCATCTTTGCGACTTCGGGATCTCCGTGAGGCAATATTACTTGATGCTTGGTCTGTTCAAGTAGATCAGCAAACTGCAGTCGGCCACCAACTCTTATAACCTGATCCTCTCTGTCATAATACGGGTCTAGTTTGAGAAGGCGACTGTTCTTGGGAAGAGTTTGTCCGGACTTTAGCAACTGGTAATCTTCTTTATAGACCTCTTCCTGTACCCACTTACAACACTTAATCTCTGCCTTCTTCACTTCTTCTGCCGACAGTTCACTTTCAGAAGACTTACATTTAGTCTTGAACAACTTGACTGCTCTCAGTACATAAGCGGTTACTCGAATCAACTTTAACCATGTCCCGTAACGCGACATATCAATTAACGGCTCTCTAATGACTGCTGTACAACCATGAGCAATTTTCCTTTCCTCTTCGCATACTTCAGAGGGAACAGTACCACCTTGGGGCTGAACGGGTAAAGGTTTGTCACTCGAAGACAGCCACCGAGGTCCATTCCACCATAAGGTATTGGTAATCATATCATCACAGCTCAACCCACGCGTCAACAAATCTGCAGGATTCTCCTTACTAGCACAGTACCTCCAACACTCAGGATCCCACGTAGACTGTATTTCTGCAACTCGATTCGCCACAAATGGTTTCCAACGAGAACTCTGACCTTTTACCCAATGCAGTGCCACCATACTATCAGTCCAACACACAACACTACTCACTTCCATAGGCAAAGTGTCTACAACAAACTTCAACAACCTGGCATTTACAACTGCTGCTAAAAGTTCCAGTCTGGGTAGTGACACTTTCTTTATAGGTGCAACTCGGGACTTTGATATTACCAGCTGCGAGGATACATGACCTTGCTTGTCTGCTATTCTGATGTACACTGCTGCTCCGTACGCTTTAGGAGAGGCATCTCCAAAACCATGTAGCTCTATCTTAGAATCTTGCGTGATGCCATTCCCGAAGCATCGGGGTATGGTCACACCTTTCAGTTGCAACAACTCTGACTTCCAATGTAGCCACTTTGCTTTAATTTCACTGTCCAAAGGGTCATCCCACAATAATCCTTTCAACCACAGTTCTTGGAAGAGGATTTTGGCTCTGACAGTGAAGGGAGATATCAACCCTAAAGGGTCAAACATTTTCGATGCTAGACTAAGCAGGCTTCTCTTTGTCATTGGATCCGGAGATAAGATAATTCCACCCGGTGCAAGAAATCGGAAGTGATCAGAGGTCAAATCCCATGAGACTCCAAGCGCTTTAAGGGGTTCACTCGACTCAAACTCCACCAGTGACGATGAGGCTCTTTTGGCTGGGGCAATAGCATCCATTACGAGCTGTGAGTTACTTGCCCACTTTGTCAAGTTAAACGCCGCTTTCATCATGATCTCTGACATGTCTTGTTGAAGTTTCACAGTCGAGTCCACCGTATCGGCTCCTGTTAGGACGTCATCCACATACATGTTTGAATTTCTTGGACTGCATTTGGGAACAGTTCTGCGTATTTTTTTTTTGCATGAGCATGGACAGTCGAAATAGCAAGGAATGGACTGGAGTTCACACCAAATGTCAGTCTTTGCATTCTATAAACTTTGGGTGTTTCGTTAAATTGTAAATCTCTCCACAGGTACCGGTGAGCGTCTCTATCCTCTGGCGCTAGCTTGACCTGAAGAAACATCTTTTCAATATCTGCTATGAGACCAATTCTGTTTGTTCGAAATCGAATGAGTACAGATGCAAGGTTGGGCTGTAAAGCAGGACCGGGAAGGACACAATCGTTGAGAGAAACACCATCTCCTTCTCGCGCGGAAGCATCAAACACGATTCTGCACTTAGTCGTCGTTTTGTCATCACGGAACACAACATGATGCGGCAGGTAGCGTACAGCTCTATCTTCATCATTCTCGTTAGGCACTACCTCTGCAAATCCTTTCTCTACATATTCATTGATTGCAGAATTGTAAACTTTAGCTTTCACAGGGTCATGTCTTAACCTTCTTTCGATGCTTTCCAGACGTCTAACAGCTTGCATGTAGTTACTTTCCAGTTTAGGAGGGTCACGTTTCCACGGTAGTCGTACTTCATAGTTCTTCCCGTCAAATTTCAATCCTCTATTGAAGTCAGCAACAGCAACTTCCTCCTCCCGGGAAACGACAGTGTTTTCAGTCTCAGCGATGCCAATAGATTCCAGTTCCCAGAATCTTTTCAAGCTTTTAGTGAGTCCACTGTTTTCTACAACGGTAAGCATGGATGTGGTATACCATGAGTAACGGTTTACTTGTCCGGTAAGAATCCACCCGAGATGAGATTCAACAGCAACAAGTGACTCAGATGAACTACCTTTCTTGTACAACCCAGTTACGAACGAGTAGTAAAAGTCTGCACCAATAAGGACGTCTACTTGGACGGAATCGCGAGGGTAGGAATCTGCGAGAGTTAAACCTTGAAGATGAGAGTTCTTACGAAAGTCTAACTGCACTGGCCCGAGGGGGTTACAAATCTTGGGAATAGCAAGGGCCTCCATCTCCACCTTGGAATTTCCTTTCATTGGCGAAAGTGCAAATTTAACTCTCTGCAATCTCTTGGTTTCACTAGATGTTCCACCGAGCATTGTAACACTTAATAACTCTGAGGGACCTTGCAAGCCAAGGGACTCTGCAATGCTCTTGCGCACATATGAACGTTGACTACCAGAGTCTAGCAAAACACGGACTGTCATTTCTTGACCATTAACAGTTAACCTCGCCAACGCTGTCTGTAGCAGTGTTTCCTTCAAGGGCAATGCAGGTTTAGCTGAAGCTAACCCACTTAAACTGATGTTGGAAGGCTGCTGGGGTGTAGCCACTAACTGCTGACCATGTAACAATTTGTGATGACGGCGGCCACAATTTGCCACAGAACACTTAGGTTGGCGACAAATCTTGGAAAAATGGTTGTGGTTGCTAGGCTTTAAACAATTGAAACACAGTTTATTCTCTTGAACTAGCTTCCACCTGTCATCTAATGACTTGTCATTGAAAACTGGGCAATTTGGCGACTCGTGACCTGCCTTACAGAAATTGCAGCTTGGACCAGTTAGCTCGCGTGCCTCACCAAGTAATGCAGAGGCTGTATACGCTCCATCCTCACCAATTCGAGGAAGTGACGACTTTCTTCTGTTATCTCTACCCTTATTGCTTTGGGTATTGTTCACATTACAACCTCTCTCTCCCGCTTCTTTAGATACTACTTGATCTATTTTATCCTCTTGGGTGTCTGCAAGCTCTAACTCCCATTTTTCTAGTAACTGAGGTGGCAACTTGGTCTCAAAGATGGGTAACAAAATACAACCATGACTCGCTGGATCTTCACCAAGCGCTTCTAAGGCTCTGGTTCTATTCATAAATGTGTCATAAAGATCTCTAAGGGCGGATGCGCTGACCGCCGACTTAGCATCCATGTGGATGACAGATTTCACAAGGGATGAGATTATCATACGTTTTCTTCCATACCTGTGTTGGAGGCAATGGACCGCTGCTTGATAATTTGCTCCAGTTACTTCAAATCCTTCTATTGTTTGCAAAGCATTACCAGTAAGCACTGAGCGTAGGTAAGTAAACTTCTGTACCTTGGGTAAGTCATCATTGTTATGCACTCCGGCTTCAAACTGGTCCCAGAAGTTTTGAAATTTCAACACATCCCCATTAAACTTTGGCAGTTCAATCCTGGGCAATTTAAGACTTGACGATTGACGATTGTCAGTATGTGTATTTTCTTTTGAAGACTGATGATCTTCCACTTTGGAATCCTTTTGGAGGTATTCATGAGCAACATCGATAGCTTTATCCACCACACGTAAAAGATCTCCCCATTTGCGAAGTTCTTCTTCTATCATATCCTCCGCGATCAGCGCGACTATTTCATTTCTCAGCTGAAGATATTTCTCTCTGTGCACGGTAAGTCTTTCAATTCTCAGCTTTACTTTCACTTTGTTACTTGTACTTTGACTAAGCTCCGAAATTTCCCCAATCAGCCCGTCCATATCTATTTGCAAGGCTTTGGCTTTGCGTCTGATCGAGTTAATCCCTTGAATTTCTACTTCACTCGAAGACTCCGCTGACTCAGCAAGATTCATTTCTTCCTTCGACTCTGGTTTAACAACATTTGACTTTGAATCGTCTACCAACCTTTCAATCAAGACCTTCTTTTTTCCAGTAGTTGGTAATCCCTTTTCTTGAAGCAGCTTTCGCAGCTGATCGACTGTAAGTTGCGATAAATCATCATTTTCGGTCTTTGGACTGGCGGCCATCTTATCGCCCACGTGGTGATGACCTTGCGAAGAATTACAAATTTACTGTTCAAATGTCACCTTGTATCCGGCTGTGAAGGACCATGTTAAGGAAGCGATGGAATACAAACTTGAACGCTTGAACACAACTTTAATCCGCTCGATCTACAATACACCGATTTACAACAGGTTGATGTACTGCCCGGGAACCCGACTTACAACAAATCTACGAGCGACTAGCAAGGAAGTCACGTGCACACATGTCCAATAAACACAAACGGATACGATTCGTCAAACTGATAGTCCATTGGTACCAATGGTACGATTGGTACCAATAGAAAAGCACCCTATTCCAATGGTTCTGTTGGTGCATATGCATCTAATTAAGGGGACTTACATTATTTTCCCATGTGACCTGGTTGGGTACAGGGCAATTCCAATGGTCCATTGGTACCAATGGTACGATTGGTACCAATGGAAAAGCACCCTATTCCAATGGTTCTATTGGTGAATATGCATCTCATTAAGGGGACTTAGATTATATTCCCTTGTGACCTGGTTGGGTGCAGGGCAATTCCAATGGTCCATCGGTACCAATGGTACGATTGGTACCAATGGAAAAGCACCCTATTCCAATGGTTCTATTGGTGAATATGCATCTCATTAAGGGGACTTAGATTATTTTCCCATGTGACCTGGTTGGGTACAGGGCAATTCCAATGGTCCATTGGTACCAATGGTACGATTGGTACCAATGGTAAAGCACCCTATTCCAATGGTTCTATTGGTGAATATGCATCTCATTAAGGGGACTTAGATTATTTTCCCATGTGACCTGGTTGGGTACAGGGCAATTCCAATGGTCCATTGGTACCAATGGTACGATTGGTACCAATGAAAAAGCACCCTATTCCAATGGTTCTATTGGTGAATATGCATCTCATTAAGGGGACTTAGATTATTTTCCCATGTGACCTGGCTGGGTACAGGGCAATTCCGATGGTCCATTGGTACCAATGGTGCGATTGGTACCAATGGAAAATGATGCCATTCCAATGGTTCTATTGGTGCAAAACAAGTTCACTTTTACACCAAGTGAAAACGCGCTAATAATTATTATGAACGTTCCTCGTTCTATAAGAAAACCAAGCAAAACAAGTTCGCTTTTACATCAAGTAAAAGCGCGCTATAATTCTTATGAATATTCCTCGTTCTATATCCCAATCACGCAAAACAAGTTCGCTTTTACACCAAGTAAAAGCGCGCTATGATTCTTATGAATATTCCTCGTTCTATAAGCCAACTATGCAAAACAAGTTCGCTTTAAAACCAAGTAAAAACGTGCTAATAATTATTATGAATATTCCTCGTTCTATAAGCCAACCATGCAAAACAAGTTCATTTTTACACCAAGTAAAAACGCGCTAAAAATTATTATGAATATTCCTTGTTCTATAAGCCAACCACGCAAAACAAGTTCGCTTTTACACCAAGTAAAAGCGCGCTATAATTCTTATGAATATTACTCGTTCTATAAGCCAGCCACACAAAACAAGTTTACATCAAGTAAAAGCGCGCTACAATTCTTATGAATATTCCTCGTTCTATATCCCGATCATGCAAAACAAGTTCGCTTTTACACCAAGTAAAAGCACGCTATGATTCTTATGAATATTCCTCGTTCTATAAGCCAACCATGCAAAACAAGTTCGCTTTTACACCAAGTAAAAACGTGCTTATAATTATTATGAATATTCCTCGTTCTATAAGCCAACCACGCAAAACAAGTTCGCTTTTACACCAAGTAAAAACGTGCTAATAATTATTATGAATATTCCTCGTTCTATAAGCCAACCACACAAAACAAGTTCGCTTTTACACCAAGTAAAAGCGCGCTAATAATTATTATGAATATTCCTCGTTCTATAAGCCAACCATGCAAAACAAGTTCGCTTTTACGCCAAGTAAAAACGAACTAATAATTATTATGAATATTCCTCCTTCTATAAGCCAACCACACAAAACAAGTTGCCTTTTACACTAAGTAAAAACGCGCTAATAATTATTATGAATATTCCTCGTTCTATAAGCCAACCACGCAAAACAAGTTCGCTGTTACACCAATTAAAAACGCGCCATAATTCTTATGAATATTACTCGCTCTATAGGCTAACCGCGCAAAACAAGTTCGCTTTCACACAAAGTAGAAACGCGCTAATAGTTACAAAGCGAGGGCGACCTATATATCTAGCGCTAATAATATCTCAAGATGCTGCGAGTATAACAAACATCGTACGAACATTAAAATTGAAAGGTAACGCGTCACTGTCGTGTTCGTTCTGTTTATTGTGATTCACGAGCAAACAACAACATGACATATGAATGTCTTCTTTCCTGTACGCAAGCACTATTTTTCGGTAATTCTTACTTGTTAAAAGAACCCGAAACAACGCGGAAAGGCGCGAAACTAGCAAAGTGGTATTGAGGCAACAGGTTTTAACAACTGTACTCAACTCACTGTGAAATTAACTTCTGAAATTTCTTAGCGCAATTTCATTATCTACAAGGAAGCGTTTAAACCAAAACAAGTTTTCAATGAAGAGTTTCCGAAAAGGGTGGTTATATCATGCTATTGCTCCTAAGAGAGCCGTTTTATATTCAAGTGACTGAAGTCACTTTTGACTGTTGACGTGGGGTTTGTCGTGCTATAATCAAGGTCGTAGTAAAACCATTGATGTATTTAATGTCAACGTTGTCCTTGACAAATTGTATTTGCCGTGCTCTTTTCTCGGCTGTAGCTTGCGATGAGGCCAATCGTACCATTGGTACCAATGGACCATTGGAATTGCCCTGTACCCAGCTAGACCACATGAGAAAATAATCTAAGTCCCCTTAATAAGTCTCGTTAATGAGATGCATATTCACCAATAGAACCATTGGAATAGGGTGCTTCTCCATTGCTACGTCAATCGTACCATTGGTACCAATGGACCATTGGAATTGCCCTGTACCCAGCTAGACCACATGAGAAAATAATCTAAGTCCCCTTAATGAGATGCATATTCACCAATAGAACCATTGGAATAGGGTGCTTTTCCATCGGTACCAATCGTACCATTGGTACCAATGGACCATTGGAATTGCTCTGTACCCAGCGAGAGCACATGAGAAAATAATCTAAGTCCCCTTAATGAGATGCATATTCACCAATAGAACCATTGGAATAGGGTGCTTTTTCATTGGTACCAATCGTACCATTGGTACCAATGGACCATTGGAATTGCCCTGTACCCAGCTAGACCACATGAGAAAATAATCTAAGTCTCCTTAATGAGACGCATATTTACCAATAGAACCATTGGAATAGGGTGCTTTTTCATTGGTACCAATCGTACCATTGGTACCAAAGGACCATTGGAATTGCCCTGTACCCAGCTAGACCACTTGAGAAAATAATGTAACTCTCTTAATGAGATGCATATTCACCAATAGAACCATTGGAATAGGGTGCTTTTCCATCGGTACCAATCGTACCATTGGTACCAATGGACCATTGGAATTGCCCTGTACCCAGCTAGACCACATGAGAAAATAATCTAAGTCCCCTTAATGAGAAGCATATTTACCAATAGAACCATTGGAATAGGGTGCTTTTCCATTGGTACCAATCGTACCGTTGATACCAATGGACCATTGGAATTGCCCTGTACCCAGCAAGACCACATCTGAAAATAATCTAAGTTTCCTTAATGAGACGCATATTTACCAATAGAACCATTGGAATAGGGTGCTTTTCCATTGGTACCAATCGCACCATTGGTACCAATGGACCATTGGAATTGCTCTGTACCCAGCTAGACCACTTGAGAAAATAATGTAACTCTCTTAATGAGATGAATATTCACCAATAGAACCATTGGAATAGGGTGCTTTTCCATCGGTACCAATCGTACCATCGGTGCCAATGGACCATTGGAATTGCCCTGTACCCAGCTAGACCACATGAGAAAATAGTCTAAGTCCCCTTAATGAGATGCATATTCACCAATAGAACCATTGGAATAGGGTGCTTTTTCATTGGTACCAATCGTACCATTGGTACCAATGGACCATTGGAATTGCCCTGTACCCAGCCAGACCACATGAGCAAATAATCTAAGTCCCCTTAATGAGATGCATATTCACCAATAGAACCATTGGAATAGGGTGCTTTTCTATTGGTACCAATCGTACCATTGGTACCAATGGACCATTGGAATTGCTCTGTACCCAGCTAGACCACATGAGAAAATAATCTAAGTCTCCTTAATGAGAAGCATATTTACCAATAGAACCATTGGAATAGGGTGCTTTTCCATTGGTACCAATCGTACCATTGATACCAATGGACCATTGGAATTGCCCTGTACCCAACCAGGTCACATGGGAAAATAATCTAAGTCTCCTTAATGAGATGCATATTCACCAATAGAACCATTGGAATAGGATGCTTTTCTATTGGTACCAATCGTACCATTGGTACCAATGGAGACCCTTCTTATCACCACTAACACCAATGGAGTCTATTTGTGAGTATTGGACAACCCTCGTCACGTGACGTGTTATCTACATAATTTATTCTACTCTCACAGGTCCAGTCTCACGGGGCTTTTAATGACCCGAGTACGAGTACGACGATGGGCCGTAACAGAAATATTCCATGTAGAAGTACACCTTGGAGTTGTTGATCTGAGAATGTAAACTCCCTTGAGTAATCTCGCTATTTAAGGATCTGAACCAAGAGAATCTCGATCATTTTTCACGGAACAAAGCGTTGTAGATAGTGCAGAACGATAAGTGTTAATGATACTGTATCCTTTGCCCTCATGATAACAGTTGAGAACTCCACCACCTGGTTGACAGAAGCTTGAAGTAAATCAATTTGCCGTTTGTAACACCAGCTAGTCCACTTGTCCCACACGTACTGCTGTTCATGGTGCACATATGATGTCAACTGCTTGCTTTGAAAATCCTTTGTTTGACAGAACTTTTCTGATAATGTCCAAGCGGCCAAGTTCAGTTTGTGTCTCACTGGGTGCCGTTCTTAGTTATGAGGGAGACTCAGGAGGTTATCTAGACGAGGTAACAAGATTGGCTGAGTTGTTAACAACTGTGCACTGAAGTGGTTACTAACTCTGAGCAGGCCATACCAATGCAGTTAATAGAACTAAGGCTTTGTCGTGGCGACGCTTGGCTAGGACTCGAGGTAGCAAACTAAAAGGAGGAAAGGCATAGCAATTCATATTATCCCAACTCAAAGAAAAGGAATTTATAGCCATTGCACCTGGCTGTGGGTGCCAGGAGATAAACTTCGCAGTCTTGGCATTAAGCCTAGATGCAAAAAAAATCAATTTCAGGAATAAAGGTTTGAGAAATAATTTCCTGAAAAACCAAACACATGATCTAAGGATCACTCCAAATTAGAGGGGATTTCCCTGGATAAGGTATGGGCCTGAGTAGTAACCTTTCCTGGGATGTGCTGAGCAGAAATAAAAATATCCCTCAACTTGCACCATTCCCAAATACTTCTGGACAATAAATCTAATAACGGGGATCGTGCACCCTCCACATTGTTAATACAGGGCACTGCAGTGGAGTTGGCAATTGCAAGTCTTACATGAATGGACCTTGAATTAGACTCAAAACACTGGAGAGCATGAAATGGTGCTAGAAGTTCCAGGTAATTAATGTGATGTTTGGATTCGCTTTGAGACCACCTGCCAGATACAGACAGGCTACCACTCACGGCTCCCCAACCAATTAAACTTGCAACACTCTGAATGTAAATGTCAATCACTTTCGGAACCTGAAAAAGTCTACCATTGCACTGGGTAATATTCTCAATGACCCACTGTAAACCAGAACGAGCTTGAGAGCATAATGATCGTGCCCTGTCATAATCAAGGCTTCCAGACAACGTTTGAGTCTTGCGCAACTCTTAAGGAACGGTAATGCATCTCTAGATAATTCACAGCCGGGAGTGCAGAAACTAGCAGCCCACTTACTTTAGCAACATCCCTAACACTAGGTTGGTGCTTAGCTAAAAGGAACTTTGAAGGCCAAGACTATTTTCTGTAACTTAACAGCCAGCAACTGCAATTTCATTACTATGGAATTAATTATTAAATCCAAATAAAAGATCTCATGCATTGACAGAAACTAGCCGAGATTTCTCAACATTGACAGTAAGGCGCAACTCACAGAGAGTTGTTTTACGACCTCAAGTTGCTGTCAACACTCGTGATAACAGCGTGCAATAAGAATGAGATCATAATAACCCTGAAGGCAATAAATCTAAAATATGCTATAACAGGTTTAAAAATGTTAGTGAAAACCCTGGAAAACCCTGGATGCAAGGCTGTACCCAAAAGGTAAGGAAGTAAACTCTTAACGCTTGGAATTCCAAAGAAAACGTAAGTATTTACGATGGGGCTGGAAAATAGGTGCACTGAAATAAGCATCCTTAAGGTCAATAGAGACCATGCAGTCCCCAGGGGAAATACATGCGGATATTCTCCATCTTGAAATGAATGTTTTTCACAAATTGATCGAGGAGGTTAAGGTTTATAACTGGCCGAAAGTCCCCGGTCTTTTTGGGAAACAAAAAGACTGTAGAAATGGATTCATTATCACAAGGATACACTTCAGTCACAGCACCCTTAGAAATTACCTTTTTAAATATCTTTTGTTGACCAAGTCGCGAACTAATCAGTAAAATTATAGAAGAGAGATAGGGAAAATATGAAGGGTCATTATGTTTTGCACTGAACTGATGACTCCAATTTGGTATGATTTGTCCCATTTTAGGCCTTGGGAAGAAAAAGTTAGCTAGAAAAAATATTATTCATTCGATCGTACTTAAACCAACGATTTTGTAATTAGGGCCCCTAGGGCTTTATTCTGGCTGAGTTTGAGGCCAGGTCATTTTTTAACTATTTCCACGTCTAGTTGATAATTACGCGGCGGAGCAGCTCTTAAAAAGGCAAATTGCTTCCAGCAGGTTCTTAATCCACAAGGTTCTTACATGCGGGTTTTAACTGCATTGTATTAACTTCACAAAACTACTGATTAGTGTATTTTAAATTTTACTTTACTTGCAGGAGGGCAAAAGAAAGAGTGATATTCCAGCCCTTTGGTGGATTGATGGTGACGGTAATGAAGTGAAGTGGAGTTTTCAAGATGTCGTTTTGAACTCTAAAAAGTAATAGTTTTCTCAGCCTATCCCCTTAAATGGCATTTCCAACCTATGCTTAAATTTACCTGCTCCCTAAAGTAGGATTTTTTTCAAATGGCACTTACTGCACCTACGGGTCCGCCACTAAAGAAGTGCAACCCCTTACAAAAGTTCATGAGGCTTGTCACTCCCCAAGGTAGATATAACGATAAATTTAAATTTAACTTTTTCACTGCTTGGGTAACCTCCATCTATCCTTGAGCAAACCAAAACGGTGCCACCTCGGCCTCGTATTCAGAGATTGCAATCTTGCTTTTTCTTCCCTCTAGGACGGCTAACTTGCTGTGTGCGGCCGCTGATATCAAACCAGGCGACCGTGTGATGGTAATTTTGCCTGCAGTTCCGGAGTATTGGATGATACAGGCTGCTTGTTTAAGAACAGGTTGGGTTAAGGTGTCGTAGATTTGATTTAACATCGATCCTATAGACTTGCTACAAGTCGACTTCACGAGTTTCTTAGCAAGTGGAGCGAACTTCTTAGTCTGCGCCATATTAAATCGGACGAACGACTTTTTTGAAAGTCTATGTGGACATACTAACTCAAGGTTTTGAAAGAGGCATTAGGCATTGACAGGAGCCCACGATGGGCTCCTGGCATTGACGATAAGAGCGTGCGTTTATCCTGTCCTGTAATTTGAAACCGATGACCAGTGCTTCCTTGATTGGTTCGTTAACTCTAACTGCATCGTTTCTATCAGAATTCACCTTATTTTAATTCTCATGCCGCTTACTGTGCATAACAAATGTTCCAACATGTTAATGTCAACGCATAAACCCAGTCAATTTCTAAGAGAGGAACCGTTGGAAAGGCCAAGAAAACATTTTCTCAGTCCGCACAAGAGAGGCTCTCTTCACTGGCTCTCATTCACATCCACTATCTAACCTACATTGATCTGAAGAAATCTTTGATTGATCTGTTTCCAAGAAAGACCCAAGGAAGCTTGAGCTTGTTTGGTACCGCTATTGAATAGTCATGATGCAAAGATCATGCATCAAACTTTGCGAATTATACGGATTTACAACTTTCTTTCTGCTTTTTTTCTACTGTTATTGGCACCCCGTTTTGTCATTCTAAAAAGTTGTAAAATAAAGTACTCTATTTGAAAAACATTACTTTGAAGATTAAAAGTGTGAGAAATGCCCAGTTCTTCAAAACGCTTGAAATGCAGTCTCAGACAACCTAATTCCAACCCCCACCCCTGAGACTTGCGCCCCCGGCATCGTTTGTTGGATCGCACCTCAACGTAAAAAAACCTGGCTACGGGCCTGTGCCCGTGCAAACGTTATCTAGTATAGTGTAAACATAGCCTAATATACGTCCACAATGGCTGACACTGATCTATTAATTTAGCACAATTGTTACAGGTGCAGTCTTCATGGTAATCCCAGATAACACTGGGCCTAAAGAACTTCACCGTAGAATTGTGAAGTCCAAACCAGTCTGTGTAGTGTCAGCTAACTCTGATCAAATTAAAGAAGAGCTGTTTGATGTTATTGACAAGGTATCTCAATGTGTAATTTGATTAAATAAACTATTTTGTAATGTTTAAATATAAGGCAGTTCAGGTATGGGAAAATTTTCGAAAGAACTGAAGTTTCTAAACAAAAAAGGTTCGCCTTGAAAAGAAACTAAAAAATTTTCTACTACGAAACCAATTATGGCTAACTTCATTTTCTTTTCTTTTATAGAAAAAAATGGCGTAGTAATATGTATTTATATATTTTTTGTCTTCCTTTTTTCCTCTCTGTTTTTCGATATAAAAAGCCCAATTTAACAATACATTGCATTGTATTATAAAGTTTTATTATAATTGAGAACTTTTTAATGTTACATGATCATTTTAGCTGAGCTTTGTTGATTTTATTCAAACCATGTCTGCACTCAGTAACCAACACGAACACTTCGGCCACTGTGGTCACTGAATTTTTTCATCGCTTATTTATCCTTTCTTTTGTAATTTGTGTTAACTGTATTTCCTTGATCCGTGCACAATAGAGGTGAAATTATTCTTTTCATAGTCTCGATATAAAGTGAGTAAGAGAATGTTCAATAAAAAGTAGTGATGAACAAAAGTGCCGTGTTGTAGTTGGAGTTTCTTTCCAAACGTTTCGGGTTTGGCCCTTCAGCAGCGAAGGTACACGTACTTTAGAATCGTCGCAAAGATCGATGAACGAGGTTCAACAAAATACCTTGATTTGTCAGATCAATTATTTCATTGCCGAAGCCGCGAGGCCGAAGTCAAAGGCGGTGGGAAATAATTGAAGTGCAAGACACCGACAGTAACCACTGCAACGAAAGGAGACAATTTTCAATCAGCATATATGTTTTGCTTTCGTAAACGTTATTAAAGGCATGAGGAGCCACTATTATCCCTAAAGACAGGGGCAAATTGCGCATAAGCTGAACATTGTCTGGAGCAAAGCAGAGCCAAACGACTTTTTCTCCATGGCGTATGGGTAGACTATTGTGACCGTGGCAGGATTAGCTCAGTCGGTAGAGCGTTTGACTGCAGAGCGGGAGGTCGCGGGTTCGATTCCCGGGGCCGGACCAGTACTCAGGGTCTTAAAATGACTGAGAAATGAAGGTACTTCCTTTACAGGGCAAGCGGCGAGACCTTCGCGTGGCTCGGATGACCACGTAAAATGGCGGTCCCGTCTCCATTAGGAGACGTAAAAATATAGTGTCCCCAATTAGCACTTTCATGCTAAATACATTGATACTCAAATAAAAAGTGCAAAGTGCATTTGTCTGTAGGCTGCAGAGACTTTATGACCTCTAGACCAATCAAAAGGTCGGAAAAAATGGTTTGAAATATGATGATTATTTATTATGCCTTTGCTACTCATTTTTTGTTTGTTTTTTCGATTTAATTTGTTTTACAGGTCATAGAAGTCAATATTAAAACCAAGATTTTGGTCAACAGGATCAAAGTTAAACAAAGGTATCTGGCAAGATGGTTCTCTGCTCCTGCGTCCATGCGCATCTTTCTAACTTCTTGCACAAAAACCATCCATCAAGAACGTCTAAGACAAAACGTTTTCATTTTTTAAGTTCTCCTATGTAATAGCGAGGAGCAGATAGTCTTGTTGAAAGGACCGAGAAAAAACAATTATTATTCTTTGATACCAACTCTAGATAGAACTTTTGTCAAAGAAACTAGCATAATAGAGCTTGGACTTGCATAATAGAGAGGCCAAAACAGAGTTATCAATTACGTCAAATTTGAAATTGCGACCGTAGTCTTTTCATTTGCGAGGAATTTCTTATATTTCATGCCCTGTACGCCCTCTTCTAGGCATATAAATAGAGTCCATGATCTTTTATTTTATCAATTACAATTGGATACTCCTCTTGTTTTTTTTTCTCCAATTTTGTTCTTTTTTTATTATTTTCTTTCATTTCATCTTACATTACATTATATTACAATACCAACTCAATTACTTATAGTACATGCACTGACAAACCAGATTAAAACTTCACAAAATTACAAATGCAAAAGGAAAAAACAAAGAACACAAAACATAAGGTCCTAAAGTATTTATAAGAAAAGAGAGCAAGGCCAATATTGAGAAAATTAATAATGCGAAAGTACAAGAAATAAATATATTTAATTCATCGCGAAGTGAGTTTATAATCTCGTCGAGCGCGTAGTGCGTGGACCGTGCGTAGATCCTAGCGAGCTGCAAACTCGCAGCGCTTATCTTTACTTGTATATATTCGATGGTGTACGTACTGTATGTTTCTTGTAAGAAGCAAATATTGCACCTTTTAAAAAGGCTAAGCCAGAGTAATCTTAACAATATTGTGGTCTTTACTATACTTGCAGGAAAGGCTGGCTTGCATTTGAGAACCTTTTGGAGACTGCAAGAGTCGATTTTCAGGTTGGAAATAAGTTTTCTGTAGAACTAAAACTTTAATTTGTGCCGCCTGTCATTTTCATAATAGTAAGAAAAGATCAACTTGCTCCATCATATTCAAGTTGTCTTTATACCACAAGTGGCGTGTTCGTTTTCATTACCATTGTTTTTCATGCACGTTCCTCTAACGTTAAAAATCGCGAAGGGTTGCATCCTTCTACCGTTAATGTTGTCTTGTATAGTTGATTTCATTTAGTACTTGTCACAGCTTGATTTTCTGGTTTTCGCTTGCGACATACGAATAAACTTATTCAGAATCTCCCCACCTGCTTAAAACATACAGATAAGACATAAAACTGAAGGTCGACCTTCTTGGCGATCTTTTTGCACAGGTGACAAGCACTCACGAATAAGGAGCCAGTACGTTAGAATATAGGAAAATCGGTCTGTCTACAGCTGAAAAATTGACAAAGACGGCGGAAAAAACAGCCTCTCTCACTGTGAGACGCATGTTGACACGTGTTCCTTGGGCTTGCAAATTTCGCGCGCTCTGGAGTAAAATAATTTCAGCAAAGAATGATCGACGAAAATGCTGTATGCGCCAGTATGATAACATTAAAGGATTACGAAGGAACTAAAATAGATCTGACCAGCCGAAAAATATTATTATTATTACTTTTGTTGCTGTTATTATCATTATCATTAATTAAAAGTAAACTTTGCAAGACATCAACGTGACACAGAAAGAACTTTAACAGAACAGAGTGAAGTGATAAGCAGCCCTTTTACTCTCTTTTTTCCTCATTACGGCAGAGCATAGAATGATTACTTTGCGACTATTATACTTACGTGTAGTTTGCATGGCAACATTCTTTGGTTGTAGTTGCTGGACTTCTTTTTTCTCACCCCGTTCACAACGGTTGATATTTACCTCTGTTTTGAATTGTTTAATACATAACGTCTTTCTATTTTATTTTTCTTTCTCTTTACAAGTCCGTGAAGTCATTAAGTTCAGCTCCCACTAACATATTCTTCTCAAGCGGAACAACTGGAAATGCAAAGATGATCGAACACTCGCAAGCCAGTATGGGACTGGGAAGTTTAGCAATTGAAAAGTACGTAACAAAGGCGGAAGAACCACGGGTTTTTGGCATTTAATTTGATCCCTTCGCCACCAAGGGGTAGTGGGTAAGAAGCACAGGGAGGGGTGAATTTCTTCCTGTATGAATGGGTGGGGCTTTCAATAGACAGAGGACAATACCAATTTCAGCACTGAAGCACGCATACCAATTCGGCAGTATGACTGATACCTTGCGCATACGCACAACCGAGGACGAAACAGCTCTCTTTGTCTGCCACTGCCGGGAGTGATATGGTTGTGCGCATTAGTAAGGTACTGGCCATACCGTGGAGTTGCTACGTGTGCTTCTGTGCTGAAATTGGCATTCTTTCTAAAGAGGGTCTGCTTTAGAGAGAAGAGCTGTAAAATGCATTCTTTCAGGTTTTTTCCAAGTTAGGCTTAAAGCTTTTAACTGAATCATTTTCTCTTACAGGGTTAACGAAGAAACAGATTTAATTTGGGTAACTACTCCTACTGGGTGGACTGTGCTTCTTACTCGGTCTTTTTATGGTGCTTGGTCCGATGGAGCAGGGACTTTCGTTCATTACAAGAAAGTGACCCCTAGAGAAGTCCTGAAAACCTTGCAGGAGTATCCTATTACTGTGGCTCAGTTTAGGCCTTCCATTTACATAAAGGCTTTGGACGAGGGAACTCTTGATAGCTTTAAATTTCCCACATTAAAACGCTGCTTAGTCTCAGGGGAACCATCAAACAAGAAGGTGCTACGTCGTTGGAGAGAAAAAACAGGAGTTGCGCTCTGGGACATTTACGGACAAACGGAGTTGGTATGTTTCAAAATGTGTTAATCAGGGCCTCCAATAGCCTGCGGACACAGTCGTATTTCCGGTCGTCGCAATACTTCTGTGTCCGCAGGCTAGGCCTCCAAAGATGTCTTCATTTAAGTGTCAATGCATTTCGCACGAGGTAATAACTTAAAACTCGCTTTTTCTACCCCCTGCTTTTGTAAGACGAGACGGCCAATTCTAAGTGGTTATTCAAGTCACGTGAAGGTTTAGGGTGATCTTTCCCTAGGGCCCTCCCCTCCCACCTCCTCCGCTCGGCAGTACAAAACTGAGCCACTGAGCTCCTGAGTCCATTGGGAAAGGAGCCTAGTTTATTTCTGTCCTTTTTGAGAGGGTATGTAAACTACATTATTCTTATGATTGGAGGCACTGTGCAGACAGCGTTGACTGCACAACCTAAACACATTCTCAGATTGTGGCCCTTTGTTTTGAGGTCCACTTACTTTCAGTATGATGGAGAAATTTATGAATGCCAAAATGTCGCAGCTACGTGAGGACAATTCTCCGCAGTCATAGCAGACATTTTTATGAACTACCGTCACACATACTATCATAGACATACCACGTTGAATACTGATCAGGCTCTCGTTACATATCTTTCTCTTTCATCTCGTATTTTCATATTTTTTCTTAAAGAATGCTTTGACATGGTACAGAGACGCAGGAAACAGCTCACAGCTCGAATCTGTTGGTAGGCCTTTCCATGGTGTTGACATGCTTGTAAGTTGATTTGACTACTAGTAGTAAATATTCACCAACTTAAGCCGGACATTCTGCGAACAAATTCTGATACCTTCGCAGTTACGTCTTCATGTTTTGTAGGCTTATGCACTGTTTGTCAACTATCATTGAAATATAGGTTGTTGACGATAATAACCAAGAGCTACCGCATGACACAGTGGGAAGAATTGTGGTTCGTGTAAAACCCTATCGTCCTGTTAAGATGTTTACCTGTTATGTGGTAAGAAAAAGAAATAATTGTTAAGTGAGTTAACTCAGTTTTTTAGATTTAGCTAGAAGAAACCTAAAGGTGATGTTACCCGAGACGATTCGCCACCACGATTTTTCGCGCAACACAGCGTTGCAACATTGTTGCGACATTCAGGTTTCGAATGGTTACAACATTGTTCCAACATTGCAACGCTGTGTTGCGATAAAAATCGTCGTTGCGAATCGTCCCGTGTAACATTACCTTAAGTTTCCGTTGAAATCCTCTCTCAAATCCTAGTTCTAACATACATACGAATAATGAACAATGTTACTATGAACTTTATTAACCTGAAGTGATAACTTGTTTGTAGGATGATCCTCAGAAAACGGAGGCTTGTTTTTCTGGAGATTTTTACGTGACAGGTGCGTTAAGTTTGTGAACATTACAAGAGAGAAGTTGACGAGGACGTTTTCCTCGATGAGTTTTCGTTGTCATAAATAGCTTACCTTATTTGTAGCAATAATGTAATCGCTATCGTTAGACCCCCAGTCCCTCACGCATGTTACGAGTGGGCTTTCATCTAATGTGTAACTTGAATTACGATTTTATGATTTCAACCTGAATCTGCTTCAATTAGCTAATTATATATAGAAGTGGCTTCGCTCTATTCACGTCTGCTATTGTAACATGGGGAGTGTCAGAAGCTGATTCCAAACGAAGCCTCCATTCGGAAACCAATAAAAAACTGTACAAGTTTTCTCTTTAGAAGGCAAAAACCTTATGAAGTTCTCCCATTTACATGGCCAAGACTAGAAGTTATCAATCAAAACTTGCTAATATTATCAAGTACACCCTTATATTATGCTAACTGGGCGTTAAAGTACCTTGCAATTAATTCATAAGTAAAGTCGGAACCTTTCACTGAAGGACTAACTATGCTATACTGCTGAGTTATGACCTTTATCTGCCTGTGCATATTTTGGTACTGAGCTCTAACGGGTTAAATACTGAAACAGGTGATTTGGGACGGAGGGACAAAGACGGTCATTTCTGGATTGTCGGACGAGCTGATGACCTCATTAATGTGAACACGTAAGACATTTTTCTCTAGCAATAAACCTTTCCGCTGATACGTGTAGCCGTATCTTCAAATAACTTTCACAAAATGTTCTTTTTACCGATTGAAAGTTAATTTTAAAATAAATCAGTCTAAACTTTTCCCTGTATGAAGCTTTTTTGCATTATATTCCTCCTTCCTGCACCTTGAAGATGAGGCATAAAACAAGTGGCATACTGTCGAGCGAAAGCTCCAGAGTCAGTTTCATCTGATTTGATTGTATGGATCAGAATACTCCCTAACAAAAACTTTAATTACCGCAAGTAATAACAATGTAACTTACCGTGATTAGGATTGCTTTCATCCTCGGAGACCCAGGGGCAGTCTAGTCTGCACCACAGCAGTTCTTTGTGTTGTCATCGTCGTTGCGTGACGAGACAAAGAACGGCTGTGAAGCAAGTTTAATTTTCAAGTTTCAAGTTTATTTAATATATATGAAAACTATTTACAATCAAATCTGACTGACTTGCATGTTGCTAAAAATAATCAAGGCAGGTCAGTCTCACAAGTTCTTAATATTACAAATGGCAAAAAATGAGTTTGAAAAAAGGCAAGATTAAACTAACAGTTTTTCAAAAAAAAAAGCGAGAAACGTATAAGTACTAAGAGAGAAAAACTGGAAGTATATATTTTTTAAGTTTGGCTATGATTTTGTCATTATCTTTATAGTTGTCTTCGGTTTTCAATATACTTAATAAAGCTCCTTAAAGTTTTTTCTGAAGGTCGTCTTTGATATGTTTTTTAAGCTATTTGGCATCTCATTCCATATCTGCTTAATTTGAATATGATGGTAATCTCTTCGCATGTCGTCGAAATGTCAGTCATTATTACATGTAGTCGTTTTGAGGAGTACTTTGTAAGGATGGTTAGCCGGTATAATTAGAGAATCATAACAATTATTTTCAGACTCCTGATCAATCCTTGTGATGTAGAGACGTCCTTAAGAGAACATCCTGCGGTACTTGACTGTGCTGTGGTCAGCAGTCTCAATCAGTTGTCTCAGGTATTTTTATTTATATCTAGATTAGACGTTTATACTGTAAAACTGGGTACGAATCAAATTTTGTAACATGAGACATTGAAGAAGAGTTTCTTTGGACGAGAGTATATCGTATGGGTGAGAATAAAACCTGGTAAGACACTGAATCTGAGATTGGTTAAGAGGGACCGGTTGCGTAAAACCTCTTCTAAAGTATCCAAGGGGCTACAATAGGTCAAGCTTTTGCTATCTGTCTTAAAGCTAAACCGTTTCTTTTCGCATCAACTGAATTCCAAAAATAATGGTCCAGTTTCGTTATTCATTAGACTATATTTAGGCATTGAAACTTTTTCCTGTCGTCTGTTGCAACAAATGGCAAAGGTGACATGGATTGAAAGCGGAACAAGTTGGGCCAGCTTTTTCAAGTTTTTAATGTTTTACCTACAAGAATCATTAAAAAAACATAGTTAGTGCCGGCCCCTTATGAAATTTGTTGGTACCTTCTTCATAACTCTACAGGATCATTTTGTGCATGGGTGAACATGGGCACCAAGTATGACTTCAGCACAGAATTGACCCAAAACAGCATTATCCTCGTAATATAGCTCGTGATGTAGTGAAATAATTAAATGATACGGGTACGACACATTAAATGATTTTGGGTTTGTTAGTGTAAAACTTATAATTTTCGTATTTCTTTCTGCTACTTTTGAAACGTCCTGAATGGCCTACATATCGCGAGATCTTTATAGCAGAAATAATTTGTTGAGTTAAGATTGTGCCGCAGTCTCCCTGGAAAATGAAAGCTAAAGCATTATCCTTATAAATGGGTTTAATTTTTCTAATGTCCTCGAGTCTCTCCCTGGCAGCTTAGTTTAGTTGGAGAGAGACCCCGGTGATTGGAAGGTCACGGATTCGTATCCTATTCTCTCTCCTCCTCAAATCTCTGGCTGTATCCCACTAAAAATAGAGAAAAGTACTGCAATAATCGAAAAATAGAAAGCGCGCGGGGGACGATGGGAAAAGAGAAAAGGCGGGAGCCTACGTCCCTTCCTCTCTTCCCCCTTCCCATCGTGCCCCGCGCGCTTATTTTTCCCTTCTTCCCAGTCTCCGTACGACACAAAGAGGCCTCTGCGGAGGTGACAGTATCCCAGAGGGGATTTCTTGCTATCAACATCACAGCCAGCACATCTTTGCAATAATAGCGTTGTTAGTCATTACTTTTCATTCAGTCTCTAACCGAGGAGTTGCAATTTATTGTACCTGAAAATCTTTCTTATAATCGTATTGATTTTCTTTAATTTCCTTTCCCATTAAGTGACGGAATATAATTGAAGTTAGGAAAGAGGCTCTTATCTGGGACCTGAATCAAGTTTTGTTTGCCTTAAATAGGTTAAGGATATGTTTTCCTTTTTTAGACAATTTTAAAAGCATTTATTGTGCTGTCAACTGACTTCAAGAACAAAAACCAGGATGAGCTGATGAAAGAACTCCAGGAGTACATGAAATACAATGCTGCAGCCTGGATGTGTCCACAAAAGGTCATCGATTTGTGACATATTTTAATTCCTTTTACATAAAACGTACAGTCGACTCATTCATACTGCTATGTACCTCTTAAAAGATCCGTTTTACCAAGAGCCATAATGGCTCTTGGTTTGTTTACCCTATACAGTCTAACTACAAACTCTTATAACAGTGCGTTCTACGTGGAACGCAGTAACTCAAATTCGATGCAGAGTCTTTTTGACCCCAAGGAAGGTTTGGTAGGGATTAAACCAAAATACCACCGCATCTGAGATAGGATAGCCTGCGTACAGCCGCCACTTCCCCTTATAAAAAATCTGAGGGGAGGGGACGACTGTTCACAGGCTAGGATAAGAGAGTTTGGTACCCGGAGGGGCAAACCCTTATATATGACATATAGGTATATTCTGCCCCGTAGGGTATGGTTTTTGCGCCTTTTCGTTATGAAAATGGGTATAGACTTTGCCCATTTTTGTCTGGAATCGGGTGTGGTTTTCGGGGGAATTACGGGAGTGTATGAAAGTATTCGTCGTTTCAATTCCAAATAAATAAGTAAGAAAAAGTTATCCGAATTCGAAATGGATTTTAAGAAATCTTTTTGTTGGCGTTCTAATCTAAGTACATGTTATGTTAATAAGTAACGAGGCTAGGTCTGAAAAAGGGTGTGGAAAATGACATTTTTTTTAGTCTGGAACAGGGTTAGGATTTGGAGAACCGAGTGGCACACCTCCACCAAGAATTTCCAGGAGTAAACCCCGGGTAACCCCTGGTTTGGTAAACCCTGCACAAAAAAAATCATTAAACGTTTCTGGGCTGCTCACCTACCCCTCCCTTAAGCCAATATTTTACCCCATGCCAAGTGAGAAGTAAATGTTAACGTTGGCTTAGGGGAGGGGTATGGGGGCAGTTTCCCAAAAACGTATAATCCATGATCCAAAGAAACAATAAAATTTCTACCTTTATATCATCCTATTTTACAGATTGAGTTCATAGACGATCTTCCAAGAAATTTATCAGGCAAGGTAGTTAGACGTCAGCTGAGAGATAAGGAGTGGAATATCCAGTGAATGATACAGCCCTACACATTGCAAAGTAAACTTGCTTCAGACTCTAAATAATGGAACAGGAAACTTCTGTTTTGTAAGAAACAGCCACAATTGAACTTCATTCCGATCACTTTTGTTATGATACTGTATGTTTCGTTTTGATGCCCTCGAGGGAATTTGTCATTTGTCTTTTCGTAAGTTATGTTATGCACATAGTAAGACAACATTTGAAAGAGGCACTTCTCTAGAGTATTGCCACATGACTGACATTTGAAAAACAAAACGTAAAAACAGGTGGATTTCCACTGTCGCGTAATTTTTCCGTGCGTACGCACGTAAATTATGCGCGCGTACATAAAATAGGGACGTTGTATGGAAGGTCACGCATATACGTTAAAGTTGAACCTCGTTCAACTTCTACGTTTACGCGTGGCCTTTCATACATTGCCTCTATTTCATTTACGCGCGTAATATACGTGCGCACGCACGGAGAAATTACGTGACAGTGGAAATCAACCCTAAGAAAGGACTCAAGGCCTAAACGTGTATGTACGGCTGAACAGGGTAAGGTTTTCACGGTCTTGGGTCTTAATCGTGGTATACAATTTCACTATTTAGCGTATTGAACTGGACAGTTTGCGTAGCAGGCGTTTGAGAGGGAAGGAGAAGAGGATTTTCAGCTCGAACGCCTGCCTGCAGGCTATGAACAGGGTGCCTTTTTGGACTGGAAGCCTTTAAAAGAGGGTAAAGGTTAGTGATGAGCGTTCTACATGTACACCCCGGTACATATAGAAGTTCTGCATGGTATTAACCTGGGAAGCTCCTAAAACAAAAGTTATTCCATGATATTAATATAAAAAATTACCTTAATTCTGTATACTAAACGAAACGAATCAGGGTCATAAAAAAAAAATGATGAAATTAAGTCTAGCCAAATAAACGAATTTTGTCTTAAACAGCGTTAGGGTTTGAAGGCCTCGGCCGCACCCCTCTACCCTTGAGTGCCCCTTACGCTCCCCCCACTCCCAGGTTTAAGAGCGAGATCCGTTATGCCCTCGTCCCTAACGAATTCGAATTTCATGAGATATGAGTCATTAGCCAGGTCATGCTTTGATTACTTCGTGGCAATGACTTTAAGGAAGCTTAAGAACTTAAGAACCAATAAAGCTAAATTGGTATAAAATAGGTGATTTATTTCTCAATTCATACACAATTATCTATCTAATTGTTACACTGTAATATTTCATTCATAATACTCTTTTTTAAAGTTGTGTTATACTGTACCGCACCGCCTCTTAATAAATCATAAGCACATTTTTATCCACTACGTATAACTCGTTGGCGTAATCAACATTGAAAGTAAGGAAGTCATCTTTTTTGGTTGACATGCCGCTGAGGAATAAAAAACAACTTACAAAGCAATTTCAAGGCAAGCTCAAGTTTATTATGGTTGACATTAGTTTCAGGCCGCAAGTATGAACACAGTAAACGAGTTTCAATATGAAAAGGAGGACACCCTTTTCGGTCCCTGAGGTACAAACTGTAAACGTTAAACACAGCCAAACAAATACTGTACTTATTTATAAAAACTTCGACAGAATGTTTTAGTGAAAGTCTGATTTTTGTATTGGTTCACAAGGTTGAAAACTGTTGGAATTTTCTCGTCTAAGGGCCCGTTTACTTGAAGGTGAAGGACCCCAGTTAGGTGAGGTAACCCGTTCAGGTGGGGTAAAAACATTACCCGCGTTTACACGCAATCTTACAACCACGCCATCCCGGGGTACACTTCCCAAGATTACTGAATGGTCGCTAACCACGTAGACAAAACAAATTGGCGGGCAAACGAGGTGTTTTGGCGGTTTTGGTTTTCTTGCTGTCACCTTTCAGAGCTGTGGCTTCCTATTGTCACTTTCATGCTCCAAAGTCTCCGCCAAAGACAGGGTTATCCCACCTTGACACGCTTACATGGCAAAATTTGACCCCGGCTGAGGGGTTGCTCGGACTGGCACACTGGGCAACCCGCCTCGACGGGTCACCCCAAAATGAGAGGTTATATGGACAGGCAGGTTACCCCACCTAAGCGGATTACCTCACCTATCTGGGTTTCCCCACCTCCATGTTAACAGGCCCTTAGGATATAGTAATACCATGTTCCAGAAATCCTCCACCTCTGTGAAAAGTTGAAAGTGGGAAAGATTTTCAGCCCTACTCTTTTAGTGCATGGTCAGATGCTCGTATCAGCTGCGATAAGAACCTTAAAGCTAACATTCACATGACAAATACTATTGCCGTGTTACCTTGCTAAGAATACAAAAATGTAATGTAGTTAACAATGAAGGTAATTGGCCAATGCGGAAAATACCATAGGATTTTTTTAACTGCAGTTTGGCTGGTGCTTCATGTAAACATGACTTCTGCATTCACCATTTTTAAATCGACAATAATATACACTTAATGTCAGATCTCGAGGGGAACGGTTAGTTTTGTTTTTCCTTGAGTCCTGACGTTTCCGGAGACGAAGTCGAGGGAAACATCAGGACTCGAGGGAAAACAAAACTAACTGGTTTCCCGAGGGACCTGACATTAAGTGGTTTGTTATATTTCTAGACTTTCACTTCAACAGCAACAAAAGATAACCAGAGCGAACCAAAACAGTCCACTCGGTACATATAACAACACCAATTTAATTCTCAAAACTACTGAATGAATGATTTGCAAAGTACTTTCATATATTATCTGCATCATTTTCCACCTCTAGCTACTGTTTCTCTTCTAGGATAACTTTTAAAATCGTTGCTTTTTAGCTTGAGGCTTCGTGTTTATGTTGTTGTGTTCATTCACGAAAAAGAAAACTGGCAGTGTTTTTCCCGCCTTCTGTCACGCCACTTTCCACCATGCCTTCATCAAGTGCTGTAATGTATCCTGAGTGGGGTACATTGCTTAATGTACATGATCGGGATTCATTTGATTTTAGTCAAGGCCACGTGACCAAGAATCAACCAATGGCAGTCCCTGTTTAGTTGAGTGAAAGTTTACGAATATAACAATGTACCTTGTTTACCCTCCCCCAACCCCTCCCCCACCTACCCCAAATTTTGCTTAACTATTGTTTCCAATTTCTTCTGACTATTACAGTCATCCCAAGAGAGATTGAAGGCAATGGTTATGCAAAATTTTTTTTTTTGGCGGGGGTAAACAAAGTACTTTATGGTGTGTACCAAAATAGGAGAGTTATGTTTTGTTCTTTGCATGGACTGCTCGTGCAGTGTATGCAAATTTATGATAACCTTATGCACTGGGCATGAAAATCATGCAAAGACCAAAGATAGTGCAAAAAATGGAGGACCATTTTAACTAATCTAGTACCCAGATCTTCTGTCAACAAGGCTTTGTCAACAAGAGATCTGGGTACAAGATTACATCCAAATGGAAATTGTTAAGAACTACATGTGAATTGAAAAGCTCATCCCTTATCCTCTCTCACAATCACCACTGGATAGTTTTCTAAAGTTCTTATAACTTGCACTTTCCATTCTATGTGGCTTTGATAGTCAGTAAAGGTATTGATAATAATTATAGCAACACCAAAAAGCTTAAAACCTGGTCTGCTATGTCAGTACAGCTCTGTAAAGAAACAACACCAATAATAACCATATTGATACAAGCCCAAAGCCAGGAGCCATACTGCCAGATGCTTAACTCTCCCATCCTTGTCTCTGATGTTTGATACTTGAACAACCGACAGAACTTCAACAAGACAAAAGATACAGTCTGAATCGAAAGAAAAAAGAAAATACTTATTAAAGCTAGGACTTGCATAGTATTATCAAACACCTATGTCGTTTTCATCTGACTTTAATGGCAATTTACTCTAGCATTTTAACTGGTCTAGTTAAAATCCCCAACCATTAAATTTTAAAAAAAGTAAAGGTAATTTGGTGAGATTCAGTGCAAACTCGGTTTTCATTTCATGGTAACTGGCTGGAATTTGAAAAATTGGAAGATGTAATTTGCAAGTGGCAGTTTACAGGCATGGCTAAGATATGAACTTGGGATTACTGTGCTCATATCCTACAAGTATTCAGGGCAGAACTTTAAGGGGCTACAATGTATGTCACAAGGATATTGGTGTTTTACATGTTGGTCAGTTCTGTGCTTAATCACTTAGTGCCTTTAACCATACACAAAATTCTACTGTAGATTTTTTGGTGATTTTTAGCAGGCATAGCATTAAGATTTTAAAAGTTGGCCCAACTCGTCCGACTTTTAATCCATCTCTATCCTTGCCACAGTTTTAATGCCTAACTGAAACTGGACCATTAATTTTGGAATTCAACTGATGAGAAAAAGTTTTACCTTCAAAAAAAAGAGAGCAAATTTTGTGACATACACATGTACATGTATATAGCCCCTTCAAACTCAGGGCCTTTGGACTGCATGTCCAGTGCTCTAACCACCCTCCAGTATTATACAGCAAATGACATTGTACCCAGCATCAGCTAACATGCTGGATGATGTTAAATTGGTCTTGGGCCTAAGGTAACCAATAAAATATCTAACACAACAATGACTCAAACATTGCATACATGATGAAGCAGTTGGATAATAACACAATTACATTACATTGTCTAAATCCGGGGCAGACTCGATGAGACAAACAGAGGGCCTGTACCTTACATGAGCAACCATAACATACATGTAAATAATTGTCATTATAAGGAAATAAGCTTTACGTTGGGAAACACTGGGCCGGTTGTTCAAAATAATGGAGTTTAGCCAGTGTTTAACAAAGCTGTGTTCTAAGACACTTTAAGTTTACCAAACCGCTTTATGTAAACACCATTTAGCGCGAACAGTTTCATAAAAGCATATGGCGTAGACAAGAAAAACATTTTTTTTCTTAAAAATACGCACTAAGGAAGAGATCTGGAGATCTGATTTCCTAAACTGCGGTCTAAGTTAGAATTCGTTTCTTCTCTGAAAAGCAGGTTTAACATTAAGGCGATTGTCAACTATACTGATTTCATTTAAAACGTAAATGTGTACCTTGACTCTCAGAGCTCTGGATGCCGTCTTCTGGCATTCATAAAAAAGTTTGCAACAGTGCCCCTTTCAAGTCCCAGTTCCTCTGCAAGAGCGTTCTGCATTTCTCTTGAAGGTTTCTTGGTTTCTTTGAAAATAGCAAACAAGGCTCTCTTCTGGGAGTCTGTAAAGTAAAGTCTTGCCCTCTTGCTTGGTGGATCTTCAGCATGTTCTTTTCTAGCTTTAGCATCAAGTTCCAAGGCAGCTGAAAGAACATAATCAGCATTAATCAGAGTAGATGAGTAAAAGAATTTACCATGCTGTTTTTTGCATGTACTTAAAAAAGATGCAGTTTCTCTGGTATAAAGAAAGAGAAAAATCATTTTACTGACATTGTTAAGTGAAAGTTCCAAACCTACTGGTGGCTTAAATGTTTTTCATTGTCCCATGCTCCTTAAAGGACAAAAAGTTAGCTTTGATGATCTTTGGTTCACATCAAATGTGTGACTTAGTGTGACTGAAACAGCAGGGCTTGAAATTGTGACTGATATGGTCACCAATGCGACTAACATTTTCTCCTTGGTAACTAAAAATTCTGGTTTAGTTGCCACTTTGGTGACCAGATTTCTCTATGGTTTAGATTTAAATAATTTTTCAAAAAGTGAAGTTAAAACAAACATTTCATCTTATCTTGCTTTGCTTTCGTCATAAAAAATGTGCCAAACTGCATAAACAAAGCCAGGTTACCTCCACATTTATACCGACTTATTTGTCCGCGATAATTTCAAACAATCAAATCTGATGGATTGCGCTGTACTACAGGGCTTCTGATAGGATGCGGAAAAAAAGTCAAATTTTGCGAGATTTTCACAGACAGATTCATGGAGCTAACTTCTCTGAAAAACAATCGGTAAAAAGTGGCAGATGTTATGGGAACTTTCTGGGCAAATTTCACTAGAAATCGATCGATGTTGCGCTGAATTGACAAGTGTGGTTAATGCTTTTTAACAGAGATAATAATTTTGCTATTCTAACAACAAAGCATTTGAGAAATGAGCCAATGGCAAAAATTTTAACATCAAGACTAGCACCCAGTTTTTGGCAACATAATTTACACCTGGTAGTTTTGGGACGTTCACTCATTGTGGTGATGAAGTTTCAACATAAATTTGCAAGTTTACAGCAATTAAACAGCCCCAATAGCCGTGATAAGTTTCAAATATGTTGTATCGACTTTTATTTAATAAGATTTCTCGTGAATTCCGCAGTAATTCGCATGTTTTTGTGAATTTCACGGGGTTACCTGAATTTCGCATCTCCACAACCTCATTACGTATCAGAAGCCCTGATGCTGTGAGCTGCGTCATTTACATTATCAGGCCATCTGATATTATGCAATGGTGCGATTTCGCACAATTGACCTTAAATTGCATTGGATCGCACAATTTGAGGAAAATCGCATAATTCGTAAAAAAAATGTTAAATTCAAGTAAAGTAAACAATAAATTCTAACTTAAATCAAACAATTTCCCAATCTTAATGTTATTTAAGGTGATTTACCACTAAAGAATGCCTTGCAAGACATCTGAAACCTTCGATCGCTGTATCTTGGCAGCCATTTTGATTTCAGAGACAAGCAGTGTGGTCAGCCGTGGAATGGCGTCACGTAATATTAAACAAGTGTCCTTTTTCTTTCTTTCTATTTGTTTTCTTTTCTGGGTCAACATAATTGGACAAATTTAACTAATTGGTTTTAAAATAGATGTTTTATTATTCTTTTACATTCAAATTGCCTGTTAAACAACATTAAAGTGATTTTTCTCCTTTGAAACCTGGAAAAACAATGTTAATTAGCCCTGAAAAAATCACATAATTTATCGCATTATAATCCTTTCTGATCACACAATCTACCCTGAAAATATCGCACAATTTCTGATTTTTGATCGCACCCTATCAGATGGGCTGCATATACAAACTGGTGCCTAAAAATTTGCATCTGGCAACTATATTTCTCCAGTTGGTCACCAAAGGGTGACCTGAGGATTTTTTTAATTTTGAGCCCTGAACAGTTGGTCCACCAGTCAGATGTGCCCTAATCCAAAGGAGTGACCTGAGGAAATTTTTTCATTTTGAGCCCTGAACAGGCAAAAAGAAAACATTTTTGGCAAGACTGTGCTATTTACAGGTACCACCAGTTCAGATGTGATTCCCTAATCCATTCAAAAATAACAATCCAAACCCCCATAATCAATGCTGAGCTGATTTTTTTACACTTTCCACATGACATCTTTTTTTTTCTCAGAAGAACATTTTCTTTTTGCTGCCATATCTTACAAAGGAAAAAACACGTTAAACTGAGGTCAGTGTATGTGCGGTGATTTTTTCGATCAAGACTGTCAGTTTCTTTATCTTTTTCCATCTTCTAGCTGTTATTTTGATTAAAGGCAATGAAAACAAAAAGGGAAGCAAAATGTGTTCATAAACCAAATCAACATTTGATTATTGAATCGAGGTACAATTTGACCGTTGGATTATTCATTTTGTGAATGGATTATTGAATCAACAAACGAAATCATTTTTCCATTAATGAATTCATTAGTTTGTTAGCGACGGGAACGCTTGACCTGGTTTGACTGTATCTTTTTCCATCTCCTGGATTATTGACTTTATCTGTGGAAGAGTTTCAATTTTTATTTTTGGAGGGTGTGACAATGAAAACCAGCAATGAAACATTTTATTACATAACCACCGTTAAAAAAAAGAAACTGAGCTTTTGCGCGAAAACAGGATGTCTTCACATGTGAAAGGTTAGTGCTGTCTATCAATTAGGAAGTCTCATGTCATTGTCCTCTTGGAAAAAAAAAACATTTCTTAGCAAATGAAATTGCCCAACATTAACCCATTCGCCCCTGAACCGCCCGTAACCACCCGTGCAGATCCAGGTCCTTTCTACCCTTTGTGACGTCATCAGTTTTAACGGTCAAGGACAACTTTCTTCGCTAAATTGTGCAGAGTGAAGAGATCTTTCAAACCATACCAGAATGAGCACAATTCAGTCAAGGACACCGGAGAAAGAAGCAAAAAACCACGTGACATTGACCTGAAAATCTCCATGAAAATCTTGTTCCATTACCCACCTACCTTTCCTTTCACCTAATCCTAAGATCCTAAAAGCTTTCCTGAAAACTCTTCCCACCAAAATAAAGCCTACTAAATGCCCAGCAAGAGAAAAAAAAATGAGGCAAGAAAAGCAAAAAAAGAAGGGAGGAGAGAAAGCGAAGAGTAAAAGTCAAGACTGCTGTGTCACTTTTAAACCCAAAAACTATCTCGACATTTTGCTTTCTGCGCATGCCCCAACTTCGCAAGCTGATATTTTGCATCTGGATCAGAAGGCCGCGAAGTGTACGACCTGTAAACCGGTTTGTGGTAAGTTTTAGCTCTTTATAGAATGACAGTGACCAGAAAACCACTCGACTAGCTTCAAAACGTGTTTTCCGGCAAAATCTCCAGGAGCGAATGGGTTAATAAAGGAGCATTAACCATTAAGGTGGCTCGACCCCGGGGGGGGGGGGGGCACTGCCATATATGGGCTATATAGGTATGTGCCGCTGTGAAGGGTATGGTTTTCAAGCAGTTTACTCTAGGATAGGGTATATAAATCAGAGTGTTTGGGTCTAGAATAGGGTATCATTTTTTAGGAAACTGATCAGTTGGTTGAAGATTTTACCTAGACTAGGGAAACAGCTACTCTAGGATAGGGGGGATTTGGGGAGTTTACTCTAGTATAGGGTAGCAAAATTCAGCTCAACTAGCTCTGGTATAGGTTAAGGGTTCCAGGGTCACAGCGGCACATCCCCACCCAGAAATTCCTAAAGTACCCCACCCCCCGGGGGGCTTGACAGGGTTTTTTAGGGTCAATACCTCCCATGTTTGAGCATAAACTACGTCACCATTAACAGAGATTTGGAAAAATTGCCACCACAGCTGTATTAGGTAAAGATGAAAATTTGCTATGATCAGGGTTACAATAGAAAAAGTTTCCGTGAACAATTTTCGAAGAACATTTTCCAGTGCCAAGAAATACAGTTGCAAATAAAAGAAATAACTAGGCATCATTTTGTTGCTATGACAACTCCGATGTCATTGCAACCTTGATCACAACAAATTTTCATCTTTACCTGATACAGCTGTGGTGGTATCAATGGTATTAATGGCCATGTTCTTTAAGCTCAAATGTGCGATGTATTGACCCTGAAAAACCCTATCAAGCCACCTTAAGCTTACAGTCAGTCAACAAAAGAGCATTATGAAAATGTGCCACAATAAGCAACACAGGTGTAAACAAAACAGTTTGGTCAAAATGGTGCTGAAAGAAAGGAAAATCCCTGGGGGAGGGTAATTCCTAGAAGTGGGCTAATGAGCATGTGCTGCTGGATGGGGTCGCATTTTCACAATTGGATTGACTATTATGGTGTTACATTCTTGTGAGAGTTACTAGAATGGGATAGTGCATTTTCAGATTTTTGGGGGCAGAAAATTCAGGGACAGGATTTAGGGATTTAAAAATAGAAAGATTTAGACCACATTAAGTTACCAAAAATGTGGCAGTTCATTTTAGGATGTTCTAGTTCAAAGGCTTTATGAGGTAGTTGCATAAGCAGAAAGTGACTAAGATGGGATTGCAAAAATAACTTTTTTCTTGGGGGGGTATGGGTTCTGAGAGGCCAGCGGCACATACCCAGCTGCAATTAACCCAAGTAACCACCGGGAGCTAAACAATTTTTCACACCAAAGCGTCACTAACCTTCTGCCCTCAATTGTGGGATCCTCTTTACTTCTGGCAGATCTAACCACTCCTTCATTTTACGATATATTTCCCTGCCACCTCTCAACTCGTTCCAAGGTTTTGGCTTCTTCAAAATGTCACTTAGTGTCCCTTGAGAACGATTTAAAACTTTTCGTGCAAAAACAGCTTGTGGTATTGAATACTTCTTGAGTTCATTAGCGAGAGTTTCGGCAATTTGTTTAGTGTCAAGGTCTTCGAATCTCTTCAAATACAATTCGGCTGATTCTCCCTCCAAAGTATCGGTAGATTCCGTAAGCTTATCTTGTGGCGGTTTTCTCGTTCTTAAGCCTTTATTTTCATTTGATGACGAACTACATGTCTCTGATTGGCTTTCACTCGAGAATTCTCCTCTGTGAGTCTGGTCTTCATCTAAAACGCCATTACTAGAGCTGTATTCTTGTAACTGCGTAGTGCTTGCGATCAACTCGTTAATCTGATCCAGAGCGACTTGTTCAACGACAACAATCCCTCGAGTGTTCTCCAATGAAAGCCCCTCTGAAACCACGGTAGTCGTAACGCCCGAAGTTTCTGTATCCAGCAAGTTATGGTTTCTCACATTTTCGTTCATTTTATCGCTGATATCCCTGGAGTTCGTAAGAACCTCGACCCCTGCCTTCAAACGACTTCCCACATCACTTATGCTTATCTCGTTTGCTATCTTTGACTGCTCGTTGTAAGTATAAGGTGAATTTAAAGGAGATTTCCTCTGAAGACCTAGTACTTCCGAAATAAAAGTTTCGTCGCGAACATCGTTCTTCGAAGAGTGGATATTGTTTCCGTCGTCGTTACAGACAGAAGAAGTGTTAACTTCTTCCGAGGCTCCAAGAATTAACGGATCCAACTCATCCACATTAGCATTTGGATTAACAGATTCAACAGACGAGTTTGAAACCGACGGTAATGAATTTACGGCGGAATCTCCACGGGCATCCATCCCAGAAAGTTACTACGTTACAAAGTCTTCAGCCTACTATAAAACTTGTAGTGAAGTTCTCCACTATTGACGTAAATTAAAGGCAAAAATTTAAGTAACTTTGAGTCCAACTGAACGAAAAGTCACCGCCATATGTAGGAACAGCTTGACTTTGCGACCACCCCTTGTTATTCGGTCGTAAAGAGTGATAAAAGTGAATGGATTTCCTTCATTTCCCTTCTGTTCTTTCATTCTTGTCATTCTTGGACATCACACCAGCCCAGAATGAATTACCTGTTCCTACGATAGATAAGGACAAGAAATTCGCACGTATGATTTATTATTGATTCAAAGTATTTCGAGGTAAGCATGTTTTAGCTTGTTTTTTAAAGCAATGAATGTCATGGTCATGATTTGATTCTGCATAATTCTGCACATCATATACTCAGTCTCACCCAATAATTGCTGATGATTAACAGTTTACAATTTAGAATTCTCAGCGTCTCCACTGAGGTGGCTAATCCCAGTTGAACTCACGAATTACTATAATGTTCCAGGCGAACTTCCACTATTCGTTAAATACCCTTGTTACGCTGCCAAAAAATTAAACTGTGACTCGAGACGTAACATGCAAATTTGTAACATAAGTGGTAAATTTTACAACTTTATACACAAAATATAACAACATTTTTACCTCGAAACTACAATAACCAGAACAAGACTGTTAGAGCATCTAAACACTAGGAAGCTTAAGTAAGGCGTTTTGAGCCACGATGCTCGTCGACCACAAGTGAGACCTTTTCGATCCTTTTTAATATGCTTTGACGCTATCAAATTTGTATTGCCAAGTGTCGTTTCTCTTACAGAGACGATTTGCCGGAACATATGGGCAAAGCACTTCTCCTTAAGCTTTTCCTGAGAAAGCCAAGCCACTGCCAGTTGACTTGCGTCCGGGCTCCAAAACGTTTGCTTGAAGTTTTCTGGAGGTAAACGCAGTTTTGCAAATCAACCGTACTTCATCTCCTATTCGTTTTCATAATGAGAAAACTTGATTAAGTTTCCGATTTTTTATAACTGGTAGTGTGGTAACGTAATCATTTCTATATTGCTCTTAGGAGCTTGTTTCACAGGTAGCAGTACTGAAACAGTTTTCCGTTGTGGCGTAATCGAAAAAAAAACCTATCCGAAAGAACTTTAAACGGAGTTGCATGGAAAATTGCAGCGTTTTTCACCAGGTAATAGGCTCATGCTTTCACTTTTTACTGTCTGTTTCTTTACTTTTTTTTCTACTTTTTTCTACTGGTGTCCCTGACATGTTTTCAGATACGCACGTGCGAACTTCGAATCTCCTCAAGGAATAAGGAGGGAGTCCAACCTCTAGTTCGTCATCAGGGCTACTTCATTAGAAAATGGGAGGGGCGCGATATCGAGTGTTAAGTTAAAGGGGAAGCGAAACCCGCCGACCGGTTAGCTCAATCGAATGAGCGCCGGTCTGCCAAACGGAAGGTTGCGTCCCGGGGGTACCCCTGGGAATTCTTTGTGGCGGTGTGCCGACTGTTTATACAAATTCTGACCCTATTTCAAACCAAAAAATGTTTTTTTCCACAGACATATTGAATTCTGCAAGCAGAATACTGCAATGCTGATTGTCATGATCGTACTGCGTGAAAATTAACTTTGCAAGACATCAACACGACACCGAAAGAACTCAAAACAGAGCGGGATTGTAGCCTTAGACAGTTGTTTCGCCCTTTTTGGGGTTCGTCAGTATGGCGTAACACCCGTTTTCAGACCGGGCCTCTAAAATCCATACCCATTTTCAGACCTGGTCTCTAAGAAATTATGTCATCACCACGTAGATTTGAAAGCTAAATAAAAGGTTTCCTAAAATACACTTCGAATTCGTATATTGCTCTTTCTTATTCGTTCATACACTCTCGTAGTGCCCTCAAAAACCATACCTAATTCCAGACCAGAATGGGAAAAATGGATACCCGTTTTCAGACCAAAAGGCGCAAAAACCTTACCCTTTGGGGCGGCACTTGGCTTATATAAGGGAGTACCGCCCGCCGGGGGTCGTGGGTTCAACCACAGCCGGACCAACACTCAGGTTCTCAACCTCGTCCCCAGGGCGCTTTTCCCTGGCTTTGTAGGTGGGGCGCCCCACCTCCAAAGCCAGGGAAAAGAGCCCTGTGGACGAGGTTGTCAGGGTCTTAAAATAACTGAGGAGAATGTGCTGCCTTTGTTGTGACATATACTGATCGTTACACATTCTAGTCTTTTCTGATAAGGGCGAAAAACCGTACGCCCCATCTTACACCCCTTTAATTCACTGTTCTGATTCTTGTGGGACATAAAATAACCGCACACTGCTGTTCGTAAAGAGTAGGGGGCGTAGACCCTTGTGGTGTGGTACAACCTTTCATGGGCTGGGTGGGTTATGAAGGGATTGATATCAATTGGGACGAAAGTCCTTTTTCATCCCCTGTCATCGTTTTGAGTCACCGTAGCGAATTCAATAAAGAGGAAACCAGAGGAGAGCGCCAACACGACGCTCATCCCAATTTCTGTAGGCTGAAGCACTTCACTCGCCCCTGGACATGATATGTCGTAAGTACCCAGTTACACACCGTAGGTAAAGAGGAGCAAGCGGGCAAAAGTTTCTTGAATGAAGACATAACGCGATGGTGTAGCCGGCAAGGCTTGAACCCGGACCTACAGATCCGAAGACCGGAGCAGTGCGGATAATCACTAGGAAATCAACCAGCAGTTTATTTTGCTGTAACATATATTTTACTTGGACATATCAGTAGTACACGAACGTTGTCTAATTAGGTAAAGATCAATCAAAATTCCACTGAGATTTTACCCCCTTTTTCTTCGCCTCTCTTCCCGTGAGGGATCTCAGGCGCGGATCCACACCTGTTTCCACCGTTTTACGAAAATCGGTCAGATTTTTGGTAATAGATATATTTTTAATAACAAAAACTTTCCAAGTTTCAAGGCTTCATCCTAGGAGAATGGAACAGACCAATGTCCTGTTTGAATCCCTCAGTAACCCAGGAAAGGGGACTTTAGGGAGTTAAAAAAACTTCAGGAAAAATTTCCGGGGGGACATGCCCCCAGACCCCTCTAGAAGCTTGTGCCTTCGGCGCTCATTTAGGAAATTGGTCAGTATTTATCCTAGATCCGCGCCTGGATCAGGGGTGATTAAAACAGTGCATCGCGCTCTCTCACTCCTTTAGAATCTCGATTTTGACCTTTATCAGGAGTCTCCAAACTGTGGATATCTCAGCGCTAAAGGAGTTCATTCACACATTTAATTTAATCGAAGATGCTAATCTCGGCAATCAGAAATGTAATTTTAATGAACCATTTTCGTAGGATCTCGTTCCTTAGGTAAACTCCTCTAAAAGCCGAAATGAAAGGGGGATATCAGGAGCGATGGGTTTGTTATATGCCCGATGATATCAACGATACGACCTTCTGCCTATACAGGAATCGTGCCACCAAACCAATGATTTGTGGTGCTCGAGTGTTTAGAGGAACAAGAAAACGATGTGTCCCTGTTTTCATAATATCCAAAATAATCCGCGTTCCATACAGAAATTCCCGGTGGCTTAAAATTCCCGAAAGAACAGGGCCCGAAGCTCAAGTCGTGGTGCAAGAGTGATCCAGTATCTTGCCACCAAGCTGCAGTACACTGTGAACAGTTGTATCCCTTGATATTGATGTAATCCATGAGCTTGCAGGAATATCGCCCTTCAAAGCTCAAGATATTGAACTTCGAGAAATTTCCTTTAACATAATCTCGACGATCAAACACTTTGACCGGGAAATTGCAAGTTATTCGCCAGTGACTTGACACTGCCTTTAGATCTTGCATTTGTCGTAGGTGCAGACGGTACGCACTCCAGTTTGGATTACTCGGGTTTAATGAACCATCTACGTAAAAAGGAACTTTCGTTAACTTTTTAATGTCCTTGTTGTGGTAAGCTTGCGACATTACTAGTGTCCATGCCCAGCCGTTCTCAGAGGCCAGGTCGCAAAACACTCTGAAACTATGATTACGGCTGTCCCAGACGGTATAGAAACCTGATGAGTAAAACCCACTTTCCAACAAGTCCAAACAGCTCCTTGGGTTCTAAAAAGGAAAACAGTTTTTGCCATTATATAAAAAGCACATAATTTTTATTAAAGTTGACAAGGCATTTTAAAAACAATCGAAAACAAGGCGCGGTCTTTTTAATGAGCTAGACCTTATTTTCCTCCTCAAATTAGGTAAATGACATGTTCGCCGTTCGAGAACCTGGGTATTTCAATTGGCAGTCTCGCCTGGTACAGTCCGGAACGGGACGGAAAGGCTTAGAGCAGCCGAAATTTTTATGAGCCGATAATAGCATGATTTGAAGTGATATTTCAAAAGAGTCATGATACGTAATGTCACGAGCCGTTAGGCGAGTGAAATTTGAGACAATTTTGAAATTTCACGAGTGGTATTTACGCCAAATATAACGTACAAATCTTGCTATTATTTGTTTATACTACTACACACTAAAGGTTTGTAATTTTCACACGTAAGTATTTCAAATTAAGCTGAAATACTGCTGCTCTAAGCCAATCAAATTGCAGAAATTTCTCATGTAGTAGTATAAATATATTAACGTGATTCGCACCTCAGTTTATGAATTTTGTTAGGCTCAAATCCAAATTACTTTCGCGTCATTTAGTCTCCAGTGATAACCAACCCGAACTGCGATTAAAGTAAAAAGGGAACCAACCCATATTTTGCGGCTCCTCGAATCGAATCACCTTCTCCTCGGCGTTTGCATGTGGCTCCAGGTTCAGGCTAAACTGGAGTCGGTCTTCTAACCAAAGTACTGTTTGTCAGTGAGATTTGTTCTTAGTTTTAGCTGTTGAAATTTGCGTTTTTTTTATGGTTTTGTTCTAGTGTCCTTGTTCGATTTTCGGGTTCTGTTATATTGGCTCTCTCCTTGAATGTTTTTGAAGCTGTCAATCGCTTGTTACAAAATTTAATCATTGCGAAGAAAAAATTGATTAAAGGGACAAACAGGTCTCTACAATGAGAAGATGTATATTTTGGCTACAAGGAAGAAGCGAGCACTGTATTCAGTATCAGAACAAAACATTTTCTATTTTGTAATTAACGTCACCACAAAAAACCTTTTTATTACAATAAACTTCCTCAAAGGCACTTACCTTAATCGCCATCAGCCGTCCGAACAGGCTCCCGGGTTGATAAGAAAAATGTTCTTCCACATCTCCCTGGTTTTCGCTGTTTATCTCGCAGAGGCCATTGTTCTCTGTTGTGTTGTAGTAATTGTATGACTTGCACAGCGAATGAGCCAAGCATTTCTGGGCGCAAGACAAAAAATCACTAGTTTTAAACTTTGCGATGGTCCACCCAAGTAAAACCCGATCAGAAATTATTGAACCAAGAGCCTGGCGATAAGCTTGTTCCGAACCGAGACATGTAGAAAACAGCAACACAAGTAAGGTAACTGAAAGAGCTGTGGTCATTTTTTAAGTAACTTCTCTGACTATGACTAATGTCTTTGACTTAGCTCTGATGTGTTTGGAACTACAATTTGGACTTTTACGCCAAATTAGGTTAACACCTGAACAGAAAAGTCGAATCGACATTTGGCTATTGTCTGTTTAAAATCCGGTGATTGGTTAGAGAGGAAAGGCTAATGAAAAGAAGGCAAACAAGTGATTATATCTGTGGGTAAATATTTGAACATATGCACACGGGCTCAGTGCACTTTCTAATGGCTTGCAAGTTGCCAAAGACTAAAAAAACAGCATTTTCGGATATCTTAAATAACTCATTTCAGTCAAGACTAGTTTAAGTCTAGTGGCACTTAGAAGCAGTGGCACTTAGCGGCTCGTAGAAGCAGCAATATTCCTGCCTCCTACCAAAACGTCTCTCTCGATGAAAATTTGCATGCGTGCAAAGGAAGGAGGCTTAACGTCACTAGTCTCTAGCGTTTCGTACTCAATACGAAGTGCCTGAGGAGGAGGAGGCAAGCATTATTCTGTTTCATGATCTTTCATGGCCAAAATTGACTTGAAGTCGGAGCAGACTGTGCATGAGTAAAGCTGTCGGATTTCTTACTGGCCAGGCCAGTATGGCATTCGAAATGTTATCGACAGCTTGGAAGGCGTTGAAAAAATTGTCGCTGAATCTTTTTTCTTTATCATGCATGGCCAACTTCTACCTAATTTGATGGATCAACGCATCGCAATTATTTCCTTTCCGTTATCAAAAAGTTCATTCGGTACACTAATGATTCAACCCAATTCGACATTAAGGCTGCGTGCCCTGTGTTCATCGTTTCCCCAATGTTGTTGTCGTTGATCCGTGTTTACCATGCAAGGATACACTTGCTTGCTTAGTTCATTGCGAAACCGTCAAAATCAATCACCTACTTTCGACGTACTTTTGTTCGAATAGTCTGCATTGCTTTGGTTACAAAACACATTTCAAACATTTGTGAACTTCAGACTTTGTTATTCCAGTGCACAGGACACGCGTTTGACGTCATGTAAGGGATCCAGGTGTTAATCAGTGAGGGAGGACTGGAGCAAATTAGCCTGAGAAAACAGCCGACATTTCGCGACGCCACCACAAAGCTTCCCGTGAAATGACGTCTGAGAAACAAGGGCAGAAATTTCAGGACCGTAATCGGCTCCTGATATTGATGATGCGTCACTACCCCGATCTGGGTAGTGCTTCTGATTGGTTGAAGAAATTTTCAGCCAATCACAAGCACTACCAAGACCTGGGTACTCACTTATCATCAGTATGGAATTTCTGCTCTCGTTTCTCGGACATAATTTCGTGGGGAAACCAGTTGTGGCGTCGCCGCGAAATGTCGGCTGTCTTCTCAGGACAGGGGCATGGAAAGTAGCAGTTCCAGAGATTCGATGAGAGCTATAGAGAGGCGAACTCGTTACGTCACGTTGCCCTAGAAGCAAGATTCTGATCTCAACTAACCGTGGTCCTTCAAAAATGGCAGGAAAAAAAAAAACAAAAAATTTTACATGATGTATGACTTTCCTGCCTGTGCATTACTGCACTCTGGAACAAAACGGTAGCTCATACTGTAGCCTGTCTGTGTATAGCCTCCCACGCAGGCGTTTTTAGGGGAGTTCGTCTTTCATCCCTCTCTCCCTTTGGGGAGGGATGAAAAACGAACTCCCCTAAAAACGCCTGCGTGGGAGGCTAGTCTGTACAGAAAGATTGTTCAGATCCAGAAATTTTGCTACCGTGGTAACGTGACGCACACTTCTCCTCTCTATAATAATCTATTCAACATCCTGCTCAGTTTTATCAAGGTGTTGGAGAATGATTGATCAGAGGACTAAGCCAAGCTTGGGCAGCTTGGCTTAGGGGTAGTCAGAAATACGACTCACCCGATTTTCTGAGTTTGAGGGTGGGTCGTTCACCCCTGCGTGGCTCCGCTGAAAACTGAGCAAGATCAATGATTTCCACACCAAATCAGTATTTATCATCAGGAGTTAATTAATCGCACGTGAAAGAGTTTGACTAGCCACGTTAAACCTGTTAATTAGGTATATTTCAACTTCGCATGTCATTTTGAGTGTTGTGAATAGCAAATAAAACTGCACATTCCTCGTGTATACATAGATTTTATTGACTTGGAGTTAAAATAGAATTTAAATGCTTTTGACATAAGATGCTCTTAATCCCTAGCCTACAAAGGGCATGGAAAATATATTAAAATATATTAAATATATTGTAATGTATTCATCAGTATATAAGAAATGCTGTCTTTAAATCCCTTTTTTTACAGAAGTCGAAAAACCATAAAAGCAAGATTGAGCATTTCTTTGTTAAATAGTTAATAGTCAACAACTGAAAAACAAAACATTGGAGATGGTGTCTAACGGCTTGGAACACTCGTAATACGTTCACAGCGACATATTTGTAACTAAGGGAAATTAAAATTCAAGGAATATAATACGACTGGTGACTATAAACCTGCCATCAGGCTTTTATATATCTCATTCAGGCTACCTGATGATTACATTGCGCAGATTATATTTACTATCATGATTCTATCATTTTTCGCGCCTTAGAAATAAAAAAATACGTTGTAATCTAACGTTCAAAATCGAATTATTTCCATTTGATACTCAAAATAAGCCCAAGCTTGCTCGATTGCATGGCTATGTAACTGGTATGTGTGATTTACATGCTCTTATCTAACCTAGCATTATTGGCCATTGATCGCCTGGACCTGCTTGAGACGCCGTCCTTAATAAGGCCAAATCGAATTGAACGGATGAAAGTAGGCATCTGAATCAATTTCAAACGGCTAATTGAGGAATTTGGATCGGCTCAACCATTCTTGACGCCTCACTCAGCCAGAAATAATTACCGCTATGGACCGGAATTATTAAGACGCCGAACTTCACATTAGTCCAAATGCTTTGGATTTTTATTATGTTTACCGAAATGCGCGATTTTTCCCTTTAATTTTAGCTCGGCTAAATTTAGTAAAAACCAAAGGTTATGGAGTGCAGGCGACAACGATCGAAGGTCAAATACGCTTTTGCTCCAATGCTGTGCTTTGCGTAAGTTTCACGTCAAAACACGCGTGATCAGATTACAATCGAGGAGAAGGTTCAAACTGCGCGTGATCACGATTTCGCTCCGTCCATTCCATTATTCTTAGTGGAAGTCCAAACGAAGCTGGGTACATACGTGTCGTGCATGCGTAATAGAAACCTGGAGATTAGGATTGCGGGTTCCTCTCGTCGCCCGCAATAAAGATCGGCGTTTGAATCAATTCAGCGGGCCTAAATTCATTTGAGTCGGCCTTAATTCGAATTCGATTCGGCTCATGTGACCTAGGGCGTCTAAGGCGGGCCTTGCAATAATGCTGTCTAGTAAGAGGATCGGAGGTACAGTTTAAGCCAAATTACCCTAATTAACTAGAATATATAAATTACCTAATTAAAACTAACCTATCCAAAATCTTAATATATCTTTACGTTTGAGACAACAGAGTAAAAGGCAGATTAGTTATTAATAACCATTAAAAATATTTTTATCTAAATATTATGATCTCTTATAAATATAACAATATTTAATCGGAAAATACATATTGATTTATATTATTAGACAATATTGTTCAAACTTTGTGAGAGGAAATACTTTTTCACGAAAATTAATTAAGCCTGCGTGACAGGCGCCGGTTAATGTTTTTTGGTTGGGTGGGCTTTCAATAAGCACAGACGACCGACGAAACGCGTCGGCTACTTCGCTCAGAGAAATCGGCTACTTTTTTGCTAGAAAGAACTGAGAGGCAACTAGTTTGAATAACGTCGTCATAAAATCTGAATGAACTGGTTTTACCTTATGCTTTAGTCATGTGAACGCTATATTCCAGTCAAATTTTCGCAAGTCAATAGGTTTACGCAGAATTCGTTTACGTGCAAAGTACGTAATTTAATTTTCATCATTCGTTCATTGGTGGTAGGAATTGACTGGCCCATAAATCGAAAGTTGAATGAAAGCTACATTTTTTAGAATGAAAAACACGCTCTCTCGTCCTTAATTTAATACCCAGAAGCTGCAAATCGCATTTTAGGACTTCGAAATCTCAAAATAGTCTGGGGAAGCACGCCCTCAGACCTCCCTAGAAAAAGGGGACTAACGGCCCCTTGTTGATACAGTCAGATACTCTATTTAAACCTCTATTTTTATATAGCGCGAGAGAAAAACACGCGAAGGGAAGAGGAGGCCTCCTCTCATTTCACCCATGCACTCGCACGCGCGTCCTCGAAATTTCTCCCTTCGCCCTTACAAACCCGGCACCTTCAACGCAGGCTACCGTCTATTAATTCTTTTTATTAACTAAACATATACATTTGTTTGCATCTCAGACTTCTCAATCGTTAGTTTAATAACACAGGAATATCGTCTATCATCATCTATCAAGCCAATGATCTGAGATTTTCGCGCGTTAGTTGGCAACTAGCCTGTTCACAGACCTTAAATAATGGTAATTGAGCTGAGTGGAGTGTAATTTGGCAATTAAGAAATGGACCTTTAGGGGTCAGTTAAAGCTTGAGCTATAACCACATTGGTCTCCCTTGGGGGTTTAATTTTAATTTTCCAAGGAGCATCCCGGTCAATACCTCCCCCGCCGGGGCAGTGAGCATGTTAGCCACGAAAATATTTCAAATTTAGGCTTTCAAAAACTGCGGTTTTCAACACCTTTTTTTAAATTCATACACTCTTATAAAGTTTATCATGTCCCATTGTAAATGTCTTCATAGATACCGATGAAAAAATTTTCCTGCATCAGCATTTCACCGTCCAGATATAAAAAGTTTACGTTGAAATTAAAATTTCAATTTTATATCTCCTAAAAGTAACAGCAACATTTCATTTGCTATTTATTTTCCAAGCCTTGGCTTGAACCTACATTGTAGAGGTCACTTCAATAAAAGCGGGGGATTCGTTTTGCCTCTTCTTTCTCTCTCGTCTCGTTGTAAAGAGTTATAATTTCAGTGTCTTCATCAAAACGTTGCCACACACTGCGTGCGTTAAACATGTTTCTTGTTCCCCACATTCCCTTCTTCGAGTGAAAATAATGATAAAACTTGGCAACGCGCAACCTCTCCACCTCCATTTTCGAGAGCAAAACTCTGTTCATAGATTTCAAAACACCTTACAGTTAGCAGAAGCCAGATGTCCACAGAATATTCGTTAACAAAAGCAAAAACATGCAAAGGGTGGCGGGCACGTGACCTAAAGCATGTGTTAGAAAAGGGCGGGAAACTTGTATTTAATTAGTCCCAAGCTCGAGAAAGCACCCGACTTTAAGAAATGCGGGAAAATTATACCCCAGCAACCAAGCGGAGAAAACAAGCAACTCGTGTTAAGCGATGAATAGCTGGTTGGTTCTTCTAACCGTGCAACAACTGCTCTTGCTCAGGGGGAAGCAACTCCTCGGCATTATGTGTTACCGATTTTCCCCAAATGAAATTGCCTCGGGGAAATTTACATGGATACATGGAACGAAAGAATTTCCCCTAACAGTTCCTGAGGTTATTCTGTGGGTTAATAAGAACCCAAAGCGGGTCAACCAATCAAGAGAAAGTGAAATGTGCCAAACAGTAGGCATCACGTCAACTACGAGCTGTGTTTATCTTGGCGGATTTCTTGCACAGGGACTAGGCAAATCAAAACCCAGAGCGAGTCTCCCAAGGCAAGGGGCGCTTGCACCTTTTGCTAGCTACCTAATCAAAACAAAATATTCAGTTCCTTTCAACCAATAACAAAAGCATTACAAGAAAGCGTGACTGTCCCTACCCTTTTTTTCTGGGGTTAATCTCGTTCCCAGATCACTAGTGGACGCTTTGTTCGTCCACAGAAATCTGGAAATTCACCATTTGCACATCTCCCATAATACGCCTTGTTTGCCATCCAGAATTTTCCATAACCTTTGTTTTTAATTCTCCTGGGCATTACAGTGGTCCAAGAGAAACTGAAGACACTGCTTATGCACAACGTTTTCGGGGGGGGAGGGGCGGGGGCAAAAAAGGTGCATTATGGGAGGTGTGTAAATGGAGAATTCAAGTGTTGCGCCTGCGCATGCCAGACCTACCTATCAAGTAGTTCCCAGTCTTCTCCTCCCCATGTGGTACGAAATTCCTTGAAGTTCATTCCACCCACACGAGTAAAGTCTGCTTTATACATTGCAAACAGACCATAACCCTGAAGCTCCCAAAAACCTGACAAAGCAAATCAAGTATAAGCTGGCATAGCTGACAAAGATACAACATAATGTGTTTGTTTCAGTTGTTGATCACATAGTTTATTTTAGGGGCTTTTTACATGGAGGGAGGAAGATCCTAGGACGTAGATCATCTTAGCGCCATATGTTTTCTATATTCAGTTTACATGCAAAGGGTTGTACATGTTCCTCGCTGACCTCGCGCTAGGAACTTCCTAGCTGACAGGTAGGAAGCTCCTAGCAAGAGGAAGATCCTCCAATGCTTCACGTGAACTGCTTTCGCTAGAAAGATCTTAGTACTAGGGATGTCGGTAGTTCAGTGGGTAATCATGGCAATAAAGTTTGGCGTTACTAAGTTGTAAGAGACTTTTCATGCGCGGTTTAAGGGTTCCAGTGAAGTCTCTATAGTGACCCGCACGACTTTAACGCTTGTTGCTTGAGCCTGCGGCCGAAGATCTGTCGGCCTGCCGACAACACCGAAGCATTCCCTTATACGCGAGAAAAAAACCTCTGGTACAAAGGGTATACGCGATCTTTGCCTTGTAGGGATCCTAAAAATGACGACAGAGTAAGACAGGCTGGGGTTGTTAGAAAAGAAAAGAAAGTATTTACCATAAGGTAGTGATGGTGAGAAGCCACAATGAAGTCGGGCCACAATTGGAGCAAATGCCATCTTACCGAGAACACAATGCTGAAAACCAAAAACAAAAAAAAACACACAAAAGCCCAGTTGATGAAAACCTGTATTCAATGTAACAATGTCAAGAGCTCGTTCTGGATCGGAACTTATGAAAGGTCGACATGCAGCAAGTCTAAACCCCAAAGCCTTGGGTTGTTTCACTTGAGTTTTAGTGCAATGTATATTATTTTCTCGAATAAGCGCTGCCCTCTTCAAGAGAATTTTAGTAAAATCGCCGCGTTTGGGACAAAAAAAATTAATTAGCGCCGTCCTCGAAAACGCCCCGATATGATAAAATCAACAAAAGACGTTTTAAAACTCTGTTAGTTTAATGAGGAAAATAATAAAACTGTAGCTAAGACAATTCTTTGTCGCGTCCAACTTTCAAATTAACGCCACCCTCGAATAAGCGCTACATTTGAGCGGTGAAATTAATACGAACCGCGGCGCTTATTCGAGTAAATATGGAGCGATAGCCGGCATATTAAAAAAAAAAAGTATAACAATGAAATCAATAAATCTACAGTAGACGAAGGAAGTCGAATACTAAAATTGCAGGTTTTTTTCAAGCTTCTAAGTTACCTTAACAGCTGCTTCTCACCTTTCTAATTATGCCAACGATATTGTTTGGAATTTGCAGATGAAGATCGCACATGAATATAATGTCACGAGGATTCTGAAAAGGTAGAAAAAAAGTCACGAGTAAGCACAACGGCCAACTCACCTTTGGTAACATTAGAGACCTTAAGATACACCGTTTCAGTGTAAGAGTACGGGTAAATAACCCGTACGCATAGCCGTAAATAGATTGTCTCTTACCCCGGATAAACGGGTAGGCTACCGGTTAGAACGCTAACGCCATCATCTCAGCTGGGAAATAACGGTCGCCTTTTATTTAACTACGCGGCCAACAAGATCGCCTAACCGTACCCGTAGACAGAAACGGTGTATCTTAAGGTCACTACTTATGCTGCATAACGCGCGCGAACGCCAGCAATTAATGAAATCAATGTTTCTTCCACAAGGGAAAGAACACCGTGAATAGACATTTATGAAGGGCGAATTATTGTACAAACCTTTACTAAGGCTGCACCAACTTGAATACCGAAAGCTCTTTGGAACGCTCCTTTAAGTTTTCTTACTTTGTACCTAAATAAAAAAATGGTTAGTTAATGGTTAGCTTAGTTTACATGTATTGCTTTGATAGAACAGCACGTTTGGAACCAACGTGATGGTTGCGCCGCGAAAAAGATTAGATAGCGCTGTCTAACAGCCTTTTTCCTTATTTTGTGACACAAGTAGTTAAGTAGAAAATCTCTCTAAAAGTTGTGATTACATGATTGAAGAAAAATAAAAACACAGACCTTTTTAACCCGCTACGCTCTAACGCCGCAACCACATCAATATCAGTGCTGCTGAAGTCCACCAGGATAATATTGACATGAGGGTCCTTCGTCTCAGAGTACAGCTGAAATGTGACAAAACCAAGATAAAAAACTTGAGAGAGTAGATAGATAGATAGATAGATAGTTAGATAGATAGACAGGCAGACAGACAGACAGACAGACAGACAGATAGACAGACAGATAGATAGATAGATAGATAGATAGATAGATAGATAGATAGATAGATAGATAGATAGATAGATAGATAGATAGATAGAAAGATAGGTAGATAGATAGACTGGGTTTTATTGAGTAACTTTGCAGAATAAACTACCCTGTTAGCAGAGTCGCTTCGATCTTCCCTAGATAAGTCGGAAAAGAGTAAGCGACTTGTTCCTTCCTCTTCCCGACTTATCTAGGGAGATCAAAGGATACAAATTTATTTTCTTAGAGCAAAGAATATGTCTCACAGAAAGTCCGTATAATTTTTCTCCTTTGAATAAAATAATGAGGGAAAGGTCAAATTGGCAAATGTGGCTGTAGTCTACCGGTGCCATTATGCACACGGACAAAACCCATGTAAACCTAACGGATTCTCCACTACAGACACAGAAGCAGAGATGCCAACCTCTGGAGACCTAAAATCGGGAGACTGTCTTGTTTTGAGCTGAAAATGGGCTAAATCTCAAACTAAGTCTGTTTTATTTATGTTTTACTAGGTATTCAATATTTATAGTGGACGTAAAAAGCGGGAGATTTATGTACCAAAGCGGGAGAGCGGGAGACGAGGCAAAAAAGCGTAAGTCTCCCGCCAAAAGCGGGAGAGTTGGCATCACTGCAGAAGACAAAGGGCCTTAGATATTTGACATAGTGCGCAGTTGACTTTATTATACTTCATAGATAGGCAGCTGTATGAGCTGTTACCTCCACCATGTTGTTAATGAAATGCTGTACCCACTTCCCTTGGTTCTTAACTGCAATAAATAAAAACAGCGCCGATTCAAACAGTGGCTAAGAAGAAAGGATCACCAACTCGTTACTCGTTGATTTTTTGTAGCTAAGGCGATAATAGAGACCTTCCGGCATTTCCCGCGAACCGCGAACGTCAAGAAGTCACGTGACTAGTACCTTGCCGTCAGGTTTGCGGTTTGAGGTTCACGATTGCACGGCTAGGTCACTGTCTAGATGTAATTGTTTATTCGTACGGTTTTTGCGCCTAAAACATCACAATTTCACTTTTGAAAGGAAATACTGCCTTTTAGAACTATTTCGCTTATTAATTATCGAATTCTTTTTCATAGAAACATAATTTTGAACTGTGGACGTGAAGTGAAGCGAATGAATGAAAACAAACATGGCAGCCCCAGGCTACCACCCTCGAATCTCAAGTCCCAAATATGAGCAGACGTGAAACCGCTAACCGCTAACAGAAAAACGCGCCAGGTTTGCCGTTTGCGGAAAGGTGGACAGACGTCGACGTTAAGGTCTCTAATGCCTTCTGAAACTTGCGCTTGCAAACGTCAGATTCAAGTTGAAATTTTCGCAAAATAGAAAATGAGCAGTCGGCAGATAATTATTGTCTAAAACAATCTTTATTGACAAAACTGGCGTGAGACTAAAATTTGCGTAGAAGTAATGAACAGTAACGACAAGTAAAGGGAAAAATTGGTCTCGTGGTACAAATTCGCGTTTGCCGTTTGCCTTAAACGAGTCTGTGACTCTAATGTTTGAAAGGTTGCGTAAAAATAAGGCGACAGTGGACATCCACCTTAAAGAAACTTTTCGCGGGTAGCTGTTATTGTTGTGCGTACTTTTCCCAATACTCTTATGGGTGAAGGTACTAACCCGGTATAATAATATGCACCGTGGCGTGTTGATCTAAGGTAAATCCCTCGGGTAAACAGAATTCTGTAGTGCCCAGCTTCTGGTACACGAACTGTGTCAGACGTACCGAAGAATCTGCGGGAAGAAAAACGCCGAGCGTTAAAACGCGCCACGCTGCTGATAAAACAAAACTGCTAACAACAAAACCTTTAACTTTCATGCAACCTTCAGAGCACTCAATTCAAATCCATCCTGTATAAATATTATGTGGACGCGCCTTAGAACATAGCTACCACCCAGAGGACCCACGATCCTGGAACACCGTCTATCCGTCATGTTACGTTTCACGTTCTGTGTCTGTCCGTCTCCATTGTTGTTTTTAAGAGGCCACTTCCGAGTTCCAAGAACCCCCACTTTCGAAATGACGCCAAGTGCACAGCCTTTCTTGTGAAAATGAGTTTTATTTGCATGGGAATAAACAATCATTTCCATATCAAAGGCTGAGCACTTAACCTCGTTTTGATACAGAGGCCAGGGGGAACTCGGAAATGGCCAATTGATTTATGCACTTTTACTGTCTTTTACATGTTTTTTAAGCAACGGGGCCACTGTAATTGGCTTGCCGATTTTGTTGCATCCCTGCTGTATCCATATTTATTATTTTTTGCTTTTGCACATTTTTATTATCCTTTTTTTCCGTATCATATAAAAGGCAAGACGAAGCTATTAATATTATAAACTAATGATTGACGATACTTACTTTTCCCCTCCATATTCAGTTCCTTTAAAAAAACAAGGATATCGTACTGTAAGTACTAACAAACCACACAACACAAGGTAAAGAGGTTTTCTGAAATAAACTTCTCAATATTCACTTACCACGTCAATAAGATATCTGTCACCTTGTATAACATCATGATTTTCTTCCACATCAATAATTTCTTTTAAGGAGTATTTGCTGAAACATAAACAACGAAACGTTGGCCGGGACAAAATTGCAAATTTTTCACGACTCCATTGTCCCGCAATTCCCAGAAGAGACTTGAGCACAAATGGAGAAAACCAAACAAAATATTTAACAATTATTCCTCGAGCCTGAATGGGCTCTGAGTCAATAGCCCATGAGGGCGAGAGGAATAATTATTTTAGCAAAATCCAACTAGTTGGTCAAAAATTTCGAGACAAAACAACTTTCGCTATTTTAAAGCTAGACTTAAAGCCATTGTGTTGGTTTTCAAGGCCGGCGCTTTTCGCTACTAGTGAGCTATAAGATATAGCCTAGTAGTAGCTCAACCAATCAGAACGCAGCATTGATTATAGACCACTAGTTCATTTCTCCTGGGTATTACAGCCGTCCCAAGAGAAATTGAAAACAATGCTTATGCAAATTTTTTTGGGTGGTGGGGAAGGGGGCAAATAGGGTGCATTATGCGAGATGTGAAGGGGCTTAACCTCGTTCCCAGGGTTCTCTCTCTTCCTTGGAAGGGCTGTGACATGGCTGTCTAGTTCATCTTATGTTTAATGCAAATTACGCGTCCTTCCTTCAGTAATTACTCGTAGATGACAAAATCAGAGCTTTCTGTCAGACAACTATGTCTCCCAAACATTTTATCAAACGTTACAAAAGGTGTTGCCCTAACAAGTTTTCAAAAACCACAATTACAATCCCTTAAAATCGTCTTCAAATTTTCCCATCCGTGCCTTCCTTTTGAGTATACTGTGTTTTTTATACCTTTTTTTTTACATGTTTTGAGCAGTTATTTTTATGTTCCACTTAGTTGGTGGAAGAGACACACATCAGTGACACATCCGCCTGTGGTCCGTGTACCACTTTTTGCTGAACAGACGCACGGCAACGGAGCAAAAAATGTGCCCAGTTTTTTCAATTTCCAATCCATGTCCATGCATCCTTGCCATCCGTAGTAACAGACGACAGGAAACAGTTTCAAGACTAAAATATAGTCTTAAATAACAACATTTTGTGGAATCCTCACACAAAGCGTAACAATGATAAATTAGAGGCTGTTCAGAGCAGGGCAACAATGTGAATATTAAAATGTGATGACGCAAATGAAACACGATTATCTAAGTTGAATATTGAATCATTATCTGATAGGAGATTTTTAAGAGATGTTGTTTTTTCCATTTAATTTAATTAACGGGAAACCAATATCATATATTAATTGCTCCGATAAACTCTTCTTTTGTATAGATCGGAATATCGACTACAATTTAAGAAAGAATTTTTCACAGGACCTATTATGGATTCAGAAGCGAAAAAAGTTTTAGCTTTTACACAATGTAAAATGATAGTGACATAGCCCCTTTAAGGAAAGGGCTTCATTAATCAAGATAGATTTTGTACCTGTCGGTAGCTTTTCTCAAGGCGCGTACGTATTTATTGACAACACTGACAGCAACCTGCATAATACAAAAAATAATATCAGCTCGATAGCAACCTTAATCAGAGTTTTCAGCGGCAAAAAATTAGAATAGGCCACTCTTCCTTAACTCTTTCACTCCGACAACGGACAAACCAAGGTCTCGGAACAAACGATTTTAAGAAGTGCCTTCCTAATGTACCAACCTGGTTCCCAGGGACCTCTCAAACCCGTCTCTCTCGCTATGGAGGAGAAGGATCCTGGGAACGAGGCCGCCTGATGTACATCGTACAAAGTGAACTTGATTTTCGAGGAATAACAACAACAACGACAAAACTTTACTCAAGCACCCAGGTAATAAGTACAATAATTTGTCCACCCGCAAGTAGAAAACTAATCGAGGCCAAGGTGGGACGGGGGACACACAGCGAAAAATCGATGTAATCTTAAAAGTGTGGCCACTGAGCATGCGAGACGACAGCGGGGTCGTGCCGTCGTTTATTTCGACCCCTTTGGAGTTCCCCCAAAGCAGCAATCCTACCCAGCTGAACCAAACTTGGGTTTAGCTGTTTGAGTTGCGTGAGAGACTGGGACGGTTTTGTCTCGAATTACACTATGGGAAAGCTATGGGATGGTTTTGGTAAAGAGGTGTGGGAAATGTGGCCTACACTCGTCCCAGTAGCAGTCACTTAAAGCAGTTTGACGGAACACCAAACTACATAAGGAACAAAAAAAATGTATAATGACCCTCACTTTCCTAATTCATAACTAAGCCAAACATACTTACGTCATTATTCAACAAGAGATTTCCATCGCTTGCGCATTTTGTACTGTTTTGATGGAAAATCCAAGCGTTATAATCAGGGACTCTATATAAGTTAGGTATCTTCATCTTAAGTCCAAATTTCCTGTACACTGCCTCTGCGAGGGTATTCGAGTTAATGTGCTGGTTATACAGTTGCACTGCCTCGGCCATCCTGCGTATAAACTCTCTCGCCGCGTTTATCCGTGTAAACTGATCGTCTTCCTTGTCAACCGGGTAATATTGTACACCCCCTGTTCGCTGTCGAAATTTCACGTAAGTCGTATTACTTACTCGAGATCTCTGAGCACGTGAATTGTACGAATGATAATCACCAAGGTAATAATTGCTTTGCACAGTTGACTTATCGTTCTGTTTGTTCACTGAGGAGGCGTCTCTTTCTGTATCGTAACTTAGCAGCTTTCGTCGAGTTCCAACTTGTGAAGTCACAATAACTCCATTTGAAGGGTCTCTTACAGAATCGGGGGAATCTTTGTCACGTGATCTATCACGTGTATGTCTGCTACCGCCACGTGCGTTGTCTTCCTTTAATCTAACCTGTGAACCTTGAAATTTTTCCTTAGTTATTTTATTATCTCTGTTGAAATTATAGCTACTGTTCTGATTGCGCAGCGACGCGCTTCTTTTCTCCATAGTTTTCCTTTTCGCTTTTTTCTTCATCTCAAAAACGTTCTCAACGTCTTTTTCTAATACAGAATCCGATGCGGTATTAGAATGTACCACCGTTTTAACGGGCCGAGCTGGCGCATCTCCGACCTCTTGACTCCGTCTCTTTATGTCTCTTATGTCCATTTGCATTTCACTTAATTCTTCTTCGGCTTGCTGTATTTCGGCCGCACTTTTAGCGAAAGAAAGGGGTACCAAGCCATTTTCAGTCCGAAACACCATTATACTGCCATTTTCGTACAGATTTTGATCTCGCTCTTTTACGTCCAGTGAAGGGAGTCTGTTGCCATGGGAATCCGTTAATCTTGATGATGCGCAGTTGTCGTACTGCTTCATGTGCGTAAGGTCGGTATGATCATCGGGATAAATGGCAGTATCATGTATAAGATATACGCCTTCGTAACGCTTCAATTTGAAGTCCACTTGATAGCTAGGTTTATAGGGACAACTCGGAAATAACTTTTCTATGTCACGCTCATCCACGAATTCCGCAGTGTGAGCCTTGTCTCGCAAATCGTCAGATCCAAATTGGAAAACATTAGGATCAAGCCTTGAAGTTCTGTAATGTGAATGACTGGGAAGATCTTGCGGTATAAATTGTGCATAAAACGTAACGTCTTTAGAAGCTCTTTCATCGTCAATAAACAATGATATCGACTTTCCAGAAAGATGCCTAAAATGGCTCTTACCGGGAATTTTCCAGCCAACAAGCACATGATCTTGAAGACTTCCCTGTTTGTGTAATACTTCGATAAAATATTTCTGGCCCTTTTGAAGAAACACAGGACGGGACATTTGAGACTTGTACTTTGTGAACTGTGCTATTTTAGTTTGAAAAATTCCATGGAGAAGAGTACGGTCCCCAACCCAAGCTATGAGTTTGACGTTGGAGGGATTCTCGTCCGAGCTCAGCCAAAGTTCTGAACTATCGTCTGAAGAAATAGCAAAGCTGTAATTGCCTACAAAATGATCACAAGGAAAAATTGAACTACTGCCACTAGAATGCAATGTCGCTGTCAAAAGGCTGTCTGCAGCTCAAATACAGGCTCGTATTCTGTTTACATAGTTAGGTAAAAAAAATAAGACTTTCACATTTTCAAACGTCCAATTTAGGGGTCTGGAGAGGTTTTCAGGAGTAAACCCAACACCTTTGTAATGGGGTGTGAGGGGAGGGGGTTAAAATCGACTTAAATTTATCACTCGGGAGAGTTCCTTTAAATACTTAATAGTACCCTCAGGAGAGCTTGCTCGCAGGTTACCTTAGGGAGGGGGTGGGGTTCCGGATCCTTTCGAACCCGTCCATGGGTATGCCCGAAAAAGGTGCAAAAATGTTACTCGGTGTCGTATTCGCAGATCGTCGCAGAGCAACTTACATCAAAGAAAAAAAGAGGGTCAGGGAAATTAAAAAAAGCAGTTGTGGACCTGAATGAAAGTTTGGATAAAAAGGCAGATCGAATCGAGTACAGGTAAGATTTTCTTAATTATTGTTCTTAGTCATAAACTTAGTTTTTTCGTACTGTGTAGTTTGTTGCTGGGGTGAAAAATCTTCGCGCAAATAACGTCGGTGTGAAATTTCAGGAGATAAAAATAACGCAACGTTAAGCTTATTGACCTATCAAAATTACCGGACTGAGGAGGATGAATGTAGCCAAATATTCGCTGTCCGTAGTCCTTTTCCCAGTGACGAACAAAAAACTTTTTAACAGTAAGCTGAACATCTGGGTACAAGGGAAAGAACTTGTTTCTTCGGAGGTCGTGAATAGTGCTACCACACCAGGCCTGCCATATGTGCACATTGAGAGATCCCAACATCTACAACAAAAGGATGAAATATTCATAGATACATCACTTGTAGAATTGACAGGAAAATAATCAAAGGAGCTATGTTATGCTTTTTGCTATCTTTTAAACCCATTCGCCCTTAAACCGCCCATAACCGCCCGTGCGGATCCACTCCCCTTCTACCACTTGTGACGTCATCAGTTTGAACGGTCAAGGATACCTTTGTCCGCTGACTTGAGAAGGGTGAAGAGATCTTTTCATCCATACCAGAATGAGCACGATTCAGTCCAGAAGAACGAAGAAAAAGGCAAAAAAACATGTAACATTGACCCGAAAATTTCCTTGAAAATCTTGTTTCACTACCCACCTACCTTTCTCTAATCCTAAGATCCTGTTAAAAAGCTTTTCTCAAAAACGTTTCCCACCAAAGTGAAGCTTACTAAATGCCCAGCTAAAGAAAAAAATGAGATAAGAGCAGCGAAAGAATAGGGGAGGAGAAAAAGCGACAAGAAAAAGTCAAGACTGCTGTGTCACTTTAAGCACTGGGGTCGAGAATGCCCCAAACTCGAAAAATCTCGGTATTTTGCTTTCTGCGCATGCCCGAACTTCGTAAGCTGATTATTTTGTGAAGATTATTTTGCATCTGGATCAGAAGGCCGCAAAGTGTATGACCTGTAAACAGCTTTTGGGTAAGTTTTTAAAGCTCCTTATAGCCAGACATGTACAGTGACTCCCGGAGAAGAATGGGTTAAGCAAACTTCCAGGTTTTTTTTAGAAAAACAACTTTTCAGCGAAAAACAACCTTACCAAATCTGGCTATTATGCCAAATCCGATGATAAAAATCGGCAAGAGGCGATTTTTAGGTTTTCAGATGAAAAAGCCAAAACTAGTTTTGTCACTTAAGACAATATTTAGGAATTGAAACTGTTTCCTGTGGTCTGTTTCAAAGGATGGCGAGGATGAAAAGTTGGCCAACTTTTCCAAGTTTTAATGCTGTAAAAATCCCCAAAAGATTATCTTGGTTGGTGCACCCTGAGGACATGTGTTTGACATCGTCTTCATAACTCTACAAGAGCATTTTTTATGGGTCTTATATAAGGGCCTTTTGAGGTAATGATTTTGGCACAAAATTTACCTAAAACAGCAACATCATCTTGACACAGCCCCTTAAAGCTTTCACCAAAAGACAAGAAATAAGAAAATGGAATCCAATAAAATTGTGGATTTGTACTGGATTAGAAAAGAGAAAAATGCCTACCCTTACCTTGTCCCAATAAGAATCTTAAGAGTGGAGTAACAAATACAAAATTACGTGAAAGGAATTTTCAAACCAAAGTCCATTGCAGTTAATAACCCCTCCATCCCCCATCCCCCAACCCCCTCTCCCCGCCCATTGAGGACATACTTTAATTGTTATTTGTCCCCTTAAAAAATAGTAAGAGGGCCAACACAAATTCCAATAAAATATTCATATATTAATATCCCTCCCTGCTCCCACTGATGACAAAATATTATTTTTGGCCCCCTAAAAAATAAAGTGGATTAAGTGCCAACAAAATTTTGCTTTTCCTTTAGAAAAATGTAAAAATTTCCCCAAAATTCTTGGAAAATATGCATTTATACACTTTATGAGGCAAAGGTAGTGGGTAGTTGGGGAGGAAGGGGAAGAAAAGTAAGGGGCAGTAAATAAAAGGTTATGACCATCTGTGTAGCAGCCCCGGGTTTTAAAAATAACAGGCACCTACTTAACAAAGGTTACTCCAACCCTTTACAACTGCCAAACAGACTAAGACAGGGTTAATCAACTCACTTTCTTTGTCCATGTAAAGGTCTTCCATGTAGGAGAAGCATGTATAAGATGATCAGCATGTTTTGGCCCTGAATTTTTCTGCAATGGCTTGCTCTTGTCCAGACCTTTAGATGCATTTGATAAAGTTGAAGATACATCTATGCTAGCATTGGTTCTTGTTCTAGCATTGGTGGTAGTGTTAGGTGTTTGGCTTTCATTGAACACTTGCATGAGCTGTCTGTTTTCAACATGATTCATCTTTGTTCCATTGGCTGTCTTCCTCTTTTCTGTGAATGAGCACCAAATGAATGAAAATGAGTTCCTAAATATAAAGGAGGACTTATAAACAAGTGTTCAGAAAACTCAAAGGCTGGCAACACCTTTCTAAAGAGTAGCCTGAAGGGTCATAGCATGCTAAATACAATTTCCCTTAATTGCTCCCTGTTGCTGGGAACATTTTGTGAGCAAGATGCCTACCATTATGGTCTCAATAATTACATTTTGGCATCAAGATGATAGCCACACCTTTGTGTTTGACTATCTGCCAAGGGGTCTACCGACAAAGGAAACTGGACCATATGAAAAGCAATTAAAAAAATTTACCGGTATGCTTAGGATCAGAATTAGATGATAAAAACTGTTACTGCTGGGGTTGTCGGAATGAGGGAACATTTTTATCAGGAGGTAAGCACTGAAACACTGTTTTGGAGACCTTTCTAGGAGCATGTTTGGGTAGGTGCTGCCAAGGTCTTTAAACATTGCCCTTTTAAGAGGGAAACCATTTTGCTACCCTGTTTAAGACAAGAGACCTGTTTTCATGACCCTGATTCATTTCTCACAGGATGAAGAATTTTTTTAAACTACCACACCACATACTTCATGGGCAGATCCAGAAAATTCAGAGAGGGGGAAAACATATTACAGAAAAAGGGGGTGTGGTTCCCCGAGTCCCACCCAACACACCCATGTAACCAAATTTTTTAAAAAAATGTGTTAGTACCACACAAGTGGACACCCTATTCAAGACACTGAAGAGTGAAATTGTACACCCTGTGGTGATTCAAGATCCCTAAAACCACATCCTTTACAGTGCCACATACATGTACTCTTTTGGACAAAAATAAGGGAGTGCCCCCTCCCCCACCCTTACAGGTCAGTGAAGAAGATGATGGATATCTTTGAAGAGAGGCAAATGTCATCATATTTACAAACAAATCCCCTGCATACATTAACAACATGGTTTCTTTATGTTGGTGAGATTTTTATCCAATTAAACAAAGATTCAAGTGGCATAAATAGCAAAATTGCCTATTACTTTTTTCTTAAACTCAATCATTCGTAACATACTGTAGTAATTGTTGTTAAGCTCTGCCTGGTGTTTAGCTTTCTTGTTAAATGCTCTTTTCCAGTCATCTTTGTCATCAGCAGCATTTTTACTTCCAACAAGATGGTTGAATTGTTTCTGTAAAGAAAGAGTTTAGTCAGTTTTCCACAATGAAATTGACTATGCTTAGCATGCTTGGAGATTTTGATACTGGTAAATTCAATTTAATGCTAAATAATCTTCAAAAACCATTATCTGTTATTGGTGTGTTAGCAATGTGAGTTAATTAACCCTTTAAACCCTAAGATCAAAATCTGAATTCTCATTTGTTGCACCTATTCATTTCCTACAGAAGTAGTGGGAAGAAGTTAATAAAATATCAAGCAAATTCATCTTGTGTGATCATGTCCATAATTCTCACGACCACTCTGTTTTACAAAAAATTGATATTACAAGGAGAAATTTGATGCTGATCACTCTTAAGGCTTAAAGGAATAAAGGAGGTGGTAACTAGCACTGGATACAGTACTGTTTACAGGGTTCGCACAGTCTTGAAAAGTCCTTGAATTTTAGGGGAAGTCCTTGAAAAGTCCTTGAATTCCATTTTTCCTTGAAAAGTCCTTAAATTTCTGTGCAAGTCCTTGAAAAGACCTTGAATTTTCTTCAACTTTGAATGTAGTAGCCTGGAAAGAATTTTTTGATGCTTTTTGGTTGTCCAAGACAGAATATAAATCGTAGCTCAGTGAATGTAAAGGTCATTTACATAAAGTGCTCCATGTTTTATGCAATAATTAACTATCAGTTTAAGACAAGTGAAATGAAAAATGTAAAGAATTTGGTGAAGCAAACAGTTAAAGCCTTAAAGTCTTATTAGAATATACTGGGAATATGCATTTTTGTACAATCTATGAAATTATATTCCTAGTAGGTTGTCCTTGAAAATCTAATGTGGTCCTTGAAAAGTCCTTGAAAAGTCCTTGAAAAATGGTTGCAAGTTTTTGTATGAACCCTGGTTTATCTCCAGAGATCATAATTCTAAAAGCAGAGGCAGAGTTTGCATTTATTCATAAAATCACCTTGAATATAAACTTTACCCACAATGTTAATTTTTAGATTGAAATGAAATTGAGTCACTTTTGCTTTAAATCATTTCTTATTTATTTTTATAGAATAAGAAATCTTCTTAATATCATTTTGAGAGTGTCAGGGACTCAGATTTTTTTCTTTGTCCCATGCTCATGACAAGCTGATTATTTCATTTTTTCACAAAATAAATTATTTGGGTAAATTTCCAAAAACTGTAAAATCAAAAGTGCTTAAAAAAGCTATATATGGAAGTTTAAGATCAGAAATATAATTCTGCAAAATAATTTATATAAGCGACTCTGCACCTGTCTGTCTAATTTAATTTAACCATTTTATATGTGCATAATCTGCCTACCAAACAACAAAAAGCAATTTTACTTGTACAGGTGAGGGTACTTTGCAAAGATAGAAAATAGACAAAGCCCGCAGCTTATCTGTCTTTATCTTGGATTTAAATGATCTTTCAGCTTCGTATAACCCAAAAACTTTGGAAAAATATTTTTCAGTAAATGTTAATGGAAAGAAGTGATTAGCAGTAATTTGCATTCCGTAGCAGTGGTAAGCCTAATCAATTTTCTATTATATTAGTCATAACGACCATATCAAAAGGACCGGAAATGGGTCGGACAATACCGACAACAAAGTCAATATCGTTCTAGGAAATAACCTTGATTCCTGACTACATACTCGCGATATATTTAAACGTCCTTGCTATAAAGTCTTTTATTTTATCGCCCTCGTCTCTAGTAAAAACAGAATCGTGTAGGTTATATACGGATTCCTCATATACCAAGGTTAATACTTCAAAATACCTTAACTGGAGTGAAACTTCTTGCGAATGAAAAAACTAAATACTAGCTGAGGAGCCACGATTTAATGTTAATATATCTCAAATATATCAGGAAAAATGTTCCTCCTTTTATTTTTAGAGGTGAAGTATTGCCGAAAAAAGCAGTATTGAAAATAAACAAGATCTATATTATAAGCTCTTCTTTTTGGTGAAAGAAATATGTTTTGCATAACTTTGAAATCGAATGTCGACAGTTTCGTAAAAGGATGCGGAGCACGCATCTGTCAGACTCAAATTGACGAGCTTACTCACTTCCTGTTGCAAAAATGTAAGTTTAAGTGCACAAAAACGGACACTAAACATGAGAAAGCACTTATCAAGCGCACTTCACAACACAATATAAGATTATGGGAAAGGCAGTACACTGTATCACTGTTTAGCATCAGTACTTCACTCACTTTAAATTCCCGCTCGACCGTGGCGAAAAAGCTTCCAAAATTGTCATTTTCTTTTGCACCATCAAAGAGTTCTCCTAGATGTGAGAGACGATGTTTACCCACGTTAACTCGGAGATTTTCACGGTGATTACCCATGGAGTAAATTCAAAACAATTGACAGCATTAAAAGACTGATGTGAAGTTGGTCACGCGTGTTAAACATTACATTTTTAATTACTTACCTCTCCTTTTCAAATCGAACTTTTCTGAATCGGATATTTCTCTCCATTGAAGAATCAAAAGCAGCGTGGCAACAACAGCAGCAAGAATCGAAAACTGGATTAAGCGCTTTACTCTCCGGATGGCAACCATGATGTCTGCGACCAAAAATGTGTTTCATTTTAGCCCATGTTTTCTTGCTTCATTGCCCGTGGAGAAATCCTTACAATTTATTTCACCACGATCTCAGTATATACCACCATGTACACAGTGCAGCTGCTCGGAAACCGGTTCATGGAATCACAATTTTCTACTGAACTTAATCATTAGTTGTTCAATCGTAAACATCAAAGCACTAATAATTAACTTCATAGCGGTGTTCAAGCATCCGGGACTTGTTATAAACGGAAGTAAAAATGATACTCCGCCGATAAAGACAATGTATTTTGCAGGTTGAACAGATGGATGGATGATTTTCAATGACAAAATTAAAGACTTTAAACGAATAATGCCGTAAATTTGAATTCCAAATTATTACGTTTTGGTTCCGCTCATCAGTAGCATTTCTGTCATGTTCGATAGGGTAACAGGCTCCTGATTTTGATCAACCTTCACATTTAGTGCCAAGATTTTTTAGTCAAATTTGAGGTTTTTGGTTTCGTCAACTGTGGTTAAAAATTCATGGAGCGGAAGAGAGAGGGGACCACACTACCACTGCCCCCGCTAACAGGTTAAATTAAAAATAATAATAATAAAAAACGGCGTGCTTTGGTTTTATTCAAAAGAAAAACAACGTCATCTGGCGAAATTCCCTATTTCGTTTTCTCAATTTTTTCCTCTTAAGCGCAAATGATAAAGGTGCTAAGGTCTTGGGAAAATCTTAAAAAAACATTTCGTTATCTTTGTGTGATCATAGGTAAGAGACTCCACATGCTTGTGGAAAACCTGCTGAGGTTTGAGGAACAGCACTTGGTGTCATATTTTTCAAAAACACAAACTTTTCCCCGAATTCCACTCGGTATCTACAAGTAGCTCAAATGATCTCTATTGAGGGGGCTTGCATCTAAAAATATCTCACATCCAAATAAAATAGGAAGTATCTTCTACTTCCTGTTCTATGAAGATCTTCTAGAGTCAGTCAGCTGTTCCATGAAATGGTTCAATAATCGTCGTACACGCACCACCGAGCGTGGCGTCTGTGGTTTGGTGGGGCGTGGGTGCGCTCCTTGAACGATATTTCAGACATGAAAAGCTTTTCTTGAGAGACAAATAACAAAAAGAAGTACCCAATTTTAGAAGTTCGCTGCAGAGAGCATTAAATTGCAAAACCTTGCCCAAACAACCAACAAGTCATAGCCTCTTAATGTCTGTACCGTTTGAACCACGTTGAACAGATTTTGCAACCTATTGGCGCTGCACATACCGGTACTCATTTTGCTTCAATAATCAGGGTGTACCTTCCCCCCCCCCGCCCGGGACACAGGCTGATCTTATAGCAGACGTGTTGGTGGCTAAGGCAAGATGTTCTATTGCTCTACTGGTGAATGTCATGTGTGATCGTTTTTACATTGTAACAACTGAGGTCGATAATCAGAACTGTATCAATCCTTTGTTTGCAAATAAGGACTAATTTTTGAAGTGAAATCATAGTTATTAGAGGAGACTGGTTATGAAAAGCGGCAAACATCAATGACAAAAACAACAGTGCTGCAGTTTATGTTCAAAGCACCGTGAAAGTGCACAATCCTTTGTTTTCTGTTGGCAAATTGTTACGGAATAAATTAATGCAACGTTTTTATTGGTCAATACAATCAAAATGATAGGAATTCTTTTGAACGTTGTGCACTTTCAGGTCCACAAAAACATATAACAAAGGAGTCTGACGGGTTTCATAACCATTCCACTCAATTAACTATGGTGAAATGAAGCTTTGCTTTGTATCGAGAATTTGTTCAATATGGTCTCAATAAACAACCCCTAACAGTAGAACCACCCTAACCACAAACATCGCCCACATTGCATATATTATTTAGGACTACTTCCGGCATTGCTGACAGCTGTGACTGGAACTTGTGAAGGGAAGAAATAGATTACAAAAAAGAGTGATAACGAGGAGGATATTCCAGCGTTGTTACGATCAACCGCCCGGAAAACTGATATTCATGGCATCAACAAACAGTAAAATTTGAAATACAACCGAACTTTTGGTTCTCATACGAGTTCGTTCCCATTGAAAAGAGTACTGACTTGCCGGGAATTTGTTGGGTAGATGTTTTAAAACCAAGGTCGCTGGACCACAGTCCAATGTCATTTCTAAAAGCCGGAGCAAGACCTTTCAAGACTTTTCCACCAGGGCTTTACCGGTTTTACCTTTTCAGTAACGGCGTAGAGTTCTGTAAGCAAATTAGGGGATTATAGATAACCTAATGCCGGGAGAAATGAATTTTCATATGCTGTATAGCAATCACTTTTTACAAATAGAAAAAAAATTTTAAAATTTGTTTAGTTCAGTTATCACATGTACCAGCCAAATGAAATAAACAGAAACAAACTACCGTCTGATGAATATAAAATTGAAATGAGCGGAGGCTGGGAAGGAAGTCGGGAAACCGGTCTTCCTTCTGTGAGTTTTTCCTTCCGGTTTGGTGGAGCTAAACTTTAATTGTATCCGCGGACACAAAAGAGCGGGCACCGCGCCGGGTTCACTGAGGGTTCCTGTGTGCACACCCGTCTTTGTTAATATTAGTTCTGGGGCAGTCCAGTTCTTTAATTGTTCTCACTGCTATAAAGCTCATGATTCAAAAGGGCGTTTGACAGGGCAAAATGGAGTCACATGATCGGGCGAACACAACACCATTTGTGCTAGTACCCACATGACCTAGGGATTGGTCCCGGGCACCAAGTGTGGACAGCCCCTCTGTGCTAATGGCTAGACTTTCTAAAAGTCCTTTAATTTTTTTCCAGTTGGTTATGCAGGCAACTCGAGATTACGCTATTACGGGTGTCATTGAAGCGTGTCTGTTATTCCGGTTCGATCCACTTCCCCTTGTCAGTTTTACGTAGAGAAAATATTTCGAAATGCCATCTTCATGTCTGGAGCACTGGCTGTATCTCGGGTATAGTAACCTTCCAGAATTCATTCACAATTTTTCTGAAGGAGCGCACTGATGAGCGAACACTGAGGTGTTTTCCTTGTCGACTTTTTGTACATAGTCCAAGATTATCTGCAGTCAGAACGTAGCCAACGAGCAGTCTCTGTATTTTTCTTTTGCGTCACTGTAGATTGCGAGCACGCGCGAGGGGCGGGCGGCGAAGGCCGAGAAACGACGGGTGGTACTCACACGCTCTATAAACCAGCACACTATGCTACGTCACGGACACAACATTGTTGGCTAACAACTCTCAACATTGTTGGATGTTATATACATGTTGCGTTCGTTTCCACACCCTGTTGCATGTTGTTGCGTGTTGTTGCGAAGAGTTTAAAACCGGCTACTACTTGCAAACGGACGCAACAGCACCCGACAATGTTGGGTGTTGTTGGCCAACAATGTTGCCTCCGTTTGCAAGGGCTTTAGTATTGTATTTTATCTTCAGAGCCTACTATTCCCCGCTATTTCAAAACACGCTTTCTGAAATCTCGGCCGCCGGGGCCCAGTACTGTGTTGCTTCTGTTTATGGCAGACAGAGATTGTCAAAGGTTATGAAACCTAAAGACAAACTTTGGGAAACATTCCAACTCACCCGGGGCGGGGGGGTACTCCCATACATTACCTATACTGGTATGTGCCGCCCAACGGGGTCGTGATTTTGAAGCTCCTGGTTTAGAACGGGGTATCCATTTCAGAGGCGTTTTCTAGAACGGGGTATAATATTTCGAACGCACGAAAGCTCCAGTTTTGTAAGCAGCCAATTGAAATTCATTTCAAGGACAGATTGCTTTTAAAAATACGGTTCAATGCGTTAACAAGCAAACTGTTATACTCTTGTTGCACCCTAGAACGGAGTATAAAAAAATAGCCCATTTCTAGAACGGGGTATCAGTTTTACGGCGAATTCTAGAACGAGGTATAAAAAATTGGCCCATTTCTAGGGGAATTTGTTTGTAGAACGGAGTGCCAATTTGGAGTCCCGGGCGGCACATACCCACCCAAAAAATACTTAAGTGCCCCCCCCCCCCCGGGCCAACTCATCACTCTGAAATGTAAGCCGCCTTCTTCTCTTACCTCGTGGTGGGTAAAAAAATAAACGGAAGTTTCATGGTATGACTCGGTAAGGTGTGGCTGCTAAGAAAAATAAGCCGAAAAAAAGATAAACATTACTGACAATGATTATTGTTTGTCACGTTTGTTCCGAGTTCCCAGAGGCTCGATGGTTTTGGTTTATGAATGAGGTCCGCCTTATGAATTCAGACGTGCGCCTGCCGAACTTAATTGAACTTTCCTGTAGCACGGCAGGAAAACAACTTTGATTCAACGTCGTGCCAGAGTCAACCAAATTCGTTCCTCGCATATCTCCCAACTCCCCGTGTTTCAATTACATTAATAAATTTAGCCTTTTGTTTAGCCAGGCTCGACGTTTGAATAGTGGTGAAAAGAACTTAATTGTTCCGAAAATTCAAAACTTTGAAGACGTCGCGCTTCGTCTTATTTTGTCGAACTTTGTTCGTTTAATTCGGCACGGCAGAAGCACGACGTCTGAACTGGGCCTAAGTGTTTCAATTGGGATAAGTGACATATGAGAAACAGAGAGTGGCTATTGCTCAGAAAGTGTTCTGAGACTGCGGTTTGGGTGTAACCACCGGTAGGGCGTCTATGTTAGTCCATTATTTTTTTACAGATTCTGATATTCGTGGTTTTTCCTAATAAACCTGATGAATACGGGTATTGGTCAGTCGAAATATTGTATACTTCAGCCTTTTTCACCTTGTTTGATCTGTCTTTGCAGTAGTCTCTTTGACTTTAATTCTATTTTTATCTTTTTCGACTGATCACGATCTTGCGTGATCCAAAGTTGTGCTACATTGACCGTTCACTGTTTTTGCAGTGGTTTTCAAGCGTTAGTTTACATTGTAAAAATATACTGAATGAAACGTTATAGCTAAATAAGGAAGGAAAGAGTTTGTAACTAAGGATCAGAAAGAAGTACAAAATGGGGCTTAAACTGCTTGCAAAATGTCTACTCTTTATCTCAGCCAATTAAAAACTACAACGTTAGCAGAGCCCTCGATTATCGCAGCTCGCGTGTTTGGGTTTTGCGGGAAGCTTAAGCTTTGCGCAGAGAAAAATAACACCAGAGACTGTTCGCAGTCTACTCCTGGTTACAATTCTTTCCTTTTGAAAACCCAGACTTAAATTAAAGTTTTCTTGCTCAACCCTTAAAAACCACTGAAAAAACAAACAAACAAACAAAAAATTAAAAAAAAGGGAAAAGGAAAAAAGAAGGAAAGAACTTAAAGAAAACTAACTGAGGTTGGGGGGAGTTGTTTTACTTAAAAATTTTTGAGCCTTTCTAATGGCAGAGCCGAGTCAATATTATTTAGTACAGCGGTAACAACTCATCAAGCATCAAGTGTAACCATGCACAGGCAGCATCATAATTTCCGCTTGATTTATTTACTTCATTCAAAGTTTGTCCGTTCTCGTTTTGCGAGTGTCTAGAACATTGAGTCATTGTTGAAAGGAGTCACCCTCTTGCTGCAAATTTTTAGGAAAGTAACAGCAGAAGCTCAGTAGACTATGCTCCGCAGAGTTTCCTTCATTTTGTCTAGATATCTGCGACATATGTAATATCACAACCATTTAAGCTTTCCAACGGGTTATCAGTATTCATTTTAAGAAATCGTAGCTCAGTGGAGATTTAAAAACCTTTATAAAGAGACTTGCGGGCCCTGATGAGTTTAGCGGCCTGATTCCTAAAGAAGCGAACAATTCTTGCAAGGACCACTTGGACAAACAGGAGCGAAGGAAAGCCGGATCTTGCAGTATAGTAACACTTAAAATTGAAGGCAAGGCTACTGGCGGACAGCTGAGGCTTGATAATACAAATTTGTCATGCCCAATATTTCGATAAGCAAAACTCACGGTCTTTATCAGGGGCTAGAAAAGCTTATTCCTTCTTTACTGCGAAGGAAAGAACTCCTAAACAAAACCTGAAATAAAATAAAAACAATTTTTGTACCCAATACAAATACCTTTGTCGGTCTCTTGCACGGACTTATCTCCAATTAAACTTTTTTTTAGTGAAAATAAAATGAATGCAAAATCAGAAATCGGCTGTAAGCATTTTCTCTTCTGTCACTCACGCTATAAGCTTTTCTGAGAGCGGTCTGACAGAAGGGGAAAATTTGCATCAAACTTGTACAGGAAGACTTTCCAAAAGAACCGCTTTTTCTGACACGTGTAAACAAAATTCGGCGGACGAAGACTGGTAACTCAAGCTTGCACCGGAAGTCATTGGGGAAACGCCATGCGCTAGCCTACCCTAGAGGAAAAGTAAGTCAACCTTCTGTTCAAGTCCTTGTCGCCCTCATCATTTATTTTAAAAACTTGCTGATGTTTTATTTCAAATTGAGTCTCAGTAATTTTAAAAACAAATCAGAACGCTAAAGGGAATTCGTTCAATTTAATAGTATCATTTCCCTACCACCCCCACATTTGTTTTTTGCTTCTGGCAAAGCATGCGAAAATGACCAAAGGGAAATCTAAGTTCCCCGTTTCAAATTTGTAATGCTTCTAAAATCGTCTCCGTTTTATCGGAAGATTCAAGACGCAGTTTGCTCGTTAGTCTGTTAGCTATTTATTGTTATCTATCTATGTAAAAGCGAAAGTATCTCGAAATAAGAAATTTAATGCTTTAGTAGTCCCTTATATAAAGCATGTTTTCAATTCAGAGTTCGAGTTCAATGTTTTCATTCGGACACTGGTGAGCTTCTCTCTCAGCTGATCTGTGCGAGACTCCTAACTTCAAGTGTCTACGTTGTGCAAAAGGAAAAACAAAACTAGACTTTCTATTTGGTAAGTACACTGTGTAAATGCATTAATATTTTCTGTTCAGTCATTCAAGGACTACATGTTTTGCTCTTTGAGCAAGGTCCATAGACTGTTGTTGTTTATATACTGTCTATGAGCTTAAACTAGTAACGTTGTCAAGCGGATAAGGACAAAGAAAGTCAAGCTACGCTATATGTACACTATCTCTGCTATCACCGTAAGCCAAAATGCACGTTTCTGGCAAAGACACAACCCTGAACATATAATAGCGAGTATGGAACTCTTTTCATATTTTCATGGAGATTTCAGACAATTATAGATTATTATAATATAATTATAAACCCACAATCCAAATTATCACCTTTAGGCAGACACCATAAGAGCAAATGTGTGAGAAAACTAAGCTTATAATGTAATTTTATTCTTATCTCTCAACAAGCTATGATAAGGCGATTGTCCTTTACATTTTGTGTTCCCCATACCATTCCCTGTAAATCATGTGTTACTTACACTACAGGGCCCCCACAAAATCTGTGTAAATGTACTGGATTTACCATTTGCTTTATCTGTAGCGATATATCGCTAAATATGTGCCTGGATCAATGCTAAATAAACGTTGTGTTACTTTTCCTACTGTAAATTGTCGTTCTTTTTGCTCAGAAGTAGTATTTTGAGCCATTTTGAGGGATTTTGAGTTTACTGTCACTGCTCCTCCTCTTAGATGAACAGTAAATGGTGAGCTCAAAATCCTTCAAAATGACTCAAAATACCATTTCTGAGGGAAAAGGACAACAATTTACCTGGGTAAGGTAACACAACATTTATTTAGCATTGATCCACGCACATATTAAGTTAAATATTGCTGGAGAGGAAGCAAACGGTAAATCCAGTACATTTACTATAAAATTATAATACAATCAGTTACACAAACCCTTACAATAATGCCCTAAATGCCCTATGGTACGCTGAATAGCTATGGTATGCTGAATAGACGATTAACCCGAGAAGCTCAACAGGCTATTAGATTTATTTTTTTTAAAATTAGGGTTTATATCCATTGCATAGGGAACATACTTGTAATAACACAATTCTTCATTAGAATGTGAATATTGGTCAAATAGCATCAAATAGGGGTTATGGAACCTTAAGGTAGTAATTTGTGGGTCTCAGAGACCTTTCATTCAGTTGGAAAATCTGAGGATTTGGTGCTCGTCAAATCTTGGTTTAGTGAGTTTCCTCACCTGTTGGATATTTGAACTTTCAGTTTTGTGCAAGTTTAGCAGTTTGGGGGCATTTTAGCCTGATTCTCAGACAGTCCAGGTTTCTAATGTAGCTACGCACTCTCTCCCAACCTGGACCATCTGCGAATCAGGCTAGGAGCATTTCAGCAAGTCTGGTATTTTAGTATCTCTTGAAATGTTAAGCAACTATGATGACTATACCAGCAATTTTAAGCAAATTAATTTCAGAACAATAACAATTTGATTGTTTTTTCTTTTTCAGGGTATTTTAAAGAGATTTTTTTAGATCACTCTACTGTACCATCGTCCATTATGGGTGAACGTTATATTGGGGACTTACCTGATGACACAAAGAAAAAAGTGGCAGCTGTCTTGGACGCATATGACCCACCTAACTGGAGATCTCTTATAAATGTTATAAGGCATAATGTACCTTCCTGTAGTAATGCTTTTATTGATAAGTGGAGTGCAAAAGTAGGGATGGAAGGTCTATTGCCAGGAGGAAGTCCAACCCTGAAACTGCTTAGTGATTTAGAAAACTTAGGACGAGGCAGTGCTACTACTGTTGGTGAATTGGTAAACTGGATCAATTCTATGGGTGGCAATACATCTCGTGTACAGACAATCGTGAATATTCTGAGTAAGTATATGCTTAAAGAGGCGTAACCAGGATTCTTCCAGAGGTACAGACACAATTTGCCACATCCTCTGGTACCCCTCCTTTGTTTAACATTAATTTACAGTGCCCTGCTTCGTCTACTGCTAAGAAAATACAGGCCAGGTGAAAACAATGTGTTCATGTTCCAGATGTTCTGGAAGACAAGCATGTTGGTCACTCAGAATGAAATTTTTTTTTCAATTTTTCTCATTAACAAGGCCACCCTCAAAGTACCTAAGTTTGAAACTCTCATATATCCAAAGCATGCACTTCATTTTAAGCAATAATACAGTAATCCAGAATGCACCCTAATTTAAGTATTAATACAGTAAGCCTGCATGCTCTGATCCTCCTAATCAAAAATAATTCCATGTTTTCATTTTTCAGTGATCACAGGGCACCCAACCAGAGTGCTAAACATAGACTCAGTACAACCTAGGGACCTACAGTTTTTCTTCTGTTAACTAAGTTAATTGGTTTACAATTTTCTAATTGAATCACTTTACTTTTTTATGTAGCAGGTGCACCAGTGATAAAGCAAAATATCCCTGAAGAAGTCCAGGCAGCACTAGGACAAGATGTTAGAGTCCACTGTGAAGCATCGGGAAAGCCACCCCTGTATTTTCAATGGTTTAAGAAAAGAAATGAACTTCAGGGACAAGTAACAAATACTCTAAGTCTGCAAAATGTTTCTCCAGATGATGAAGGATTTTATGTATGCCGAGTGGCCAATAGTTTAGGAGTTGTCTTTACAGGCTGGACCAAAGTTACTATCGATAGACATCCCAGTGCCTACAATTATCGGCAATTTGGTTAGTACGGGTTAATACAGTTGAGTATTTAAAGTGCAAGTTCCATTAAAATGTTATACAATTCAGGAATTTTAAATCATCGAGGAGCTTATAATATACCTATACAAGTACTGTACAGGTATCAGTGCAATATTAAGCTATAAAGTTATTGTGTATAGATAATAATCTAATAACACCGTCATTAAATAATACATTTTAATGTGCAGCCTCGTTTTTGTTTTCATGAGGATCTTGGTATTTACTGTTTATGCTTCAGGTGGAATTAGCATCAGCTTCTCAACAATTTGCGTAAGAATGCCACTAGTTCAAATGTCGTCTTGAATGGATTAAATCCTGACCAGCTGTTATTGTTTGAACTGTTTGTAAAAATATACATAGAAGAAGGACGCCAATATTTTAAGCTGAGGTGATTGAACACACCCGGCCATTTAAGCTAAGACCAATTTACTAAAATTTGACCAAGACATAACTTTGAGAACCAAGCAGGCAATCCCCTGGCCAGCAGGCTAGTTAGGCCCATTGTAACTTTTCAGGAAGCCAATTAAAACACAGACTCAGGTTTCACGTCATCTTGCCCGCTACCCTGCTTGTGCCAAACCCACCATGAAATTAGCAGATGTTATTAGAGGTATGGGATTTAAGCCGAAAGAAGTCACTTTAATAGACAACTTATGGAGTCAATTTTTCTTCGCAGATTTCCCAATTATCACCTGTCAATCAGAGCCTACTATTCGTGTAGCATTTGGTTCAAGGTTGAGATTGTACTGTGATGGTGTTGGAGTGCCTGCTCCTAGTTTCCAGTGGTATAAAAACAATGCTCCCGTTGAGGGAGCAACATTTAGGGAACTTACAAAATTAAGTGTCACTAGTGAGGATCAAGGGAATTATTTCTGCAAAGTGTATAACAGCGCTGGTGAAGTTTCTTCAGATCTCATTCAAGTGATTGTTGCACCTGCAGGTACTATAAAATTACTGTTCATAGTTATCCATGTATTTATGAGTTGTTTACTTAAAAAATTCTCTTTTACAAGTGCAAAAACCCAAACTTCGGCATTATGCAAAGAACGAAGTGTCCCATAGCCCTGGCCTTAACTGGGGTAGTGAAAATTCTGTCTTCTTCATTTTTTGGAGGCCCTAGTGAAAACAAAGTTTGGGCTAGGACATGCTAGTTTCAGCTTTCTCAAATGATCAATTGAAGCTGTAAAACTGACTGTCTACACCCTGCTTCAGGTACTTGGCACCATAATTTAAGGTATGGCTGAAGGTTTCATTTGAATAGTCTTCTCATAGAATTTCATCAACTGACTCAATTTTAGAGAGTCAGCTTAACCAGCTAAACCAAATACGAATGAAGGAAGAAAAATAGAGATTTATTGGCTTTGCGCGAACTGGTCACAGTAGGATGTATTTTTTTAAAGTACAGCATAATGCCATTAATACAATAAAGTAAGTGAGAGTGCATTAATTGAAACAAGTTATCCAAGTCTAGAAATAACCTCACAAGTTCATGTCTCCCTTTAATCCTGAATTTGGGTTAAATGACTATCTGGGATCAGTGAAATGTTTAGACTTTTATATCATCATTATCATCATTATTGTTTTATTTATTTATTTATTTATAATTATGGTAATGTAAGAGCACTAACTTAAATGTATTCATTTTAATTATTTTTCAGTTGTTCCCAGAGGTTTCCATGAGCGAGGTAAGTACACACACAGAGAATTTATATTCTTATATACATTTTTATTTTGCCAGTTTTAATTAATCCAAAAAAAAGGCGCCTGCACAAGTTATGAAAAAGCATGTTCTGCTATAAACAAAATAGTGAAGATCTGATTTTTGTTTGTTTCCATCTCTTTACAGTTGCAAATAAAGTGGCTCTGTTGATTGGTAATATGGATTACCAACATGGTCATCAACTTGGGCAGCTCTTCCACCCTATAAATGATGTATGTGGATTAATGGGCAGTCTTTTAAACATGAATGGCTTCAAAGTAAGTTAACTGGAATAATTATGTGAAAGTTTTCATCACCTTAATTCATAGTAAGTCAACCATCTCTTAATGCACACCTCTATGAGATTGACTCCTAGAGATGGTCCCTGTCACTTCAGTCATTTTCTTTAAAACTCTACAACACAGACTGACCACGCCAATAATTATTGATACACACTCTTGGTTGGCCGTAACAGTATCGGATCAGCAGTATGGCCTAGAAAAGTTCAGAGACAAATTAAATAAATTTGTGGCGATCATGAGTGTCTCTTAATACTAAGAAGAGAGGTAGTAAGGATTCTTAATATTTTCAGGTTTTGAAAGGCAGCCATAGGCATTTTTGAAATAATATTTTTGTTGCCTCTTCTTGTCGATACTTAGATGATAGATATGGTAAAGCAGTCTTTCAGAAATGCTTTGTGAGAGAAGCATTTTAAAGAATTAAGATATCTATTTTTTAGGTGCTCACATTGGTTAACCTGACGCTGAAGGAAATGAGAGAGGCACTTCGACAGTTTTGCCGGCTTCTGGTTGAGGATACCTTTGCCTTGTTCTACTTTGCTGGTCATGGATTTGAGCGTGGGGGACTAAGCTACCTGATGCCAGTAGATGCAACAGATTCTTATCGAAGCAGTGAAAACATGGCCTCCTCAGAAGTATTAGTTGCTATGCAAGAAACTAATGCGAAGTTACATGTTGTATTATTGGACTGCTGCAGAACTGAGTAAGTGATGAATAGCAACAAGCCAGAATTGAAGTATTGTGTTGGGGTACTCCCTATGATGGCCCATACAGGGTGCAAAGAAAATCATTTTTACAGCTTGCCATTCGGGCAAGTTGAAGCTAGCATTCACTAGCCCAGACGTCATTTCAACTAGCCCCAAAAACTTCTTGAGTAGCAGAATTGATTTCACAGTTCTTCTGTTATTCGAATTCCTCAAAAAACATCACTTGCCCGTCGGGCAAGTTAAAAACAGAATTGACTAGCCCAATAGCAAAATCCACTAGCCCCGGGCTATCGGACACTACTTTCTTTGCACACTGCTATACAGGGAGGCTCCGCCCGACAGGGGTACCTATTTCAGGCTTCAGGTACATGAAAGGGTAGAGATTTCACTGGTTGATGTATATGAAAGGGAGTGGAAATCTGTCATTTCGGACGGTAAAAAGGTCTAATTCTAAAAGGGCAACAGATTTTTTTTATGGCTGTGAAAAAGTCAAGAAAACGTACTCGCTTTATGATTTATTCATATTTTAAATACAGTACATTTACAACAATTAAAAGAAAAACAAAGTTTTAAACTAGAAAAGGGGTTCCTTTTTTGTCAAAAATGGTATGTAAAAGGGTAAGGGGTTGGATTTTGGGGCAGAGCCTTCCCTTATAAAACTTTGTTGAGAACCCCCCAGGTGCGTTTGATAAGCTATCACATACGGTTAATGACGCCCAGGGCGTTTATTTAAATTTAGCAGTAGACCTGCACCGTTCTAAACTTCTTATTTCACTGGTCATCCGTTCTAAACTTCTTATTTCACTGGTCATCTTTAATCTGCATTTCCACTGTTTTCAGGGATAGGGGCATTGTCATGTGACAATCCCTGTTGTTTTACCAGCTTATCAAAAGCAATCTTTCAAACAGGTGCGGGATCGCCTAAATTTAGGGGTCCAAGACTCTCATGACTGTGACAAGCTCGACAAAACTAATATACTTTCAGCGAAAATACCAAGAGAGTTCACAAATAGCAGAATATGCAGTCCACTTATTAATACATCTAGGCCGTCTAGAGATCCATATCGCTGTCCGTCAAATCAGATCGGATGCCAGAATCCTCGTTCAGGGTCATTGTGTTGTCATCGTTACTCTATCCTTACTTTGAACTCAACATTGAACAAGACGCAATGTGCCCACCCTTGTTAATCAAGAAAGGACTGGATAAATTGAATGATTTTATTCCTTTTTACTATTTCCTAGTATTTTAAAGTAATGTTCATGGGAAAGGTAGCCTGTTCCGGGCGTTCAGTTAGTGGGGAGCGGTGCGAAGTAAAAAGGAGCGCGAAAAAATAAAACCGAGGGAGGAGGAGAGTGCCCCTCTACTTTTCACCGCTTTCTTTACTTCGCACTGCTCTCCACTATCTGAACGCTTGGAACAGGCTATGGGAAAGGGGGTGACTATTAGACAGGGAGCGATTATTAGAGAAGGACGTCTAATACAAACTGAACAAGGCAGGAGAGGCGTATATTAGGTTATTAGTCAAGAGGCGTGAATTTGAGAGGGGGCGTCAATTAGATCATTTACTGCTCCTGACGGTATTTATGACGGGGTTACATCACAGGGTGTGGGGTGGATGTTGCTGCTCAAAAACCTGAATGTGTGTCCGCCCACCCCACCCCGCAAGATGAGTCTTTGGCATTGCTTATCATAAAAGGTGCAAATATATATACCGCGAGGCTTGAACCCAGAAAAAGGCAAATGGTAAGCGCAATGCCGTTCGTTTTTTTCCAACCCCAATGAGAGAAGGAAGACCTCATAGTCCTCAATTTTTGACTGGAATTTCTGAAAAATTATCTTACCCCTAACCTCCGGTCCGAAGTATTCAGGATTTTTTTGCTTAATGGTAAACACGCCATTTTCAAGGTCGACGAAAATCGCTCTTTTGGAAAGACATAAAACTAATGAAATAATTAATGGAGTTATATCACTTTTTACTTCAGACCTGATAATGTGCCTAATAACAGACTATTGCTTCAAGGAGGTGATTTACAAGCTATAAAAAAACCCAATGTTGTTCTTACGTTTGGATGGTAAGTATTTCAGTGTCAAACATTATTGGGGCAAAAAATATTCAGGTTAATGATAAAAGGCATTTTCTATTTTTCTTTGGTAAATCACACACCCCAATCAATCAGAAGGGTCACGAGAATTTAATAAATTATCCCCCGAAGGGAATAATGAAGGCGTAAGAGGTTCAGTTTGGTGTGCGTGTGTCTCACAACATGGGCTATTACATATAGTCAATACTGTTTCCCGCCTTTTTTTAGCCTTTGAATGTAGCCTGTGTGTGGGGGCGTAAGAAGTCTGGGGCGCGAGGTAAACGGAGCGTGCGAGGGCTTCCTCATTACGGCCCGTCCTTATTCTCAGTGGCGGATCCAGGGGAGGGACCGGGTCCCCCCCCCCTTATTTCAAGACCAAACTGAAGCCCGAAGGGGCCGAAAAAAAATTAAAATTTTTTTGAGACCCCTCCCCGTTTTATCTGAAGGTCTGAATCCGCTACTGATGCGCACCCTACATTTCTCCTATGCCTGCTACGCAAGCTACCCAAAATGAAACCGAAAGGACTTTATTGCATATTTATTTACCTATATATCATTCTATCTAATGTTGTCATTTTTAGTTTATCATCAACCTCTTTTCTAAATTGAAACTCAAATTTTTGGAGCCATTTTAGTGTTTTCTTTCATTGTAGCTCTGGCCCTGAGGAAGGCAAATTTTTGTTAGCCAAAATATTGGCCCCAAATAAATCAGCCCTTTGCCGTATTGACAGCCTGGTATTCAGTTTTGTTATATTTCTATATATATAACGGTTTCACCTTTTACTCATTTTCTATCCATGATATTTTTAGGGCAGTTGTTTCATAGTTGATAAAACAACTTTTTTCACAAATTCTATGCAAATGCATCCCTTGCCAAGTACACCCCACATGACGCGAAGAGCTTTTTCAAAGTTTTGGATAATTTCCTTGTGAGATTTTCTCATTTTTGGAATATTTATTTGCAGTTGTTCACAATCGTATGTCTATGAGAGTAGAGATGAGAAAAATGGCTTCTTTGCTAAACACCTGCTTAAGAATCTTACTGATGAACACAAAAACAAGTCTATTGAAGAAGTGTTACTGGGTGTTAGTCGAGGTAAGCTGGTCTTTTTGGATTAGTGTGCGCTGATTTTAGGGTAGCTCTACGACGGGAGGAGAAATTGTAAGCTGAGGTCCTTTGCGCGATGCGAAGCAGCTACCTGCTCTTGAAGAATGTGTGCCACCAGAATAACATTCTTGTTCTTCAAAGTTTTCTGTCCTTGATTTCTTTAAGGTATAGACGAGGAGAATCTAGTGGATCCATCTACACACCAGAAGCAGATTGTCAACAGAATAACAACATTGGTGAAACCTATGAGCCTGTGGTGTCCAGTGGACAGCAGTTTTATGAATCCCGCTACAGTAGCTGCAACTAACAAATGGCAGTCTGCTCACGGTAACGAGGCTAATGAGTTTAGTGAGTGAGGGAACGAGGGAGTAGCCTGTGATTAGGTTCCCCGCCGGGGAGCGTGTGGCGTTTTATCGCCTTACCCTCTAGAGGCTAGTGCGCAAGCAAGCCAAATAGTGAATGGAGCGGCTGACTGAGCGACGAGCTGACTGACTTGCCGACAGACGAATGACTAATTCGATGGGATTGGCTCTTGAATGAGAATATTGCTTCTTGACTATGACTGTTTTAAACCAAGTAGTCAGAAGAAAGTATTACGAGGGTAAAATACTGCTAGCACTCCAGGTGCCTCGCTCCAGTTTTCCTCTCGGCTCATTTGCTCGCTCCAGTCTTGCTAAGCCTCAACTCGACCCTCACTTGAAAAGAGACTGATTGCAGTCTACACGGGTAACGGCCCAAGAAAAACAACGAATCCATTTGAAAGCATTAACCACTTCACACACTTTCATAGTACAGTGGAACCATCAAATATCGAAGTGTCATCAGGCTGAGCCATTTTTTTTTTATTACCGGGGTAAAATACATCGGATTCAGTGTTTCATATTTTACTAAAACTGGGACGAATGTCTTTTCTTTTCATAGGGGGCTTCGTCGTTTTCACTTTTTCATTTCACTTTTTTTTTGTTAGAAATTCCTACCGAGCCGGTGATGGTGTTTCAAGATGACAACAACAGAGTTAAGGTTGTACTAAACTTTAACGCTGAAGTTTCTAACGTCCTTATAGTGAACGCTCGAGCACTGGGAGACGCCGAAAAGGACTGTTCAGTTACATTTGACATGTGTGGTGTAAGTGTTAAATCGACCTCAATATGCCTGTAGTAAACTGTGGTAACCTTTATCTAACCTGTGTAATATTATACTCGATAGGTTGTCAGTGGGTGCAAGGTGGAGCGAAATTCCATCGTGGGGAAAAAATGTAGACCATTCGAAGCAACATTAAAAGTCAAAGACCTTCAAAGGCTCAAGGTAAAAGAGAGACACTTGTCTTCATTTACTTACTACTTTTATTTTGGATTTTTTCAAGTAATTTACAGGTAAGGATTTTACCGACGTCTTTGCTCGGACAATGTCGCCCGCGCTCGAAGGGAAAACACAAACGAGACGAGCCAAATGGGCAACCTCTTTCCCAGGGCTTTTTCGACAAAGTCATGGGAACGAGGTTGGCCAAGTAAGCCCTTTGCAACTGGTTAGTCACGTGGTACGAAACACTTCGAAATACAGTGGGACAACAGTGGGACAAGACAAACAGAGAGATAACAGCATTGGTAATGGTGATAAGTCTGTCTGTGTTTGTTTAGTCCTAGTGCGTTCCTTGTGCGTTCCTTCCTTGATCTCCCGCCTGGCGTTTTTGCACCAGGTAACTGACCAGCTGCGAAATAAATTAGCACAGACATCGTGACGTTAAATGACAACGCAAAAGCGCGTGGAAAGGACTGAACATGACTTCTGGTGCTAAATTTCCGTTCTCCCATTGGTCAATCAGCTTCAGATCTGCGTGCGCTGTCGACATAGCCGTCTTTGCTAAATCTGCCAAATACGTGTAACGAAACTAACCGTGAAAAATAAATGGTAGTAAATGTATCGCTTTACACCACGTACCTACACCTGGTATATTTATTCAAACGAAATATAGTGCTACAAGCGAATCTTTGTTTACATTTTTGCCCCCAAAACACTGTTATCAGTATCTGATAGAGCTGATAAAATAATATCTCTTAACACTGAAAGAGTACAACAATTTCAGTCATCTTTGAAAGTTTGAGCTCGGTAAACCGAAAGGTTTTGGCGAAATTCTCTTTTAAAAACTCGAAATTTTACAAAGAATATATGGCTCATTTCGCAGTTGTTGATGGCTGATGTTGCCTTTAATGTTGCTTTCAAAGAGCTGTAAATTGCACAAATTGCTCAAGTTAATCAGCTCTTTTAGATTTTCAATTTACCTCGTGTGTACGGCCACGGCTTCTGTGAGTTAAGTTGTATGCTAATGAGGAATAACGTGAACAATAATGTCAGCAAAGATTCGCCAGTACTATTCAGCGAGAAAATGACCATCTATCGGGTAAGAATTAACAAAACCACTTGTATTTCTGCGAGAGATGGTGATTTATTCTAGTGGGTAACTCTACTGATCCACGTTTTGAACAACAGGAGGCGGGCGAAATGATGATACTTGGTAGGTTAACGGTCATATACAATGGACTTACTTCTGGGGGCTCTACTGCCACAAAAAAACAACAACAATAGTAGAATAAAGCACTCGGCAGTAATCACGCCATGTACCAAGGTTACTTCAGGGAGTAATTAGAAAAACTTATAGATCAGTAAATTGAAGTAAACTTTATTTATTTATTGTTTGTAGGAACCGTTAGTATTAAAGCTGACTGTAATGTGCACCGTACGAGACGAAAGGAAACAGATCTCTGTTACATACAAAATGGAAGAGAAACCTCTCTATGCTAAACTTGTGACACGCTGGTAAACAATGTACGAAACAATGGAACAGGAAAAAAAAGTGCTTTGATTATCAGTAATATTAAGAAATGTTTACGCGGTATGGAAGGAGTACAGCTAAAAGTGACCAATGTAATCACTCTGAGATGGACATGCACCTTTGGGACAGAAACTAACTGCTTGTGATTGAAAGACGCCTGCTTTGTGGAGAGAGAGAAAAGAAAATGACTGTAAAGCCGAATAGAAGGGGCCAACTGCAGGTGTCCGTCCGTCTTTGCCTGCGGTAACTTTTAGTAAGCAAATTCTTACACGTCAAAATTGTAAGGCAAAGGACCTTAACGGAAGCGGCACCATGACCACTACAAACCGGAGAAGCTAAGATTATATTGCTTTAATGATCACTTTAATAATTCCTCTTTCTCTCTCCTCCGCAAAAGCCTCTCTTGTTTCACGAGGAGAGTGGAGGGAGAGAGAGGGGAAAGTGTCTCGCGTGGAAATTTACTTTGTGGGTGCAGGGCATGGCTTTCCACGGTCATGTGTCTTCAGCCGATTCTCTTACGCGTCTAAACTCGATACAGAGAGGTTGAACTTCAATAAAAAGATCCTGCAAAATAGAAAGAACAGACACTGAATACAACAATCACGCATTTAAGAACAAGCTGTATCACCCCAAGTTTCCTCTATGCGTGCCATACTCTTGTTGCTTCACTGAAGATCGCGTGGCGATACTCAAAGGGCTAGTCTCCAAAAAATCTGCATTTGGCTTTGGCAACTGGCATGCAGAAAGAAAAAAAAGCTATTCATGCCTTGGTTAGCGCATACAGATCGGATAGCATAGGAAATTGCGTATTTCATACTTCATTTGTTAAAATTTGAATTTTAGTGTACATAAGTAACCTTAGTCACTTGCAAATAACTTGCTTTTTACAAAATTTTGTAACTGGGAACTTGCAATTTGACTATGGATTATTGTATTTATTGTGTTGTGTTGAACACGAATTTTGTCGTGTATAAACAAAGGTTATAGTTAAATACTGTATTGTAATTTATCAAGATGTGTCACTTACGACAGTTGTAAAAAAAAACGTTTATAGGAGCATTCTCCTTCACCAGATTTACATTTATTAGAACAGATCAATAAAAACTCTTCAGGCAGAATGAAACTGTCTGGTTAGCTTTTTGTCAGTATCCACCAAACGTCTTGAAGGGATGTGAACTGGGCCGGGGCTTTATTGGGACGGACATTTGCAAACAGATCCCTCGAGTTACATGAGAATGGAATAAGCGCGTTAAAGTTTGAAGCAGGGCGAACACACTTTTAAAGTGACGTTTTCGTAGTCGTCGCCGTCGTTGTTGCTTAAGCTCCTAGACTGCAAAACAGTCGGTTTTTTTCTCAAAATCAGTAAAGAAATCGGTAAAGCGTGGCGTAAGAGTCTTACGCGCGCGAAGCGCGCGAGCCTCACACGCCCGTAGGGCGTGTGAGGCGAGAGAAAAAAAAATTTTAGCATCTCTCCCCAGTCTCGCTCTCTGTTTTCAGCCTCATTCCAGACCTTTTGTTTGACGGCTCGCGCTTACTTGAATACGCAAAAATACGGACTGTTTTGCGGTCTATTAAGCTCCCTAATATTAGGACTTCCTAGGGGACGTTTTGTCCTTATACCAAAATTTCCAGAAGACCTCACTTTTTTGAACAATAATCGCAATATCTTGGTAATAGAGTGATTTTACTTGACCAGTGAAACAGTTAATAACAATAGCTATAAATAAATAAAAGAAGACAATAGAATTAGTGCATAATGGTGCGTAGTATTCACGGGTTAAGTAAAAATCACTCTAACAATGTGAAATACACAAGCTCCGAAAATTGTAAGTTAGTAGAAAAACTCCGAATATCTTACACGAATGGAACGGTTATCCAGAAATGTTAAGTCTTTCTCGAGTTTTAGAAATTTCTAGGCAATATTTGCTCCTTCGAACAGTTATTGTGCAAAGAAGGTAGTTGGGTGCCAATGGACCCAATGAATAAGCGTGGAAATCACCCACGTGTAGTTTTTATAATGGCTTCTTTGAATTAACAAATGCCGGGCACAACTGGGAGTTAGACGCGCGCAGTAACGGTTTTTTAAATTTCTGCTAGTTGTATATTAAAAAATTGTTTGGAAGAATATGATTATTTGACAAATTGTTAGTATGATTATGGTATTATATGCTGTCATTGACATAAATCGTTAGTGTAATGTTGAAGTTTATAGAGGAAAATGTTACAGTTCAGAACAGAAATTTGAAGTTTTAATCTTTAAAAATCCTTTGTAAACACAATGGGATTATTATTAAATGTGATTAATAACCAAGTATTTACTTGATTTCCACGCTACCAATCTGGAGTACGACCACAGGAGGCCAGGCTCACAACCGCCTCCTCGAAGCTATCTTGTAAGGAATTGTATGGGAGGTAAAGGTTAAAATGCTCATAAAACAGCCATTCAAGCGTGTCCTATCACTGCCACTGCGAAGTCTTCACAGACACTTCAAAAAGAGTGGCTTCATCTTGGAACTCAGTGTTCAACGTATATCAAAATAGTAACAGTTCAGATGCATAAACATCTGTAAGCGACATAAAATGCTTGACTACTACATATTGGAGGGCAGTAATTATATATTTGAGGTCATGACAAAAACAAAGGAAGATAAACTGAATGACATCAACGCGCGACGAAGCCCCAAGAACGTCTGCGTGGGGGGCTGACGCTAGCCTGGCCTCCCGGGGGGGTGGATGGAGATACTCCCTGATATAAGCTATATAGGTATGTGCCACCCCAAAGGGAATATGTTTTGCGCCGTTTTGGCCTGGAAATCGGGTATGGCTTTTGAGAAACTAAGGGAGTGTATGAACGTATTTATCGTTTAATTCCAAATGAATAAGGAAGAAAAATACGCGAATTCGAAGTGCATTTTAAGAAATCTTTTTAGTTGGCGTTTTAATCTAACCAATGATGACATAATTTCCTAGAGGCCAGGGACCCGTTTCTCGAAAGTCCCGTTAACTTGACGGGCCCGAAATCAAATATTCAAATCGAGATATAAAGAATATGAGCGCAGGTCCTAGCTTGCAAACTGCTCCATTTTGTTTCACTAACTGGTAGTTTTATCATGTTAGATGCAAAACTATTAAAACCTCGATCTTGAATGTAAACGGGGACAGCGTACCGGGCCCGTTAATTATCGGGACTTTCGAGAAACGGGCCCCAGGCCCCAGTTGTTCAAACGGTGGATAGCGCTATCCACTTCCCTGCTAGAAGAGGCCTCTGATAGCAGGGAGGCTTTCCACCGGATAAATCACTATCCAGTGGATAACGCAATTAGTTTTCGTAATACTTATCCATTGGATAGCGATTTATCCAATGGCTAGCGCTATCCAACTTTAGAACAACCGGGACCAGGGGCCCGTTTCTCGAAAGTCCCGATAATTAACGGGCCCGGTAAGCTGTCTCCGTTTACATTAATGATCGAGGTTTCGATAGTTTTGCACCCAACTCGAAAAACCTTAATAAAAATGGAACCTCCAGGACCCACGCTCTTATTCAAATTTCGATTTGAATATTTGATTTCCTTCCTTTAGAGAAACGGGCCCCAGGTCTGAAAACGGGTATGAAAATACAGTTGACTCCCGATAACTCGAACCCTCGATAACTCGAACCTCCCGCTAACTCGAAGTAATTTTTGTTTCCCTTCAGCTCATTTCTATACAATTTTACCCTCGATAACCCGAACCATGTTATAAGCGCGTGACAAGTCGGGAAAAAACCGTGTTCTGAAGTCCGAAACATTGAATTTATTTCAAAACAACCGAGCAAATTCTTTGTCTTTACTTTTTTGTCACTCCAGTTCAAATTCAGTGTCCATTCCTGTATACCTCGTTGCTTAATTGCCTTTCCTTCCCATCCATTTGCTTATTTCCTTACTTCCGGTTATTTGCTTCAAACTCCCGATAACTCGAACTTTTTTCGATTTCCCTTGAATGTTTGAGTCATCGGGAGTCGACTGTAACATTTTTTAGTCTGCAAGAGGATCAGGATTTAGAGAACAGGGCAGTACACCCCCACCATGAATTCCAAGGAGCACCCCCCGGGGGCTGGCTTTAAGTTCAAATGACCACGTGTTCTACTTAAGTCCGCTGACCTATTTTGCCCACACTCATATCTTGCGCACGCGCTGAAGATGCCACAGGAAGATTTGAGCCAAAAAACCCGCCTCATTTTTCATCTGGGGCATTCCTTTGTAAGCCCGAATAATAACCCTTCCAGCGCATTTTATAAGATCGTGAGGTTTGCATTCAAGCGTTTCCTCTTCTCGCCTCCCTTTTTTCCACTTTATTATTTATTTATTTGCTCTCGCTCCAATTTTCTCACGATAACTCAAGCGGAAATGCTAACATTCTCGTAGTTAGCTTGTTTACGTCCCCAAGAGAACTTGACTTGTTTAAGTCTTCCGAGACGTAAAACAACTATGCGAATGCCGGTGAAGCAAACAAGTTCGCAAATGCTTAAAACCATCCAACCTAAGCAAATATGGCCACTGTTTTTTTTTCTGTCCTCATAAAAAAAACATTGCCAACCGAATTAAAATGACATGGCAAGTCAAAGTTAATAAGTATGTGGAGTCTTCAGGCTGTACTCTTTATCTAATTACAAGTTTTAACATTACAAGGAACATTTTTACTACCAAAATTTTGAACACGAGGCTAAATAGGCCAGTGTGGCATTTAACATACAAATAAACAACTTTGCTAATGCCGACTGTAGGCAAAGAACACTGAACGTTCTCAGAGTTGTTATGTACACCGTGAGGCGCGAAAGGAAACAGAAATCTGTTACATACAGAATGGTAGGGAAACTTCTTTATGCGTAACTTGTAACACGCTGGTGAACAATCCACGAAACAACAAATGACTAAAGTTATACGCTTAATAATAAGAAATGCTAACGAGGAGTCGAGAACTACATCTGAAATACAGTCAAATCTCTCTAAGAAAGACACCGCTGGGACTGGGACTAAGTGTTTTTAGTAAAATCCAACTAGTGGTCTATGATCAATGCTGCGTTGTGATTGGTTGAGCTACTACTAGGCTATATGTTATAGCCCACTAGTAGCGAAAAGCGAGGACTTTTGGCGGCAAAAAAGGATTTAAGTCTAGCTTTAACTAGCTAAATTTTTTTATTCTCAAAATTTTTGACCAACTAGTTGGATTTTACTAAAACAATTATTCCTCTCGTCCTCATGGCCTCTGAGTCAATAGAGGCCTCATGGGCTGGCTATTGACTCAGAGCCCAAATAGAAAGTAAAAAACAATGAGGTTGCGCGGGAGACCGGGCTGAGATGGTTGCCAAAGAGCATTGTGGGACTGTTGTGGGAAACGAATTTGCCTCCATGTTAAAAATTCGTTCCCCATAACAGTTCCACAGTGCCTTTTGAAACCATCTCGACCAGGTCTCCCGCGCAACCTCAAAGAGGCTAATTGGCCAATTTTTTCCCTGTCCCCAGTAACAGTCCCAGAAGTCTTTGGGAAAGCTAATTCGGCCCAGTTTCCCTATCGCTTTTTTTTTTTAAGTAGCCAATGACCAAAGAACAGTAGTACAACTGCAGGCGTCCGTCTTATAGAGACTTTCAGTGAGCTTGTTCACCCACATTTCAAAATTAAAAGGAAAAGGACCTTTCACAGGATCACCACTACTACGGCGTATAAGAGAATCCAAGCTTCTAAAGTTCTTTCCTGTACATGTCAGTTGTTCGGTGTGGAGATACGAACTTGCTTGATCCCAATAATTCCTTTACCCCTCTCCTCCAGAGAGACCTCTCTTTTGCCACGCCGTGCCGGGCTGGTTAGGGACAGGAGGGAGAGAACGATGGAAAAAGAATGATGTCCGCCCGAGCTATCTTTTGGCGAGTGTTCTTGATTACCAGTGGGAGACTCTGCGAAGGACTGAGGCTCCTACTTTACTAAAGAACATCTTGCGTCTCAAATGGAAGTCTACTTGGTGGGTGCAGGGCTTGCTTCTCCACTGTCTAGTGTCCTCAGCAGTCGAAACAAGCCAGCCGCTTCTCTTATGCGGCTGAACTCGATACAGAAAGCTTGAACTTCAATGAAAAGATCCTGTAAAATGAAAAGAACAGACAATGAATGCAACCATCACGTGAGAACAAGCTAACTCACCTTTACATTTCTTCTAGTCACTCTTCCCAGAACTCACCGGACGGAATTTCAATTCTTTGTAGTAAATGTTATTTGCTTTGATGTTTTGTTGCTTCTTTGCAGATTAATCGAAAGCGGTCATTTTTAAGCCCCTTATTTCCAGCCAAACGATCTGCATTAAGGAACTGGCATATTAATAAATGGAGCGAAGAAGCTACATTCATGCCATGGTTAGCACATAAAAAGGATAAAAATCTGGATTTTACGATACGAAAGTTACCGTAAGGCAGTGACCCGGCAAATACCTCTTTTTCACAAATTTTGTAAATACAACAACTTAATACGGACTTAAACTTTTTAGTACGAATTATTGTCTTTATGGTGTTTTGTTGAACACGAATGTTATCAACTATAAAAATGGTTCTAATATTGAAATGTTGAGGGAATGTATCTCCAACTTCAGTTGCAACAAAATGCTTAAGGAGTATTATCCCTTACATCTTCATCAAATTCGTTAACCAAAATCTAGTGAAAAGTATGGCACTGTTTGGTTGGCTTATTGTCTATGAGAGTATCCATCAAACCCCCGAGTGATGCCCATGACACACTGGGGACTAGCCTGAATAGCTGGTAGTTTTGTTTAGCGAGCGCTGTTTTTGCCCCATTCTCCTCGTGGCTTCACTGCTCGCTGTTGCCTCTGTTACAGTGATATGGGCATCCCCTTCTCATATTACCTTAGCGATTTGGGTTAGGGTTAGGGTTACAGGCGATGCCCATATCACTAGGGTTTTGGGAATGGGGATGCCCATATCACTGTTACACCCCTCCCTAACAAAACCGCCGGATACGCAGGCTAACAGGGGATATGATATTTAGTATAATTCATTATATTTTCACAGTACCGATAAAGCACCTTCTTTACCCTTACAAATTTTGCATAAGCATTGTCTTCAATTTTCCTTGGGACGACTGTAATACCCCGGAGGAATTGGAACAATGGCTATGCAAAATTTTGGAGGATAAACAAGGTGTATTATGGGCAAAGTGAAAGTGGCGAATGGTTATTCGTTAGGGTCTCTCATTCAGTACAGAGGGAAAAAAATACCCTTGTTCTGAGGCGTGAAAACTTACCTTGACATCAATAATCTTGTTACGAATAAGAGACTGAAGGAAAACGCAGACCTGAAATAAACGAATACAAATAATATAGACTGAGGAACAGAATCTTTGGCAGTTTGTTTAACTGTATAACCTGAAGTGTCAGACACTTCCATAGAACGCTGTTTTTCTACTTCTGGCCCGTCTCCTCCCAATGTTGTTTATCGCAGTTACCTCACCAAATCTGTCAGACCAACATTGGGAGAGTAAGAAGAAGGTAAAGTGTCCCAACAATTTTGACTGAGACTGTAGGTAACTGTGGCTCAATAAAACTATACCCAGCGGCTAGAACAACATAAATCACGATATTAAGCCTTGCGTGCGACTATTACGCTTCCTTACAGCCTGTGAGCAAGCTCCCGGCCATTCATGGCGAGCGGCGAGTGTCGCAAGAGAACGCGCTACCGAGCGGCGAAGCCGCGAGGGGTGGAGGAAAAGGAGAGGGACTCCCTCCCTTTGCCCCGTTCCTCGCACCCGTGTCTCCTTTCGCGCACGCGCTGCTCTCGTGTGACTTCTCTTCCTAAATGGAGAGTTTTCTCGCAGGCTAGCTTCCGTAGCGCTTAGCAGCCTCTTTTGTCAATCAGTTTTCAAGGGTATGAGTTCGAAGCGACAGTTTAGTAGTTCCTTGTTTGTTTGCTTTAGACTGCTTTTGTTTTGAATAGAATAATTTTGGGTAAAATCATTACTTTCGCTCATTAGAACTTCATCAGGGAAGGAGGGAGGGGTGGGACTCTTGCTGCCCAAAAACAAACATCATAACAAGGACGACAATCAAGGATTTCAAGGAGAACATTAACACCTTCGCTCTATATATGAACTAGGAAATCATCATGACTCCCCAGTCTCCCAAACATTGTGAGGGCCAAGACAGGCGAAGACTGGTATAAACAAGTAAAAAGTCTTCAAACGCAAGGTTCTCCCAACGTCGTTGCCAACACCTCAATGCATAGAACAGACTAATGTCGCATGCAGATACTGCAGACATGTTGACTTACCAGTCGGACAAGCCTGTTCTGCATGTATTTATCTTTTATATTTTCACAAGTCGAGATACAGTTTGAAATGTACAGATGAACAAACTCTTGGGGAAGATCTACAGCCTGAAAGAGACAAACAGTGGTTTTATTCTGCTGTATGGATTAGAAACAGTATGTGGAGGCTGCGTGGCCGAGCGTTTAGAGCGCTGGACCTTTAATTGGGGGGCCCCCCTAGTTCAAATCTGGCCCCAGCCGCCAGCAACTGCGAGCTGGATTTGTTCTTGGCAGTCCCTAGTTCAAATCCTCGGCCATGCTTGTAAAATAGCCAACTGGTTCGCCTCCTACTAGCTGGGGTTTATCTTTGTTGTGTTCTATTTTCATTGTTCTTTTTATTGTCCCTAAAGAGCCCCATAGGGGAAAAGGATAATTGTATTATATTTTAATTATTTTTTAAATTATTCCTACCCGCGTGCAACAAAGGAACAAAGAGAAGTCTGCACGCAGGGTTTTTTAGCAAATACAGAATTACAATGCGACTACTCGAACCGGGGCACTTGGATGAAGATTATACAATCACAACGATTTTTGGAAACAAAAGATACTCAAGGTGTTTTTGCAAACGGACCAATAACATTCATGAATTTGAGGGTTGTTTCCAGACAGGTCAGGTTAGTTCAAACGGTTTCAAAGTTTTCAACGGTTGCATTCTTGAACCTTGAATTTTATTGGTTCACTTGCAAAAAAACTTGAGAATCTTTTGTTTTCAAAACACATTGTTATTGGATACTTTTCTTCCAAGTGCCCAGGTTCGAATAGACGCACTGTAAATAAACATCTCTCTACAGTAATACAAGTATATTGTCTCTAGAAGGTACGAAATGCTCTGTCAACAATTATGCAAAGAACAAATAACAAAACGACTTTAACTTACTGTAGTTAGTCGATTAACTACTTCCATAGAATGCAGCGACATTTCCATGTTTACTAAGACTGAAAAATATCTAAAAACAAAAAGGCACAATGCCGAGAAGACGCATCAGGAGAGTTGCTTTTTTTTCTGGAATTTTGAACACCTTGAGGTAAAACGTAGTTTGGGGTAAAAGAAATACTCTTCGCTTCAGAGTAAGTAACATTTTAGTCTCTTCACACTGACCTAAGCATAAGTAGAGCATAGGTTTAAGTAGCTTACAATGTCATATGAGACCTTTCTTTCTAAGAGCTCAAGAGACAGAATCAATGTAGTGCTGCTGGTTCTGCCTCGCACCCAGACGTCTCCCTCTCACTGAAAATTTGCGCGCAAAGGAAGGCGGCATGGAAAAAACGGGCGAGACGTCTTCACCTCTCATTTTTCTCATTCCCATAGTCCCTTACGTTTCATCAACAGTCACTCGCGTGTCTCTCGCGTTTCGCACTCGTCTCTGTGCAAAAAACGACTAAAACGCCTGAGGAAGGGCAGCTTCTTGTTCGTAACGAATGGACGTTTGTGCATTAAAGCCTTCATTTCAACCTCGTGACTTGTCGTGTGTCTTGGAGACATATCGGTCATTCTCTCAATACCCAAATAACAAAGAGGAGAAAATTAACGAGGCGGTTCGATATTCCACAGAAACAACCTACAGTATACAATAAAGACCTACCACTAGTGTGACTTTCGTTTGGTTCTTTTATTGACACGCGTAAAAAATTACGTGACAGCGGAATCCACCTTTAGCGGCAGAGCCGCCACGCGAAGCGGGGGGAGTTTTGCGAGCCGCCCAAACTACAAACTACAGCTCTCGCGCGTTATTTCCGCCAGCTGCACAGGCTAAGAACTGTACAGTGAAGGAATTGCAAAAAAATAACACTCACTCTGTAATTTGATTCGACTGCATTAACTTCAACAAGACTTCAATGGCAATCAGTGGATTATTCTCCACAAGATCAGGGAGCTATTGAGAGAATAATGGTAATAAGAGATAGAGGGTTACTAAAAAATACAAAGTTCACATGGAGAAAAAAATCAATCAAATACGTATATGCGGCACAAATTATTAATAAGACAAAAATTTCCGTGCAGAAAGGAGCATTCTTAATTATTGCAAGAACAAATTATCGCTAAGGAAGAATTAAAAAACCTTAAATAAGTGCGAGAAAAGTCATCTGTATCATTGTTTTGTTCGTTTGTTTGTTTGTTTTCTGCTGTTTTTATGCCGTGGAGTTCATGTACCTTGCTAGGAGTAAGTCCTACGTGATACACCAGTTTAGGATCTTTTTCAAGTTCACTTAAAACTTGCTGCAAACACAAATAACAAGATTAGTAAGCGAACACACATTACAGCAAAGGGTACTAAAATGTACCCTTCCATGCACAGGTTAATAGTTGCAGGACGTCTTATGCTCTTGGGAATGCAAATAGTAATAACACAAGTATAGGTTCGGTGAACGTAAACTTTGGCATTTGAGAGATTTTAAAACGCTGGCAGAAACGTTTCACAACCACTGGTCATTATTTTGAAATATAAAAATATAGTAACGGTTAAGAAATTTCCGTTCATGTATCAAAGTTCAAAACAATCGTTGATGGTGAGGTGACCAGATACCAAGGCTAAAGGTCAAGCGTGGCATGCTCTTTAAAAAACAAACAAAAAAAACCACAAGAATTCTTATCACCTGCTGTTGTTGTAAGACCAAGGGAGCCTTAAAAGCTTTGTTCATTAACCTACGAACTTCTGCACCTATAAATACAATGAGAATAAAACATTAACTGCTTGAAAAAAGCTTCCTGAAAAAGCTATAATGCATTATTTACATGTGAACTGTACTCAGGTTTGCACCACAAAAAACAAAGGGGAGATCTCCTTAGAAAAGCTGTAACAAGCTTGCAGATATTTTCTTGCTTCTAGACATGTTTTGCAGTCTTAAACTACTGTAAGAAAGATATGAGTGGCGAAATAAATAAATAAATAACAACACTAAAATGGAGTCACAATGTAAAGCAAGTTACAAGAAATGCAATTAATAGATTTTAATAAATTATGCAAAATTTTGGGGCACAAATAAGGTGCATTAATGATTATGGGAGATGTGCAAGTGGCGTATGGGCACTAAGAAATGACTTGGCACAGAATTGACCCAAAACAGCAATAGCCATGTGACACTACCCCTTTAACAGCCAGGGCCCAGTTGTTCGAAGGCCGATTAGCGCTTAACCCGGGGTTAAATGTAACCCTGGTTTCTTTTTCTTGTGTTCAAAAGCATTTTCTCGGAAAATTTTCTCTGTTATTTTCAGAGCTTCCAATCATCATCTTGTAGACAAAAAGAATGAAAACTGAAATGCTTTTTAAGCATCCAAATCTGAATTCAAATCTTGCACTAACCTTGGGTTATCTTAACCCAGCTTCGAACAACCTGGCCCAGCCTTATAGCATCAAGTCTACTTACCAGCACTGTTTGTAACACACATTGTACTGTCCCACTCAACTGTGTGCACTTCACTGGTTGGATTCATCCACACGAGCTACAAACAAAACAAACAGAACAGGATTGAAAAAAAAAAACACATTTGGAACACTCTCATTAACCACCGCTGTCAGTACATTGTCTTAATATTTTGACTATTGCCCTTGATGATGTATCATGTGGTAATTGTAGGTATTGTACCCTGTTCAAATAATGACAGACTTCGGTGGGTTAACACAGTACCAATAATGGCCTAATGCCGTAAAATTCTGAAAATAAGCTTCTGCATGTATAAGCCCCTCCAAATATACGCCCCCCAAACTTGTAATGCCAAAAACCGTCTGTTAAATCACCCCCACAAAATATATACCCCCCAGGGGGCTTGTACTTGGAAACTGCCCTCAAATATGAAGTAAAACAAAGTAAAACCGGTAAATTTCCTTCCAATTGTAAGGCTAGCCCAATCAATTTAGAAACGCAAATTTCCCTGGTCCATATATAAGCTCCTCCAAATATAAGCCCCTCAAAAAGGGCCTTTGAAAAATATAAGCCCCGGGGCTTATATTTTACGGTATGTTTGATTTTGGTTAGCCATTCAATAAAGTTTTCTGCCTTCTACTAAACAAATATCACTTTCTTGACTTTTTGCTGCAATCATGGTAACTACTATTCTTCCCCTTTGTCTGCTCTAGTCTAATATTATACAACATTGTGTCCCTGTTTTTTCTGAGAGACACCCAGATATAACAGACAGCATAGCATGTGCCCCTGGTGTTGGTATTTACTGGGTTCCACTGTATCTAACAGCACTCTTTGCAACATATTTCACACCCAGTGATTTTGTTACAAAATGTTATGGTGAGTCCTGGGACTCATCTTGTGAAAAATCATGAGTCCCAGTTGAAAAAGCGAGTCCAAAATTGAAAATGATGGGGACGTTATGTGACCAGACAGTTAATCTGAAGACAGACTCCAAAACTCTATATTACAGTATACTAAAATTAAATTATAGTCCTTCTTTTTTCAAGCACAACAAAGGCTAAAAGAAATATGCATCGTTAAACAACAGCCATAATAACAGCAACAGAAATTACAGGAACAGGATACTTCTACAAATACACGTATTCAGATCGATCGATCTTTGCATCCTATGGGATGCATGCCATGAATTATTTTGCATCTTTGAGGATTTTTATGCATCAGGGATGCACAACGCAGAGGTGACAAAATGACTGCACACCATGTAACTCAGTCTGTTAGTAGAGTATTAAACTGTGTAAAACAGGGGGTTAAGGGTTGAGATCCCAGCTGAACCAATACTCGAGGTATTAAACGAGTTACGCCATGTAATTTAGCCAAACTGAGCCATGAAGGACAGGCCACCAAATTGACAGAGATATGCAACTGTGATGGAACACTTAAATTCTAGAGACCCCGACATGATTTGAAGTCATGACCTCTACGACACCAAATGGCAATCTATCCAACTGAGCTATGGACAGACTCATGAAAAGCAAGGCCATATACTGTAAGTGCACGTAGGTTCATACACGGCAGGCAACAAAATCAATAGTGCCTTTTCACTTAGATGGATGGCATCTATGCAAATTAATTTAGTGAAACAAAAGAAAGTGTTTATGTAAGAAAAGAGTTTAACTCCCACAGGATTTGTTTGAAACACCAACATGGCTGCAGTAACGTCATGTGAAAATGCTCTGCATTCTGTGAGAAAAATGAAGCAATGACAAGAGTGCACTGTATGGTGATAAATAAACAAGGATGGAATACTGTTGAGGAATCAATACCTTTTTTTTGTCCCATAATCTTATTATAATCTTTATTACATCATTCTCATTCACTACTGAGCTAAATATTTACCATCTTTCTTGATTTATCAATGTGGAACCACTAAGGAGATAAGCTGCATCATGCTTAATCTATCTCAGTTTAGATTCACTAGATGCATTAATCTTACAATCATGGATTTATCCAAAGAATTTTTACCTCGTCATCACAGGAGTAGAGCGGTGGCGGGACCCTGACAAACACTGGCCTTAGGTTTAACTCAGAAGGGGGATTACGCCCTAAAATAAAAAGAACAAACACAATCAATATTTGAATTTCTAAAAATTATTATATTGATTAAAAAGAATTTTCTGTTTTGGTCGTGACAATAATTCTTGGAAAGGAAAATCTTTTACTTATCACCCAACCAAAGAATCAGAACAAAAACGCACCTTGCGCAGGACTGAAGTTCAAAATGAACTGACAGGTGGGAAGGGGGGAGATTAGGGGGGATCATTACATTGTATAATTTTTTTTGAAGGATACCTGTAAAGTTTTCTTGTGTTCTCTGCAAGCATTACTATTACAGCTGTAATGTACATGCATAATTCTGTATTTGTTGAATAAACATGAAACAGCAGCAAAAGACTGCTACAGAGAAAATAATTAACATTTAATGGGTATTTTTGTCTTGCTGACAAGGACAAGGAAAAATAACTTTGCAATGATGTTCTTGTGAATGTTGAATAACACTTACGGAGGCAATGAAAAATTGGTGAAAGCTCTTGCCTTCCCCCAATTGGCCCGGGGTCTGATTCACTTTAATTAGTTAGAGAAATTTTTGTATGACCTTGAAATGAAAATGGCCGAACAAAACAGAAACAACAAATGAACGGAAATAGAGCTATTTATTGGTTTATCGAACAGATACAAACGTCTGTGGCTTTTGGTTGGTTAAGTGAATGCTCAGGTGAGAAAAACTACATGCTCGAGAACTTTCTAGGATTCAACCAATACTCCGCTTTGACATCATACTGCAACACGATTGGCCAATCAAACAATTCCTTCTCCATATTAGGGTTTTCTTTGGCGGGAAAACGAGGAGTCCATGTTTTGATCTTTTCATCCATTGGCTAATAACTTACATGTAAATAATGAACACTTTTGAAACCATTTTTCAAGGTTATACAAAAATCGTTCTAATAATGCATGTATTTAGGTTTGTTGTTGGTTTATTTCCCCTACTACTGGTCATAGGTGCTTCTTTACTCTCCACTGGTCTCTACTGTCTTTCTGTCAGAAAACCATCAATGATGCTGTGCTCTAGTTGTGCCCAGTTGCTAATTAAATGATGATTTATTTTGGTTCTTGAGCAACAAGGAAGTCTTAGAGCTCTTTTTTTTATTTCATGGGTCTTACTGCACAGCCCTGATAAATCCAAAAATTCTTATTTCATATTGAACCAAAAGTGATTAAAAATTAGAGCTTTCACAGTGATACAAAGTCCATAGTACAAGTTAAAAAAAGAAAACAATGGTTCCAACTACAGCATCTGCCAAGACAAACACTTGTGAGTACAGGAAAAGATGATTGACTTAAACAGAATCAACATTAAGGCAATGTTTAGTCTACATGATAGGAAGTTATTATTTTGGTTACGTGAGAGTTTTTCAAAGCACTGATCAAAGCAGCTGTCAGTCATATTTTAGGAAGTATATGTATCAAATTTACCTGTTACAAGAGTCTCTGTTATCTGTGATGCAGCAGTTGAATCAAATCCTGAGCTGTGAAGTAGAACATTGTGTTAATGATTTTCCCTTCAGTCATGCATTTGAAAAGAAAAGCAATCTAAAGAAAACACTATAGGCACACTATTCTAGTTTCTTGTACTGTTCACATGCCTTCCGCTCTTTTTCAAGTCAATTAACAACTTTTCAACACATATTTTAGTTATATGTCCTAAATAATCGTTGCAAGGAGAGTCTCACTTTAGAAAAACTCAGAAACTCATATTAAGCCACTTTGCAAGTGCTGCAATTTTTATCTCCAATCATCTTCAAAACTAGCCTGCATTTGAGCCATCTGTTTAAGTCAAAAATCCCAACAGCTACAGTCAAAGAATGTATTATACATGAATAGTGCATGACATAAGAGAATTTAAATGTAACCTACAAAATAATATAATTTATATACATGTACAGTTAAAATGTTGCAACATCCAAGATACAATAAAAAATATCTACATGTAGCCCAGTGCCCTTCACATGTACATTATTGATAAAAGTTACCTCAGGAAATCTATGGTAAGAATTATTGTACACTATTGTGTACCTTACATCCGGATCAGGATCACCCAATACAGCAGGTAGTCCACAGCAACTCAAGTCTGGCAGCTGTGAGTTCTTCTCAGTCAGAGCCAACTGCAAAGAACTTAGGTCTATATTCTGACAAAAAGAGTAGAATGATTGAACACAACAGTAAAGCTGTAGTTTGACAGACAATAACCACTTCATTTGTGTTGGTTATTGAGGACAAAAAGTGACTCCAAAGATGAGGAAGAACACCAGTATGTATCAGACCCAAGTTCCACACAAAAAGCAAAATCTAACTGGAATAGAATGTCCCAATTAATGTAATTACCGGTACTAAAAATGACAACAGTGTTTTATTTTTGTATATATGGCAAATAAAGAATGAATGAATGAATGATGTCATTCCACCTGTGTTCAAATTCATACAAGAATTTTGAATACCACAAGAAAAGACCAAGCATGAAAACTTGTTCCTACAAAATTACATATCTTTTGTTTATGTTATGGAGGGACACAAGGTCATCAGTTTTACCATTGTCAAGTGCTGCTATCAGGGTAGCTCTATTGAGCTAATATTTTTGCAATTGTTATAAAATACATGCATATTGCTCATCTGTAAAAATTCAAGCCCGAAATTGTAATACAGTAAGTTGTCAGGCACCTGACAGCCATCCAAGCCAAAATACACACTCTGTTATTATAGGTCAAAATTAAATTCAGGTTAAACTTTTTTTACCTAGGCTGATTCTCAATTGGTTTTGTCTCCTAGCCCTAATATTATTCATGAGTTATGGCTAGGAGACAAAGGAAATTGAGAATTAACCTACTATAGGTTAAAAAATTTTAACCTGAATTTAATTTTGACCTGTAAAAAATACAGCTCAGAATATCACATATTATAACAATACTTGCCGTAGTTGAGAGATTTTTCTAAAAAATAATGACAAGTTGACTAATAGCTTATGGACAAAGCTCTTTTGTACTGTAACTTTACAATGACTGTTAGGTTTCTAATAGAATATGTGTATTTTGAGTTTACTGTCTTGAGGAGGTCTAAGGGTTTGCAGTGGTTTGTTTCATTCTTGGTGCATCTTGTAGAATTTCCTATTACTAGCAGGACATTTGAAACCGTATACCAATTATCATTGAAACGTTTAACATTTTGAGCTCTCCTTTTATAATCGTTTAATGATCTTATTCAAAGAGTGTTTAATGTTCTTAGCTTTCCATTTAAAAATTTGTGCAACCTTTTTAATGTTTTGGTCAATTCGTTCAATGCCCTAGCCCAATCATTTAATGCTTTTAGTTATCCATATAAACGGAATGGGGTTATATGTTTAAATGCTTTTGGTAACCCTTTATACCTGTTTAAGATCTGTTTTTTCTGCCTGTTAAACAGAAAACCGTTAGTGTCCATTTTCGCTTTCCACATCAAATTTTAATACTTTTTCCTGCTTACCTGTCCTCCACCAGGGAAGTCCATCACCAACACTTGTCGAGGTGTTTTCTTTAAAAGCTAAACAAAAACCAACAAAATAATCAACCATGAAAAATGGGTTAAAAAAAATCAGTGTTACAAAGCTGTACACTTATTTGCTGCTTTTGAACACCGATGTAACACTTACATCTCTTGATGGTGTTGTGATCAGTAGATACAGAAAAGACTTCTCAGCTTGGCTTAGTGCAGGAAGAGACTCAAGCCCACACACTCTGCTTTCCTCATTGTTTGAACTCTACATCAAAAAATGGCATTGAAGGTTAAAAATGGACACAGATGATCTTAGTTTTAAAATGATGGTAAATGTTATCTTACAGTACTGTGTTTTCAATTCAACTTTCCCTCAGCTCATTCATTTATTCTATTAAACACATGTACTTTCATATCAATTGATATAGTCTCCAAGAGAAAAGAGGAGATAAGAGAGCATCTTAACATTGTAGTGTTTATAACATACACATATTCAGTACATGGTAGAAAGCAAAATCATAAAAATAATTATGTACATCTGTTAAGTTTAAATCTTTCAGTTCAGATAGTAACAATTTCAGTAATAACAAATGAAAACAAAAGGCACTCAGGAACAAGTTTTACAAGAATGTACATTTTATTTTAGCCAAGGGAAAACTAATGAAATTAGCAACTATTGTTTGCTGCTTCTGAACACCATGCATTGTTTGTCTGTTCTTGTATTTCTTTTCTTTTTGTAATAATTACATGTATGTGTAATTTTTATCGCACAGTAACAATCCCTTATTTACAATGTGACAGGATGATCAAAGGATTTTTTTGTATTTGAAATTTTCGATTCAGGGATTTTTTGGGGTTGATGTGGCTTGATTTAAGTAGGGATTTTTTGGGAGTATTCAAAACAATCTCAAGATTTGTGGTTACAGTGTAGTGCCTGCGTGTTCTGGCCACATAGTTCTGCGAATAAAGTAAAACCAAACTTGTTTTGTGGCTGTTTTTGTGTCATCACTGTTAATGCTTTCTGGAAATTTTTAAGGCTTGGAAATTTGGCATGGGATTTTTGTAGGTTAATTTTTGGTCCAAGGAATTTTTTGGGTTTTGTTGGAAGCCCAATGGATTTTTGGAGTTTTGATTTTTGCCCCCATTTAATCATCCCTGTCACGTGAAATCAAGAGTACCCCTCCTGGAGCAACATGCAGCAACCAATTAAGAAGGAAGACTCACCAAAACATGTACAAACACTGATGCAAATGGATTGTTAGCAACAGGCTCGGATTTATACATTTCATATAACAAAAACAGAACCACAATTCTCTGGCTGGTTGAAGGTAATAAGTCAGGCTGTTGTAACAGCATTAACTGGAAATAATCACAACAAGATATATTAGGAGCATTGGTACACCAACTACAGTATCAATAGGGTTCAAAGAACATCAGTTTTACAGCTTGCCACTCAGACAAACTGTAGACATGTACTATCCCAGGAGACATTTTATATAGCCCAAAATAAAATCTTGATGAGCAGAATTGATTAAAAATCTGCAGTAATTGGAATTCCCCCAAAAAACTTCACTTGCCTGTCAGAGAGGTTTAAGAAAAGAATTCACTCCTGCCCAATAGCAAATCCACTAAAATGTTTTAACCAGGGTTTGCAAATTTTATTGATGAGTGGAGTCACTGTGACTTCTGCTTCACAAATTTTGGAGTCATTTTGGAATATTTGGAGTCAATTATCACTACGAAAAAAGCCATTTTCAGACTTTCCAGGTGGTCCTGATTCTCACTATTTAGCTTTGCCTCCTCTGACCTGGAAAGCTCAAATCCATGATGGTGGTCCCTTTGATCTTTTACCTGTTTTGTCATGCAATAATATATAAATGATGATTTAATTAAGAAACAAAATTAACGGAAATTGATTTGTTACGAAAAAGGAAAGGACAAAACTGTGTTTGTTACCGAAAATTTCTGGAGTCGAAGTGGCTCCCTGTTTGTTACTGGAAATTTCTGGAGTCGAAGTGACTCCCTCTGTAACCTCTGTGGAGTCATCTGAACAATTTTGGCGTAAAATACGCCAAATTTGGCGTATTTGCGAACCCTGGTTTTAACCTTGGTTGATTCTCAATTTCCTTTGTCTCCTACACATAGCCCTGCTTCATGAATAATTAGGGCTATGATACAAAGGAAAGTGAGAACCAACCTACACTTAGGTTAAAAAATTTTAACCTGAGTTTAACTTTGACCTGTAACATGTAATCATGTACGTACGTCATTGTTTTAAGCCACTAGCAGTGACAAGACAAGTGTTTTACTTATGTGTATAATTCACTCTTCAAGCGAAAAAGTCAAACGAGTGTCCCTCATATCAAGTTTTATATCAAAAATGCTCTTTACACATTAACATTATTACATGTATTTTTATGACGTGGAACAGTCTGACCACATGAATAATCTGAAGTTGTGATGGAACGATCTGATTTACAGTCACTCATTCTGATACAAAGTCCTTTCAATACAAGTCGTTTTGATACATATTTATTTGCTTGAATGGTAAATAGTTTCACACATTTGGCTTAAAGAACAGAGAATATTCACCCTTGAAAATGTTTTTCTTGTTCACACACAAACTACACAAATTATTATTGTACTAGTCAAAAATTTTTGTGCAATTTAACCACTTGACTTTGAATTGAAATGACTTGTATCAAAACAACTTTGTATCGAAATGACTGGCTTCAACCAAACTGATCATGGAACAAAGTGTCTGTAAACGAGTCCTGTTACTTGGACCCTAGCCCTGATACTAAGGCCATCCCCCGTTTTTTTCGTTTAGCGTTGAATGCGTTTCCTGATGTTGGGTAGGTCGGTCGGTTGGATTGAAAAAAAAAAACCTAAATAAAAAAAAAAAATTGACAAGAAGTCTCAGAATAGGAGGCCCTGGTATCCCAGGATGACATTAAAAGTTAACATTCACATATTTGGATTAACAAAATGCCCAATATACTGTAAAAAATGTTGCTGTTTTTGATCCTATTTTTCTCTATGCTGTTACTATGCTCTTTTTTCAGATTAAAAGAATTTTTTCAAGTGAAAAATGGTTTAACTACGTCGTTACATTTTTATGTTTTTGTCTTTTAAAAATACCAAAAATCTGAGTCGGTTGGACGACGCTAAACGGAGAAAAAAAGGGGATGCCCTCACTTGTATATAACATACTTAGTATCATACCATTGCACAGCCAATTTGAAAATGTTCATTTTTGTTAAAACGCTGGTGTAAAGAATTAGCAATAGCTTCGAAAGATGAAACAGCCAGAGAATCTTCTGCAAGGATGCTAAAAGAAAAGAGACACAACGCAATTATCTCAGACGTAAACTGGAACGAACAATTTTATATTAGGATACACCAGTAAAAGTTTAATAAACAATGGCAGCAATGCAAATGCTCGTTAGCGCTTTTAACAGTGCTAATACCAGTAGTCTGTAACACATGTCTCACATATGAACCAATTTACAGACATTTTACCAACAGCTGTTTGGGTGTTACATTTACTATCCTTTCGATTACCTTCTTACAGCTCCTACTTGTTACTATATAATTTAAAGATCGAGTCGAAAAAGTTCGATTTTCCAGCGTCGAGTATTCACGAGGAAAGCAATAAATGACAAAAGACTTACCTTAATAAGGAAGAAAGTTCTTTTGGAGAGAGATTCATAGTGTAATACGTATAGTTAGGTAGAGATGCTCCTGCAAATTACGAGCAATCAATCGGCCATCTTGGTCCCAATTATGGAGCATGCGCTACAATGTGTTGCTGACCAACAGAATCGCGGATTTTCGCCCCAATTTTGCAATTTGCTTGAAGACGGCTAGAAATTTATGGGTGACCGTTCCGTTCAGGTACAATTTTCGAATCTTACTGATCTAATAAATTCCCTATCATTCTCCATGTTTGTCTAATTTTCGTAGAAAAAGGAAACCTAAAATTTTCGGATTCATGCGGTCAGTGTAAGGGGAAGACTGCGGACTGCGGACTGCGGACTGCGGACTGCAGACTGCGGACCAGGGGTAAAATGCAGACTGTGTGTGAAATGCAGACTGCAGACTAAGAGTAAAACGCAGACCGGGGTAAAATGCAGACCGAGCATAAACTGTAGTCATGGAAGGGTTTAAGGGCAAAAAAATCCCGCAAGTACATGTAAACGAACACTTACTTGACGACATCTGCTTTCACTAATCCATTCCTTTATTCTCTGGAACGTCGTCGACGACCCGAAAACATAATCGCAATCTTGAACCTTTTTTTCCGTCCGAGAGACCTCACGCTTCAACTTTGGATACGAAGTTTTCGATATACGTGACCAGGGACCGTGAACTGGTACAACACCACGATGTTTACGCTTAAATGAAAGCTGCTGACCCAAAATACTGTACAGGAAGAATTATGGCGATAAAAAAACTGAAAAAAGGGAGTAAATCATTCCAACGACAAAGAAAGATGTTCTGCAGGAAATTTGGATGACCTTCTATGAAAGTATTGCAAATCAAGGTACGCAGACTTAAGCTGTTCGGATGTTCGTTGAAACTTCTGGCGAATGGGCAATGCACCTCGACTAGGAAGCGAAGTGTGTAACTGATACCGGCTAGCTATTTCACCGATTTGGAGAAGAAGGAGTACAAATGTTTAAAAAGGTCTTCAGTCTTTATTCTGCATTTTGCACCCAGCCCGCGTTTTATACTCTCAGTCTGCAGTCTGCATTTTACACTCAGTCTGCATTTTACCCCTGGTCCGCAGTCTGCAGTCTGCAGTCCGCAGTCTGCGTTTTACATTGACCGGGATTAATGTGACGGAAAGAGGAATAGACCTTGTCACGGTTTTGGACGCCATCTTGACGAATAGGCAAACGTGTGAGAAATTACAGTGTTTGTATGAGAATCTAATGTCGAATAATTTACGTAAAACGGCTGTTCTGAAAAAAATATGAATTGTAAACTAAAGCTACAAAGCAAAGGATTGTACTGAAAAATTTGGGGGGCGTACCTGTGCTTAAGTTTCTTCAGACGCTTGCTTATATTTTCCATATATTTGTCTGTGATATTTCCCGGGACTTTCTCTGACAGACAAATGTATAGAAAATTTAAAAACGTTGTTTTAGGTCTTCTAGCTCATGGAACGCCCTCAATTTTTTCAGTAGAATCCTTAGAAGTGAAGCTTTAGTTTACAATTCATATTTTTTTCAGAACAGCCGTTTTACGGCAATTATTCGATATTAGATTCTCATACAAACACTGCAATTTCTCACGCATTTGCCTACTCGTCAAGATGGCGTCGAAAACCGTGACAAGGTCTATATAAGAAATATTCTCACTGAGCATCTAAAATTTTCAGAAAAATAATACTGAAGCCCTTGTAATTTCAAGAAGACTCGTGTTCCCCTAGAATGACCAAACAGACACTACAAATTTAAAGCGCAGCTTAGAATGCATGTCTAGAGAGTCTAAAAGTAGCCAGCGAGTAAAATACGAACATTAAGTTTTATTAACTAAGTTAATAAAGTTAAAGCGATCGATCCTACGAGAAAAATTCAAAAAGTGCCCCGACAAAAAAGCAGCCGCGAACGATGAGAGACCTTGTCAACGAGTGCACAAATTATCTGCAGCAAGGGCAACACCCCATACATTTACGCACGTCCTCGCTTGTTAGTTTGTAATGTTTTTCATTTTTCCCGCTTAAAATATCTTTGAACATCCAGATACGGACCCGCTAACTGGAGCGCCGAATTAAATAAATTGCTAACAAAGCGATAAGTCAGAAACCTTTGTGTTCATTTACGACTCAGTTTGTTGCTTGATAGAGTTTTAGGAATAAGTAATTGTGTACTGAGTCACTATGACAGGGAAAAGAATCGAAGGAGAAGAATTCAGGCGAGGTAACCAGATTAAATTTCGGATGGTATTTGACAAAGGTGACTAACGTGGGAAAAAGCAGCTTTTGTGAAATTTTCGGCTACTCTGACATGCTCTAGCGAAATGGAAACCCGAGATAACATATACATTCATGAAGACTGAAATCAGGACACATTTTTCATATAAAAGTGCTTTCATTAAATTCTATACATTTACACCTAGCTTATACAAGTACGAAACAAAACAGCCAAGTTTAACGTCTCTACGTGCAATACATATGCATTGTTTTCTCTCTGGCTGTACAATATTTCAAACTATCAAACGTTTTACAGCTCCTTTTCAAAGAGCACTGGAACTCGTCATGATAATTTTCTCTTTTCTTCGCTTTATATTTAATTCAGTTTACAGAAAGAAAAAAAGGTTTAACTTTTGATCACTTTGATAGACAAGTTTTATACCTTAACCGTTTTGTTTTCGGTCCTCCCCCCCCCCCAAAAAAAAAACCCCACAAAATTAATTAAAATATTGGAATCAATAGCTATATACGAGGATTTCATCTAAAACCTAACTATCTTGGATACTAAAAATAATAGCAATTCCAAGATTTGAATCGATAAAATTGTGAGATGTTACAAAACTCAAATTTATAACTAACTGCTTAAACTGTCAAAGGTGAACAGTCCAAAATGTAACCTCAAAAAACAAAAGGCCAACGGACTGGCAAAATAAAAATTTTGTTCTCTATGACTGATGAAGTCCAGTTATATCGACTTTCTTTTCCATATGAAATACTATCGTTGAGGCCAGTCGTTATATAATGGTTCAGTTGAAAGTTGATTAATTAACAAGACGAGGTGCTAACGATTCCTAGAATTTTCTACATTATAAGCTGGCTCCTGAATACATAACAGATATAATCCACAAACACATGATAATACAAGCATATGCAATATTGTAGATACACAAAACAATGAGCTCATAACAAGCATTCCAAGATCCCGAACTATTGTACTGTAAGACAAAGTAAGGGACATCAACATTTCATTAGCTGTATTGGACTGTCTGCTACATTCTGGAAGTTCTTTAACGAAAGATACTCATTTTAAATGGAAAGGCTTCTTTAACTTTTGACTGAATGAGTTTTATTTCCTTTATAATAGTACCATTTGTGTCTTGAAGGATGAGTATTCAGTAAATTACGTAATAGTGTGAGTCTATACAAGACGTAATAACCCATTCATCTAATAATCTAATCTTCGCCCATACAAATAATATGAACTTCTCTAAATGATAAAAAAAATGTCCAAGGCCAAACACAAAGTGTAGTTGATAACGGCCGAGATGATTTCATACAAAACTGAAATAAAATTGTATTTTAATCTACGAATGATTAGCTGCTGTCAGTGTCATCTACAAGTTTCCTTGCAGCTGTTTCTGATTCGTTGTATTTTTTCTCTGTAGTGACTCAAAACTCCGGCTTTAATTCGGTTTACAGAGATTTCTCTTCACCAGTCTTTTATGACGCCTGTTCCTAAATGGAAGAATAAGTTTGACGATATACTTGGTCTTCTTTCCTAATCGTTTTTCGAGAAAAATCAGATAACCATTTTTGTTGGCTGTTTTCACTCTGTTTCGCAAATTGGAGCAGAGGTTTTCGTTTATCAGTACCCGATCAGGAAAATCCTTCTCTTTTCTTGATTTCCGTGACGTTCTCTTGTGCCGCTTGAGTTTGAGAACTGTATAAGAGTCTGCGACTTTTGCGTCTTTCCTAGAAGTTACGTCAGCTCTAATAGCTGCAAAATAAAATAAATAACACAATCATTAGATAAACTCGTTTACAAGCTCTAATAAAGTTTTGAAAATTTTAAATCGTTTAAGACAGATTGACAAAGAATAGATTTAAACGACTGAAAATCTTGTTTTACCACCCCGTCCGCCTCCCCAAAGGTGTGAACCAAAATGCAAAATGATAGGATAACATGACGATCAAACAAAAATGAGGTTGCTTTACTAAGCAATATTCGATCACGCCTAGGCTTTTTCACAGTAAAAGAGTTAGTTGGTTAAGAGAAAATACTAATCTTTATTTGTATTTTTGTAACGTGATTCCATTTTTAAATACCTTCATTGATAAATAACATTTTCTTAACGGTTTTCACACCCATACATTAAGAGATCTCATTGGTTTTTTGAAACAGTAATGAAACTCTCTACGGCAAAGAAATCTGTCAACGTTCAGAGCCTTTTTTTTTTTTTGCTTATCAAACTTGTTACTTTTTTATTAACTCGTTTCCTCCGTCGTCGTCGCCGTGGTTACCCGAGTTTGCTAGCAGTCTTTCGACTCAAACTGACAATTCTTAAGATGTGACGATTTCATAGAAAAACCGACGATTTGATAAACGTAGACATACTTTATTCAAAAACAGTTAAAATATCAGTAAAAAACGATAATCAAAAGTTGAAGTACTGGTTTACGTGTTTGCTGTGCGGGTGCCCGTTGATAAATACAAGTCCGCGTTAATTCCCTCTTTAAACGGAAAACGCGCGACGAAAACGACGTCAGTACCGGTACCCATAGAGAGGTTCAGTAATAATGCCACTTCAATTCAATGTAATAAGTCAATAAACTCGATTTCACAATGCAACAAATGAACCTCTGTGGATAGGATGGGTTATCCTTCCTTAAGACTATCTCGCTGGAGAGTGCTAGTTTGAATTGGAAGCCTTAGTCAAGTCATGATGAGAGAGGGTTTATCTTTTCTCAGGGCTCAAGACATGTTTGGTTTCAGTAATGAGGACGGGCAATACCTTGCTAAAAGAGTGCCCGCTTACTGGAAGGCCAGTCGAAAAGAGTGTTCCAATGGATACCTTAGGATATCTAAATACTTACTTAAGCTATTCTCTTAATAAATGTGGTTCTATTTAGCTGAAACTTCGAAATTTAAAGATCTCAAGCACTGATATTACTAACTAAATCAAGGTGGTTTTCTAAACAAAATCCAGCTGTGTGTTCTACTTATAAATGTTTCGCATATAGAAAATAAAACTGAAGGTACCTGAAGTACTATCGTTTTCGCTATTTGTACATTATTGACAGTAAAAACGCCTAAGGCAAGACTCTCCGGTAAACAAAAATCACGGCAAAACATCAGGATCCAGTTGTTCAACGGGTGGACAGTGTTATCTACATAGCCAAATTTCTTTTCCAATGGACAAAGTTCCTTTTTGTAAAACTTATCCACTGGATGTTGATTTATCCGTTAATAGTGCTATGCTTTAAGTGTCTCTCAGCTCTGAATGGATGGACTCTCGCTTGTGCGCACGTGTACGACATCTTCCCCTTCTTGTACTTCACGCTTGAGGCAAAGGAAATAAGAGATGTTGAACACCTCCTACAGCGGGTACACTACGAGTGTCTATTTTTTACCTGACGTTCTAAATTTAATGTCTCTCTCAACAGTAGTTATATCATCTTATATTAATATTAGCTCTGTTCTTCTCGAAGACCGGCCGGGTGAGGGCATTGATTGAGCGTGTATGGAGTGTTTGACAATTTAATACTAACAAAATTCTGACAGCTTGTATTAAATGAGTGTATTACAATAGGTTGGGAGAATCAATACCAAGATATGACTCATTTCTGGAATGCTGAATATTTGTCCCTGAAGCGCACAGTAAAAGACTTCATTTCCTAGGTATTACTTTGGAAACCTGCAGCCCGATTCAAAGAGCGTTCAACTGACAGACGTGTAATGAATATGGTCATTAGTAATAAATGACGTTTACTTAGCTAATAACCAATCTGTCATTGCCCTATGCGGTGCTTATGAAGTGTGTATCCAAACAAGTGAAAACTTTGTGCGAGACACTTTAATTTCACCTTTAGGTTTGTTTTTCCATGTGCTCCTTGTTAACTAGGCATATTTGCCCCACTCTAATTATACACCAACGAATTTAAAAATAGGGATTCTTTTGTCATTGCGTAGCTTGCAAAGAATAACAATTAGGTGATTCAGGCTTTACGTTAGAAAAAAGGCTAATTTCTGGGCCTTAAACATAGTCTGAATTTACAAGGTTGACTATGTAGGACTCAGAAGATACCGAAAGGCAATTTCCACTTTTGGTGGTCTATGAAATCATCCGCGGGTGTCAAAATTGTCCCGTCGTTTCGATGGTCATTGACACCTCTTTTAAGATTAAAGGCGACAAATTTGCCATCCCACGCTCGCGTTCAATTATGTTGATGACTTCAAGCCTAATCACAAAAAGAAAAAAAATGCATCCTTTCTTTCATGGCCCGTTTTGAAGAATCAAGTGTAAACACCATCACAAGAATTTCGTAGACCAGAAATCTGTACTCCTGGTTTCGTGTGTGTCTTTTTTAAGCTAAGTTAGCTTGTCTAGGAGACTAGAAATGACAGTTGTTAACAGGTCTTACCTAAATCACTTGAACAAGCCTTTTCAAGTAGGTCGTCATCAGAATGTAAAGTTGGATCACAAATGTCATTCTTGACTGTAGAAATAACAAATCAAACCAATGTTTCTAGGATTAATTGATATAGAATACAGGCGTAAAGCATTCCAATGGGCACAACCTAAACTCGCGCCCTTTCCGTAGGAAATACCTAATAATGTAATCATAGCAACCGCTGTGTTGTAAGTGTTTGCGGGTAGATAGGAGAAACAAAACATCAAAAGAGATATGATCGTTTCGCTGTAAATAGTTAAAAGAATAAAACAGATCTTCAAAGTAAAACTCTGTTGGTATTTAAATTGCTTTGTACTTAACAGAACCAATTTGCTTCAAGAATTCCTTGGTCGTAATCTTTTGATCATGTTGCTTTGTAATAACTACAAATTAAGCTGCAAACACTAATGCGATGTAATCGTCCATTTAGCGGTACAGACCTGTTCTCGTTGTCGGCGTCTTGGGGGTCGTCGCTGTCGTCGGTGCAGCAATGAAGTCTTCTCGGACACACATTGAGTTATCCACGTAGTGCGAGCAGTTAAAGGCGTCGTGAAGAGGCCAGCTATGATTGTTCTGTTTCATCACCGGCTCACAGCTTCCTTTCACGTTTAAACAAAATGACCTGCACAGTTTGATGGTAACTTCTTTGCCGCTTTCTTTGTCATGAAGACAAATTGGCGCGTAAATCGCACAGAGGAAGAGCTTTAGGCCTGCATGGCATCGGCCAACAAGAGGATTCCAAGCGCTGATTGCTCGCCGTGTTTCATCCACTTGATAATTGTTGAACGCGTTCGGGAGCCGCATTAAAGAGTAGCCTTCGCCATTCGTCAAATTCCTACAAAAATTCGGCACAGGTTGGCAATGTCCCCGTGTTGTATAAGCTTGCGAACTTTGCGAGGCCAGGAGAAGAATTGCACTGAAACTCAGCAAAAGTGACATGATGCTCCACGTAGAAAGTGATCTTTCTGCTTGTGACAAATCCACGATGTTCCAGACAGCGGTGAAGGACCGCGAATTTTAATCAGAGGGCAGTGGGCGGTGCTAGCTGTATATTGATCGAATTTCCAGCCTCTGTAAAGGACAAAAGCCACTGTCAAATGTTTTTAACTGGCAACAAAGGAACGAGAAACATTTACGCGTGTCTTTTTAGAGGTGCTAAAATACGTAATGAGCCTTTGTGTTTTCAAGCAAATATAAAGCGCGTCGACCGAATCGTGGAATAAGAACCTCAATATTGCCCAACTCCGGTGTCTTTCGAGCTCCTCAGATCATGTCAAAGTAAATAAACATATTTCCCTTTGTAAAAAAAGCCTTGGCATATACTTTTTTTTCTTTTTTAGCAAACATCAGTTAGGGGAATACAATTATAACAAATCTTCATTTATGGCTAGAAAAACAAGCCGGAACGTCAGTCACGATGCTGTGTTAATTGATTTCTATCACTTACTTGGTATTTATTTGATCTATTTTAATTCTGGAAATTTCATGCATGCGTTGTTCGAAATTTTGTATTCCCACGAAGATTAAGCGGATTACTTGACAGCCATAACATTTAACGGTGCAGCTGATGTGTTAGACTTTCACACCTTTTAGGCTGACAAAACTTTAATGGCACTCTCACTATTTTTACATCTTTAATCCAACAATTGATTCTCTACAGCAATAAACAATAGCGCTATCCTATTAATGCCTTTAGTCCAGCCTCCTTACTGTAAAACGTTTAGCGTTTGTCTAATTTATTATCTCAGAAAACACGACTGATGAATGTGGCTCCTCGGAGTGTTGAAGTGGTCTGTCTTGACTCTTATCTACTCCAAGGAACCATTAACCATGCAGCACGCGATTCAGTAATCTAAACGACTTTTTGCTTTTTTAATCTCAAACTTGAATGCTAAGCTAGTTCCTTTCTTTTAGCGAGCAGCTGTCTCTGCAAAGATTGTTATATTCTGATCTGCTCGCAGCCCGAATGAGTCGCTTCCTTGTTCACATAAGCTACTTCTTATATACGTCTTCTGTCCTTTTAAATTTTTGAGGGAGGACGAATCTGTTAAAACAATTTAGAGCGATGTTTAGCTAATCAGTAAAAAACCCTTGTTGACCATCTTGTTAGACAGTGTACATCTTGGGAATACTATCTGGCCATTGAATATTGATAACACTACATTTTAATATCAAAACGATTCAGCTCTGAACATAAGGGATTATGATCTGTTGCCATCAAAGGGGCATTATACTTCATTGTCAAGCTAACTACAAAGTGTTTCTAAACTCTATCTGCTCTATCGCAGGAGTTATTTCTTGTTCTCATTAACCGAACGACTGAAAGGAAAGCTGACAGAAACGCTTCGTAGCATAAGGTCGCAATATCAGCAGGCTCGACCAGGACTTCGCTTCAGGCGTCAAAGCCGAACAGTGACAAAAAAACTGGTTTGATAAACTTTAAAATGTTTTCTTCTTGCAGTTATAATATACTGAATTGAGTTTGGCATGGTAGACGGTGAACGACATTTGAAACCGCTCCTGACGTGGTTCAAACGTTGTGCAAGTTCCGTTCCAAAGTCAAATTGAAATTAATTCGATCACTGGTTGAATTCGACAAGGCAGTGGCGCGACGTTTGAAACGGGCCTCACTGGGGCCCAATTTACACTTCATAAACCAGTCTGTCAGGTTTTGTTTTGTATTTCATATTTCCCTATACGTTACAGTCAGATGGATCTCATTATTAAAAATCGCTCATCAAGGGTCTTGAATCTTTAAGTGCTTTTGCACAATCGTAAGTTATAACAGACCAGTAACAGGTGATAGAAAAAAGAAAATATAACACATGTTACGATACCTTTTAATTTTTACTTAGGACATGCAGGATACATTACCTAACGGTCGAGCTAAAGGAACAATAATTGCTTTAAAACTACTCAATAGTGAGAAAAGGAACTGACATTTTATTGCATGGGAACTACAAAAAAGGTTCGTCAAATAGAACCATGATCGATCTTTTACATCAGTTTTATAGCTTCGTTGGTTGCCTAAATTTGCCGCGTGTCTTTACAGTTCTTCGCACGATTTTAGAAGTTTGGGAGAAAATTCCTCTTCACATTCTGATTACGCAATTTATTTTTATCTCTAAACTTTGGAAGTATCTAGTTTTGTTGTCTTAACGGGAGTCCCTGCCTAACTCACAACAGCCACGCCCTTTCCTAGATCTTCCGTCTTTTAAGTGGCTCTGTAGCTCATCAATCGAAAATGTTCAAATTTTCCTGTCTGAGCAGCTAATTTCTCGGATTTATTAGTTTTGACCAGTTCTGACGAGGTCGCCAAATCGTAAGTTTTATATTTTTGGAGTCGGTGTAGTAATTAACGATATAAGCGAAAGTGTCAATGGAGCCGAAACCAAACAGACAGCAAAACGGACCCCAGTGTAGTGGATTCCTGATAGAGAGTTATTTCACATAAACTACACAAGAGAAAATATAACCAAGTCTTTTTCAGTCCTTGAAGACTTGAACACTTCGCCTATTTAAAGCTACTCCCTTTTCTTTGCATCCTGCACTCCTGTAATGGAATGAAGAACCCTAAACCGCAAAACCGATTACCAGTAACCTCTTGAATCAGTCAATTTTAAAGTGAAACAGGAAGACAGTAATTGCGGCTACTGGGGTGGTAGGACGTTTCCGCAAATTATCACAGAAAAGAAACCACTAGAAACGTGACTCTTGGTAAATTGTATCTCGTTCAAGCTAGGCTGTAACGGCTCGTGGACTCTTTACACCTCACATGAATAAAGCAAATGGGCGGATTAAGTCTCAGCCTTTCGAAGGCTTAAGTTCAAAAACTTTGCTTTTATTAATTTGCTGGGTTGATTAGGCAAAATGGCGACGTTTTTAGCGCCAATCCTAAAAACAAGAACGTGCAAACTGTGCGCTGAGCGTGGAAGCATGGAGCTAAGCATAAAATCGTCAAATTTTCAATCAAACGTCTCAAACGGTAAAGTTTATAACTAATAAAAAACAATTTTCGCTTCATATGCACTTTAAGAAAGTCTATGGGAACTTCACTGCGTTTTTTAACCTTATTGACTCAGTTCAGAAAACTGTCAATCAGTTAAATACGGGTTCCTTTTCTCGGTTATGAGTTACGTTCAGTCTCAGATCCCGGATGTCAGATGTCAGTTAAAAAACACTGAGCTATATGTAGACCCTCGAGTAATCCTTCTCTTATCCCGTCATTGATCGAATAATGTAAGGGTTGGAGTGGCTGTATTCCGAAATGATAAGAAGTAGAATGCTTAAGGAGTACACTGAGGTGTAACAATAACGTCCCTGGCCCTGGGGGAGCTACAATTTTCAGAGCCATACGATTTATTCCCAGACAAGTAGCTCTGCAAAATCCCGTGGGATCGGAAGAGATTTGTTGCTATCCTTCTGTTGTATCTTTTCCGGAAAATGATTAATCTAACTCAACTTCAACAGAGGCACGAACTAGAACTATTTGTGATTTTTTATTATTGCATTAGCGTATTATAACAATCATAGAGTATTTAAAAATACTTCTCTTTTAGTCGCATGTAGGTGTTTTTTTTTTGTCTTTCCAGTTCCTTCCCGCTTTTCATGTTTTATCAGTGATTTCTCGAATGCAGCAAAGTAAAAATAGACGAAATTGGGATAACTGAACTAAACATCGAAAAGCATAATTTGTACGATTATAGTATTCATTTGTACGTAGTTTTCATTTGAATGGTTTTATTACGTTAAGATTTGAATGATTCATGCTGTAGTTCAAGTACTGCAACAATCTTAAACATTATGGTAAACAGAAATTGCTGTTTGATATCTTTCATTCGTAAATACCTACAATTTTGGATTTCCTTTGCAGCCGAAAATAAAAAGTTAGTCAAAACGGTTCAAATAAACAGTACCACAGGAAAGAACTGCTTCGGAAGCTTTCAATTTCGCATTTCCTCAACAAAATCAAACCGCCTCGTGCGTAGAAAATAAACAGCATCAAAAGGAAGTATTAAACATAAGCTTTCTCTCAAAAGTTTGGATTTCCTCCACCGAATGAAAGGATAACCCCACCTCAAACATAAACAGACGGCACGTCACAGGAAAAAACTACTTAACCATCAGCTTCCCCACATTACAAGGAAAAATAATGATGATGATGATGATGATGATAACAATAATAAAATAATAATAATAATAAAAATGCTGATACTATTTATAATTGAATACACCGTGAATATCGTAATAGTCTGTATTCCAGGGAAATACCTCTGTATAACTAGCTTTCACTTCGAGAATTTAAAGTCATAAAACTGTATGCATTGGGCGGATTAACTTTGTGAAATCAAGTCTTATTAAATTGTGACACAGTAATTCATACTTAGGGCACCAGTCAATGAAATAAACGCATGCTGTAAATTAAATCAACACTAAAATAATCGGCTAGTAGCACTATTTATGACTCGAATCCATGCAGACAAACCGTCGGTAAAATTGTGGTTTTCAACAAGAGCCTAAAATAGAAACAAGCTCAGGAATCCGTATGACCTCTAGACTGACATGTGCGTCTAGTTATTGGGAAGCATTTACTCAGATTTACTTCTTTAATTTAGAGAAATTAGCCTTTTCTATCTATTTATGGCTATATCTAGAACTCGTAAAGTACGAAACATTTTACTAAACAACGACTGAGGGAGAAGTTCTTTTTTTTTTTCTCGATGTCATATTCTAAATATAGGGGGCTTGACTTGCTTTATAAGGGATCAGTATCGGAGAATTGTGACACGTTTTAGCGTAAACTGAGCAAGAGTTATTAAGATACACTTAGGCCCGTTTCAAACGTCGTGTTACTGCCGTGCCACACTCAACTGATCGAATTAAATTCGACTTTAGCACGGCAGTAGCGCGACGTTTGAAACAAGTCGTGCGGCAGTAGC